ATCCATCAGACGGTCATGCATATGCGCAGGGAGCGAATAAACTTTATGTGTGGTGCAGCGACGTCGGACCTTTGATAATCATGTCGATGGGTGGGGCGCGCCGGCCGAGCGCCCACCGCGCCGCCACTAGTGCCGAGCGCGATTGTGAGCTAACTTCACGTGAACAACGGTCTCTTCAAGTTTGCTTCCCTGTACATCACAAACTCAGAAACGTCGTCATACAATTCAAACATAATTTAACGCGTCGCAATCCATACGCGCTGTTCATTGATCCAGAAAATAATGTCAGAACAAATGTCGAAAATTTTAATTCGACTTCGTCGGTGTCTCTTCTTGCCTGATGTTTTAATTCTTGTATACGACGATAACTAGAGGGTGTCTCGTCAATAATTGTGAACTAACTTTTCATATCGGAACTGTGAATTAAAATGTGACAAACAGTGACATTTCTTCCTTGTGTTATATATTGGTTCTTATAAGTATTGGATTAGTACGAAATCGTTTACATATCGTAAAAACAATCGAAACTTGTTCTAGTGCCATTACAAATTAGCTTTATCTCTAATCAAATTTATTCTAATCTTGATCGAAGTCAAATTAAATATTGATTGCAATATAGTTTTAAATACATAAATTTAAGGTGAAGTGCACTAATAAATAAGTATTGGAATTGGTCCAAACATCAACAAACTTGTGAATGAACTAATTCTTAAATGTTTAAATCGGGAATATTCAACCGCTCAAGAGGCGCGATGGGTGAAGCGATTGAAGTTGAAGATAGTCTCGAACTTGAATACGACATGTGGGACGGTCAATTTGACTTTGTAGGACCCCAAGGACCATCGCCAGGAGCCCGTGGTCGTATTACTTCAGATGCCAGCCTTACTGAGGATTTATTCACTGGAGGCCCACTGACTCCTCATTTGAATAACGGATTAAACGGAGGAAAGAAAACTGCTGCGCATCAGTGGTGTGACAATCTCTCCGATCAAGTGAGAATTCTTATTTGTTTATTACACTGATAGTTATATAATTTACATTTAATTATATAAAAATTCGCTATGAAAATGCTATAGGTACTTGTTAGTCATCAAAGGGATCATTACTAATAAATGGCAATAACGTCAATAGATTTTTACCCAGGAATATGATTAATTTATCCTCAACTGATTCACTTAAACGCAGTAATAAACAATTAATGTAGGTACCTACAAATAAGTTATAATATAGATAGCTAATTAAAATTATAGCGGGGGGGGGGGGAAGGTATTGTTAGTAATGGAGACTGAGAATCCTATTGCAATATATATAGCAATATACCCAACCAGGTCGACCTACTCGCGGTTCTCCCTGGAAACTATCATGGTTAATTCCTGATGAATTGATCGTGATGGGCTAACTGGCCTGTTTTCATTCTCATATCTGTGCCTCTAGTGAGAAAGGGTATAACTCAAGTTATAGCCTTTTTCTTTTTTAGGCTACTTTAAATAAGCAAATTTTTCTCTTTCGAATGGTATAAGAATCGTAACGATATCTTTAAAAACAATAGAGATAGTAAACATGTAAAAGGCTACAATTAACAAAATATTTGTGGTAAAAAAGTCATAATTAGAAATATAACTACAATATTTTACAAAAAATATTTTTGTAAAATGAATCAGTTCGATTTGAACCCTTTTACACCATTTAATAGCGATTATTTTTTTATAGCATAAAATACACATCATTGTTTTTCTTCAATACTTCAATAAAATAGTTTTAATTCAACTTATAACTATTTTCACATCATAATTTTAATATTTTTGTTAAGTGTGATTAGGTATAATAGCATTATTTTTAAAACTATAGGTTTTACACAAAAATCGACAATTTCATAAGAAAGAGGAGAAAAAATTACTATAAATGCAATCATTGACTTGTTCAATTAGCAAATAATAAAAGCAGCAGAATTTTTTTTCTTTATTTAAAATAGTTTTTTGGCTCTCCTGAAAAGTGACCATTTTGAATTGAACCCTTTCTCACTAGAGGCACAGATATATCACCCTTCACTGGTGCTTCGCCAGCGTATCCCGTTAGCGCAGGCGGGGTTACCATACCATTTTCACCCATCAAAAAAAAAATTAAAATTATAGCAAAATTAGGTAGGTACAACATGTAAAATAAGAAATTTACTTCTTACTATCAAATCAATCAGAACGAAAAATCTACCATATCAATAAACAAACATATATTTGGAATTTCAGAAAAAATTATTTATTGATTATCTCATTTATTTTATAGCGAATATAATAATAGGAAAAACAGTTATTATGGCTAGTCGGTCACAGACATTGCGTATCCGCCAGCCACGGAACATTATCGAAAACAAAAGTTTATTTTTTGGCGACCGGGCCGCGCCATCGCAATTCCTCGACCTGGCGGCGCTATCGCGGCCCCTGATTTGTTCACCATCGTCACGCGATCTTACACTTCATCCATCGCGTTTTCATCGATCAAACACTATCCATCTTCATAACAGACAATAGATCACTTATGCAATGCTCCTTTATACTTGCACTGGCCTTATACAGCGAATAATATTTGCTCAAAAAGTGTACTTGATCTAAATATGTATTGGAACTGTATTAGTTCCAAGAAGTTTTAATAGGGTTTTTGAATTGATGAGAAAGAACTTTTCTTCAGATCTGTAGGAAATAACAGCAGTTTATGATAATAAATTGTTACAATCGAAATTTTCCATCCTCTACTTCATTTCAACCCAGATCCAAATAATTTCAATTGACTCAATATATGTAGGCGTTTATTTAAACACTTCATATTCATCTATTACAAATAAACTTATAACTACTGTCAAATTTTATCAATATTTGATATGATTGTTATCAGAAGCTGACAAAACTGAGCTCACAAATTTATGATTGATGGCCGTTATCATCAGTCTCCTTGAGTGTTTTGTTATTCATATAATCTTCCTTCAATCTCGCGTACAATTTGCACTTTTTAAGACTTTTATGATCTTCAAATGCTGCAAAACTTTAATCTGATAGGTTGATTCAATCTACTTTAAAAGAGAAAAGGACTTCCGTTTTACAGTTTGTATTTTTATATTTAGGTTCCACGATATCTTAAACTATTACTATTTTAAAAATTTATTCTGCTATCGATAGAATTTACTCTCGTATTTGGTTCCCGTATCCCCGCTTTAATTTTAGTCCTCATTGATGTTTTTGTGGAATTATATCTTACATATAGATCACTACACCCCAAAATGCATGATTTCGTTTCTTAAAACGTTTACAACCTACTTAGTTACCGATTCCGATCTCTTTATTGCTGCAATACTTTGATTTAATGACAGAGACATGCCCAATAGGACACGTTTATTACCACCTACTACCAAATTTTACACAGATTCTAGGAAAACTGTTATGGATATATTATCTCATTGCGTAACGCAACTTTAACACCATCAGATAACTTGATTACTTATTCAATAGGCGCAGTTTTCACACACTTTTAGCCAATTCCAAGCATAATAGAGTTATGTAGTGAACCCCGACGCATGAAAACAATACTATAATTTAATATATTCCTCATGATAAACAATAGTTGGTTGAGAAAGGCATACAACTAGTGCCTGTGAAGTTTTTCATTTATTACTTTTCTTTCTCAACCATGGCTGCCTTTTAAAATATTCAAAATTCACAATCTCGTAACAGCTGAAACACATTTAGTATATTTAACTCTAGATAGTTGACAAAAATTATTTCTTGCCCCTCATATAGTATATAATACAAATACATATAACTTGGGAATAATAGCTTATTAACCTTAGTTTCTAGAATTACCTAGAAGTTCATAAATCTTTCGTGTACTTAAATGATTGGGAATGGCAACTATCACACAGTAATATAAGACTCCTTCTATCAGACGAAGGCACTCATCTTCACCATTTCTAATAATATAAAAATAATTATACAGCTATTTCTAAGAGCGCCCAGATAGAACATATGGGATCACTCTTGCCCCCAAAACTTTAGGTGTTATACCCCTTGTGTCAGAGGTTTTTTAACCCGCTAAATTTAAAACATAGCACACATATTTACGCCAAAAAAAACACCTAATAGGCACACATTACAGTGACTTATCTGGACAAGTTCTGGCTATAATAATAACTTATTTCCGCTATTAATAGCCAGCAGGTAATAGCAGTCGGCAACGATAGCTCGGAACTAAATAATTAATTAATAGGTACTTATTAGCAAAATTTGAGGCAATAGGTACGTTAACTATAAAATTTTGCAATATGATTTTCACTATTTGAAAATCCCTAATTATGAAATATGCGGAAAACCGAAGATTCAGTAAAAAGCTTACCTGAGATTTTTCACAAATCTAGTAGAACAGTGAGTTATTATAAAAGTTCTCCGGAAGAATCAGAGTAAATAATTATAAATTACTTTATTTAGTGCAAAATCTAAGCCATGGCCACACCAGCTCTGCGTTTTCTGCATAATACGCTAATAATCAGGTTAGCGTAGCATGCAACTGCTGGAACCCTCTACATCCACTTCCTATATTAGTATAGATATACTTACCTATACTGTGTTCTTAATACTTGTGCTATCACAAAAACCTAATTTATTCACATTGACTAACGTTTTCCGATATACGATATTTTTGTACTTACATCCTTTTGATAAAACAATGTACTAATTTAACAAGGACTCTTGGTTATTTTAATTAATTGGCATACATAATTAATCCATTTTAATTGTATTTGTACAGTTTAACCACTAAATTTGTTTTAAAATTGCATAAAAACGAACACTCGCACTTAATTATGTATTAATTAATCTAATGAGTTAACGAATCTATCATAACGGCCTAGAATTAACCATTGCAGTTCGCCGTTATTTATACTGTTGACTAGAATTGAATTTGTAATTGATATCGATTGAATCGAATCTAACAACTTATTTACCGCACGTTGACCTGCACTTACTTGTTGGGACTAGGAAATATAGTGCATATGCATTGACTTGCATTCATTATCATGTAAAGTCATAAATTAGTCAGTCATACGACCATTCAATCACAAAAGTCATGAAAACCTGTTTAATTTTTTAAATTCCATGCGCATATAAAAAAATAATTTAATGTAACTTTTTATCCATAAATAAATTATTTGGCCCTGCCTCCGCTCTGCTTGATCGATTTAACCGCAGTGACCAATATTCCCTCAGCTTAATAGATTCATCCGGAATAAGTTCGTCCTTATTGCAGAAGGATCTGGAAAGCAATGGGAGCAAATTATTTCAAAACGAAGAGAACGAAATAATGCCAGCAATTTGAAGAAAAAATCATACGATATATGAGATACATCTTATAAGGTATAACAATTAAAAATCTTGATAATGTAAACACTTTTCACAAGGAACGGGGATAAAAATATAAAAAAAAATTTTTGATGATTAATCCTTTAATCATGACCGTAGTTTCAATGAAAGTTTTTATTCTTATATTGACGGAAGTCTTCCTTAACTATTATACTTCATTTTTATTATATTCTTTAATAGTATAAAACAACATGCTGGAATTTAACTTCAATTTCTAGTAGTGAAGGAAAGGATACGTATTCCTTAAGGCTAAATTTAAAGCTAAATTTTTCGAGTGTGGAAGATACATTAAACATTACTACAGTTTAAATTGGAAGTAACCGAACCGCTAATATCCATCAGTAAACGTATAGTTGTTAACAAACGCTGGAAAGTTGCAAGACAAGTTGGCCCAAGAAAATGTGTTCACTTAAGGAAGTCACGAGCGCTCACTTCGCAAGCTATTCAGTTAAAGTGACTATTGATAGCACTTAAATACAATTATGGTAACGTACTATCTGTTGCTGTAGAATCAGTCCATGAAGTGTCTATAGGCGTCCGACTAAAATTAGTAATACTTACCTAATGATTCGCAATTTAATTGTTAGACACGCATTTCAAATACATCCAATAAAGGTATATTGATATCTAAAAAGCATAAAGAAGTTTTAATAAAATATTTATAACCAAACTCTACATACACTAATATTGAGAGCTCATATTGTCAATAATATTTATGATAAATCCAAAGAATGTCTACTCTGTTTTATAAATAACGAGGTTATCAGTTCTCGACGCGGTCACATTGTTGGACTGTTCATATATTTAAATATTAATCACTCATTTTTAATAGGTACTAGTCTTAAAGCAAACAAATTAATATTAAAATCATATTTGTTATCACAATATAAGTGTACCCAGTTGCTTTTATTTAGAAGTACATCAAAGGATAGGCCTACGATTAATACAGAATTATTTACTTGTATTGTGATTACTCAAATGTACTCAATATTTTGTACCAGACAAAAGTCATCTGGATATAAGATATATATCGGATATATATAGATATATATTATATCCATATATGTATGTGATACCCCTGTCCCACTTGTATTTCTATCACCAAGCACCTGTGTTTGCATAGCATTGTTTCGGTTTGCAGAGTGGGTTCTGTCAGTGCAATTACAGTATACAAATGCAAAACTCCTATCTGAAGGCTTAGAATAGAGTCATCATTCCATTATCGCCAATCAAAAAAAAATCCTTAGAAATGACAATACATCAAGGTTACCATGGACTTCACAGTAGTTTCTATAATTTTACAATTTTGTTCATTTCTTTAGGCGATAGTGATGGGCGTATTTAAAGCGGGGCAGGATAGGTCGTGCTCACCACAGAATCGTCCAGTGCTCACCCAAGGTTGCTAACGAAGCTTTGAAAAGATATATCTAAGAGTACAGATGTGCCTTTTTAAAGCATATCACTTTCCAGATTGTTTGCCAACTTCTATAAAAAAGTATGAATTCAAAAGATATTCTTACATCTATTAATTATACATTAAATCTATATAATACTGTCGGCGTTTCGGCAGCAATCGATGATTTAGCGATTAACTGATTCAGAGAAATGTAAGTTTATAATTGGTTTCACTTTCTCTCGTATTTTATATAAATAATAATCTTATACTTTTATTCTTATAAAAAGCACCATGATAAGCTATTGCTAATGCGCCAAATAATTTTGTTTTTCTTTCATTCTTTCTTTTAAATAACTATTTGAAAGTAAACATTGCCCATCGACTTATTATATACCTACGTGTCTTTTGCATTTAGGTAATATTGTATGTTTCAAAACAATTTAATATTTAATAGTTGAACGATTTAAATACGTATCAGAAATCCTATGAGTAGATATATCTTTTTTTTTTCAATACAACAAAATTACATAATACATATAATTTATCTGCAACATATTCATTTTAATTTATTATAATTTATACTTTAACGTTCAAAGTTAATACTTACATATTAATATATTAATTTACAATGCATATAAGTAGAAAATTTCAATATTAATCGACAAACGCATAATACTTTGATTTCTATATAAAGTATATCGAAATGTTATGGTACGCTGCTTTTAAATTCAAAGTCTTTCTTCAAACACGTTTCTCCATTTAAAAGCACCTGTTGTTCCGTTTCTCTATATAATATCTCGCAAAGTACAATCTGTTTGGAGCAGGTGAAACCCGCGTCCCAGTCTCCGGTGCTCCAACAAAAGTAAAATCGAAAACAGATTACTGTCAGGCACTCTTACTTTTTGAATACTGATCGAAAGTTCTAAACTGTACCTTATTAGATTTGATCAGATGTACAATAAGTTAATTACTGATCACTTTTTCTACGTGTATAATTTACATTCCAACTTTTAATATCTTTGTTTTTTTTTTTCTAATCAATTTAATGTAGTATTCTTTTTAAGACTTTTTAGTATTTTATAATTATCAAACGCACTTTTCATTCTGTTTTATACAAATAAACAAACAATAGCAAAACTTAAAAGCGTTTCGATATAAAACTATTTTCAACGTAAATTTTTAATTCTCCATCATAATATTAAAATTACCGTCTTTTTTTCGTCTTTATAATTTCGAGTTTGATTTCGCTATTACCTACCGGATGAAAATATGAATAATCCGAGTAAAAATTGGCAACCCTAATGAACTGTCATTGAGTAGTTTTGGTGAATGACCTAATAGCCTACTAGAATTAGTTTTTAGGACATCGAGGCGTCTCCGTTTTTATACTACTCGCTCATTACAATACCCATGCTATTTCACGCACGTACATACATACTACATACTATTAATACTGTCTACACCTTATATTTATGAAAATTAGTAGTGCGTGTATTCTTCTAAACGTCAGTAAACTATTTTCTTCCTATATGTTACTTTTCTTCCTGTAACGACTCATTACATTCATGATAAAAATTGTGACATAATGGATAAGCTATAGAAGTAACTAAATTGATAATGTGGCTTTTATACGTATGATACGTTTAATATAGGAATGCCTTTTTCCATTATTCTTCTACTTTATAGCATAGGTATATACAATATATTTAAGGATAATATGTTAAAATGTCCAATTGTTGCTTGAAAGATGTCCATAACATCGTTAATAATCATAAATTGATTTACAGAGAAAACTACTATACGAGTTAGAATCAAAATTCTATAAATATTGTCTTGTAGACAAAGGAATGAGCTCCCTGCCGAGGTTTTCCCAAGAGACTACAGCATGGGGTTCTTCAAAATAATGAGGTTTCTTAGGGTTAACGCGCACGTAAAAAACGACTTACCGCTTACCATCAATGCTTGTTTTTCAGTGGTATAAAAAATGTTCATCTCAAGTTTTGATAGTTAATTCACATGAAAAAATTTTAGATAACTAATTCAAGAACAAACCCCATGAAAACAACTACATAGTCTATTTCAGAATTTTTATTTTTCTTTAAACTGTTTTTAGTATTTTTAATTTTAAATGAATGCAAACAATTCTAAAATTGATGCAGTCTGTTATAATACTGTACCATTTTGTTATGCAACATTATTTATATCTGTAAACAGTATAAATCAAAGTTGCTGTCTATATAAGTTTATTTTTTCGCTTACTCTTCTAAAACCACGAAACAGGTTTTGATACGAGTTTCACTGTCATTTACATACTTTTTTTTATAAAAGATTTATATATAAATACACGTAAAAATACATACTAATTTGCAACCGTACGAACTACGTTCACTAATTTTATGATTGATAAATTAATTGTAAGACTTCGCTATTTACTTACATACTTACTAATAAGTGCTTAGTTTACTTCATACTCAAGAGAGAGGCTAGAAAGACAAGTATAGGTATGGCTACCAATATTGTAATGCAAATTTATTAGAAGTCCAGTTTCAATATACGAAGTTACGAGATTGGTTTCTAAATTTATAAATTGGTATGCAGCTGTTATACAGGTATTATTTACGCACCCGATTTGTAGATTAATTAAATATATATAACACAACATAATAATAATATAAAATAATTTCTCTTCTGTGTGTAGAACATTTTCATGAATAAACCAAGTAGGTATTAGATGAATTTTAATAAAATGTTAAACAAAAAATGAAAACATACGCATACGGGTACGTGTGCAGCGATATCGAAAGAATTATGACCAATAACATGGATAGCATCTAATATTTAATGTAAAACAGATAACGTATTTATGAATGGTCTCTTTAAACAATAACAATTGGATATGATTTATGATTTGTTGGACAAGATAAAAACAAAACTTTAAAGCACAATAATCTGTCCGTAGCAATGCTTGTCGTCCAAATGTGAATTTAAATTTTATATTTGTATAAAATATAAAAAGAAAACAGTTATTTATACTGAAATCTAGTACGATTTTCAATCCAAGAGATACAATTACATATTGACTTTATTGGCAGATACTTATCTTGTGGATTGCTCGATTAATTATAGAAAAGATAAACATAATAATAAGTGCCATACAATCACATCGATTGCTTGGTTCTTGGTACCGTGTGTTATGAGGAACTATACAATATACTTACATTTGGGACCACAACTCAGAACACTCAGACCTGAACCAACTTAGACAAGCTCGTCCCAAATTTATCATCAGGTCAATTGGAAACCCTTCTCCGAATTCCGGAAATCTCATTACAAAGCAACGTGACCATCATCGTTATTCTTCTTCGACAGGAGTCTTCGAAAGTCGCAATTATAATTGTACTGCAATGTGACGTCAATTATAAAAAAAAATCTATAATAAAAAAAGATATGAAATTCAACAATTCTCCGTATAATAAATACTTAATTTAAAATTTGCGCAAAAGCTAAATAGAAAATTAACAATCTATAATATAATTTGCTACTCCATTTAAAATGTTACATCCGTCGATTTAAATTGATTAATACGCAATCGTAAATTAAAACTTATTTACGTTCGTGAAGCCAACAGCGCAATCCCACCGAATGCGCGTATAATGACTCAAGGTTTCTTGACGAACAAAATGATTCAGATTTTACTGAAATAACTAATGTCTTTGAAGCGTACACTGATTCACAAAACTGACCAGACTAACTTAATATCTGAAACACTAATAAAAAGGAGGGAAAGTTATAATTAATTAATAATCCCTTTCAATAGAACTAAATGGAAATGTAAGCGAACAAAAAATTTACCTGACCATAATACAGCCTATTGATATACAAATAAAAAATCGATTAATTTATTGATTATTTACGATTTCATTTTAAAAGAAATTCTGTGATAATTTTAATAAAAAGTTGTTTATTTTTTATTAATTTCTGTAGAAATAGACTTCACAGAAATATATATTTACATTTCCATTCGTTAGATACCTACCTACCTATTATTTTTTTATGGTAGATATACCTGTTGAGCTGTATATCACAGAAATTATACTATTACTTTCATCTACTGATGCTCTTTAAACTAGTTAATAAATTATCAATACGAAAACACCAAAACTTACTAAACTTTATCAAAAATTATAAAATTCTGATCAAATTATATACCAATAATACCTATTCAACAATGTTAATTAATTCACATAATAAGTCTGTTGATAAGTTTTGTGATCACATGCTTTTGATTATGAATAAAATTATTATCTTAAGAATTCAACAAATAATACTTGTTGACTTATAAACGATCGACAAGCCCACTTGTTGCGCCAAATAATATAATAAGTCTCATCACTAACGGATCGATATCATCATCATCATTATATCAGCCATTAACTGTCCACTGCTAAACATAAGCCTCCATTTATTGGGGAATTTTGCCAGTAATTTCCAAGTTTGGCAGGCGGGTTGGCAACCGCATTTAGGCTTTGGTGATAATTTTAAAGGGACGTTGCTGCCCATCCCTTGATCACTAAGTTCCCTTAGTCGCCTCTTAAGACATCCATTGGAAAGGAAAAATCTATATTAAGTACAAAATTATTTAAAAATATCTTAAACATTATTCATTATCAAATAAAGAACAACTTCTTGCAAATTTATATATTGACTTTGAACTTTTTTAATCTTGCTTATTTTATCCTACCTGAGGATAGATTCTTGGTAAAGCAAATTCGGAACCGGTCACTTCATTAGTTGATTTTAAAGTTCACAGTCACAAAGTAATGTGAAGCGTGCTACTTCATGCCTTTCAGGTATAAAGACTATGAGGTATATTGTTACTCGCGTGAATTGAACAGAATTTGAATAACAAAATCCGGCATACCTTACATATCTTATATCACCTATATCACACAGCAACCACATAAATTCTTATTTTATTATTACTGCTTTATTAATATAGAACAATTTTTCTTTTCTCTCCAGGTTTTACTACTTCAGCAACAAGTGACATCATTGGCGGACACTCAGAGCACGGCCGATGAACGCTATGCCAGGGCAAAGGCCGACAATGCTGTATTGCAGGCCAGACTGCACATGCTTGATGAACAAATACGAGAGGTATATACAAATATATATTCGAAATATTTTTTGCTCTATTGGATCACAGTCAATTATTACGATCAACATAAAATGTGGTTAAATTTTAATACAGTAAACCTTACGCAACAAACTAATTAGGCCAAAAAACCTAATAACTCTGCAAATAACATGTATGATATCATTAATGATCATTAATTACACTAAATGAGTGTCGATTACATCCTTCTTCGGAATTGAATGTAATGCCATTAGATTTTAAAGTCATACTTTTTGCTAGATTGAATGCCGTTGCGAGGAACGCATCGCTGAGGAGCAGAAAAGATGTCGAGATGCAATTGCACGCGTAGAGCGAGAGAGAGATAGTCAGCAGGCCGCGCTCAATGACCGACTCGCCGCCGCAGAAACCGAAGCTTCCGATCTTAAACAAGAGGTAATGAGTTTCCTAAAACACGCAAATAAAACAAAATTCGTACCATTTATTTCGTTTGCTTTTAATGCAAACTAAGTCTAAGAATAACTTAGAGCTGAAATAATAAAATTATTAAAAGGAAGTACATTTAGAATCATGGTGAAGATACTATATACGGCCCCTATAACAGACAGTAATAACCATCTCCTACAGACACTGCTAATACATGACCTCACTAATTATACTCCAATACCCATGGCACCTGTGCTTTACCGCTCTTACAGACTTCATTAACTTGAGAACTTTTTAACAAAAATATTAGCTATCAAAGTCTTTATGGCCGCGGTATGTATGTATGTGTTTAAAACACTGTATGTCTAAATTACATTTGAATTTTGTAATACTCGTAACTAGTATTTGTAATATGTTTAACTTTAACCTGTTTATCATAATAGGTGGGACGGCTTCGAGGCGTAGCGGAAACGCTACGAGCAAATGCCGAAATATCTGCTCGAGCGCACCGGGAAGCTCAGGAGCAAATAGGAGAGCTCGTTGCTCAACTAAACGCAGCTCGTGAAGCTGAAAGGCGGGAACGCGAGGCTGCTACTGCCACTGCTGAGATGTTGGCCACCACGAAAATGGAGCTGCAAAAACTAACAGAAGCTCCACCCCCACCTCCTGATCCTCGTTTAGATGAGCTCAGGAAAGAACTAACATTGCTAAGAACACAAAATAAATGTAAGTCTGTTACCTGTTTATCTCCTTGATTATTCTTTAATTCACTTCACACTATTTTGCAAAATATACAAAATAAACTGTGATTTAAAAACCTCTACCCGTACATACACTTATTACCTACAGAATTCCGTTTCATAACTTAATATACGTCACTTACAGCATATACGTCAATTAAATTCTCTTTTAAACTTGCTTTTTCGGTTTTATTTAATTACATTTCTTAATATTTTTTATTGAATTTTAGATTAAAAATATTTTAAACGCATATTATAGCATGTAAAATTATTGAATCCGTACTGACTGTTACTACCTCTCATAAATATGCTACATGTTGCGAAGGGATAAAAAAGTATCATCCGCATATTGATGCATGTATAAAGTTTGCATCGTTAGAGTCATTGTAACACAAAAATCCAAAAAACCTCGTCATCAAACAGTTACTACGGTCCTGATTTTACATATATCTTATTTGTAAACAATTATTATTACAGCTTTATCTGAAGCTCAAGAAGAACTCCAGGCGCAGATATTAACACGCGGTGTAGAGGAAGGCCGCAGTCTTCTAGACGGCGTCAGCGGACCACTTGTCGCCACCAACTCCCTCGCACACGAACTTTCACAAATGAGTGACGATGAGGTAATTTATTAATTCATTACACAGTTTATTAAACATTGTGTTTTTCTATCTATAGACCTGCTCAAGCTTGTCCATGGGACACGCAAACTGATCATTCACTTATTTAGATGCTCAATTATGTGGATACATGGATCGTCAATTATGTTCACAAATATTTATGTCAATATATTCTGAAGATTTCTCTATAACATGATTGCATCCATTTCATTAGAAATTCTAAGCAGTTACATTATGGGGATTAAATCTTTGTAATTATTAATAAAAGATTAATAAGAAAAATAAAATCAATTTTATAGAATTGCTTTTACTCTGCTATAGTAATTATATATTTTGATCATTATTCCATTCCATTATTAATAAAAGCAGTTACACACTGTTTATAAAATATAGCAACATTTTACTCTAACTACAATTTCTAAATAATACAACTGCTATAAATTATTTTTAATGTATTTTATTTAATTCAAACATAATCCAGCCGATTAAGATATTAAATGCATAAATACTAATTCGTGCTTCATTACCTTATGTCTTGTCACCATAATCATAAGCTTTTGCCTCGTCAATCTTATTTGTCTTAGATTAACGACTTAAGTCTTCTGAATCTAAGGTAAATGTGCAGGATATTTTGCGATACAGTCATATATATTTTTATGTATGCATTTTTGCAGCCCGATGGTAGTGATACACAATCAGATCTCAACATAGAGATGGAAAAGGTACGATATTTTTACTAACTGCGCATGTCTGTACCTTACGGGATCTGGTTAATTCTTGCATGCTTTTATATTAACTAGCTGTACCTTTTTCAGACTTTATGAAATTTCTTTGCTTAACTCCGATACTAACAGATCATTTACATAAAAACACCGCATTGCATGATTCAAGCACACGATGGTAACCTGTTATTTTATATTAGTAACATTTCCCGTCCTTAAAGGACAGGACAAGTTTGCGATCTTTGAACGATAGAGTCTACAGGGTCCTATATAGAATAAATGTCAGATAGAACTAAAAGACAAGCTTTTTAAAATTAGTAGTGAGCGACAGTTACACTAGCTAGCTGTCTCAGGTACAATTCTTGTATAAATTAAGATAACGTGGGAAAAAATATATCGAGAAGTTCTAAGACATGACAACGTCTGAAATAATGTATATTCTCTCCTTTAAGCCAAATCTCTTATAGATCCCTGGTGGTAATAAAACCATTAGACATACTAATTTATCCTGACTAAATATATCATCCTAATGAATATCCACTTTCTTTTACAGCTGCAAAAAGCACTAAAAGAACAACAAGACGTGAACGTACAATTAAGAAATTACATCGACGGCATTTTATTAGCAATTGTGGAAAACTACCCGCAACTACTAGAGGTCAAATACCAAAAAGAAGCTGGTGCGAACAAATCATAACGTTTAGTTATAAATATCAAATTATTTAACATAATTATATGTGCATAAAAATGTTATATGAATATTTTAAATGTTGAATGCTAGGAATTCAATAACTACTTATATTAAGATATTACGATACAATGTTGCTTAATTGAATAATTTGAAAATAATGTTTGATGTTAAATATGTAATGCTGTGATAAAATTCATGAATGGAAATATAAAATATAAACATTTTTTTTTATATTAATTAAAATATTCTTGGTAACATTGTCAATTGAAATTGTCTATGTATCATAAAATTTTATAGATGGGTGTATGTGTCTATATCTACATCTTCATTTGTAAATATTGTATAGTCGAAAATAACACTATATTACATATACATGTACAGTCGCGTAAAATTATTAGTTATAGTAGTTCTTTCTTATATATAACTTAATATGGTCCTTTTCTTTCTTATATATGGTATATAAACTATGATCCTTTTGTCATATTCATTTAAAAATTACTGTAAAATCTTTGTGATAAAGTATATAATTATTTAACACATTATACATTATTATTGTACGCGATTGTACCTATTATATAAGTTCCTTAAAATATCTCAAAGTATAAAATTTTTATTTGATTAAAGAATGTATAAGTAATATAAGCAATTTAGAGATCTGCGAAAAAATGTAGTTAATTATAATTTTTAATATCGACGAAGGCCAGGCCGTCCATAACGATATTATTTCAGTAGTAGTTAGAGCCAATTTTATAAAAGACTGGTATGTATTGATAATGTTAGATGCAAATGTAATTCCAATATTAGAGCTATGGCACCTAATATTATCATAGCCATCTAATTTGAAGTGTGTATTCGTAAGCTATGTATTAAGAGTAGCTACACACTATAGTACCTAAAATTAAATTATATTTGTTAAGAGAGATTGTGTACCTATATTTTTTACAATGAAACCGCTAATATCTTTAAGTTAGATAGGGATTTGTGTACATTTTGATAACACGAAATAAAAAATGTTCTTCTAATAATAGTCATGAATATAAATTAAATGAATTCTAATTTTATTCAGTCTTTTTATTATGTTCCTTAATTTCCTTATGGATATATCTAATGTTCTTCTTTGTCCACTTTTTCGTCATCATTTTTGTTTTGTTCCAAATTACTTAAAACTTGTTGAACATCTAAGCGCAGCATCATAAGCTTCGGATCCATAAAATCCTAAAACAATCAACATTTGTAATTAAATCTGAACAAATTATAGTATGAAACTTGAGAAAAAACAACTTTATAAGTAGTATTCGTTCAAAGATACTGTTATGAAGATATTCATTCAAAGATATTGTTATGAAAATTTTGCATGATTCTAGTGGCTAATAATATTGACGAATATTACTGACATGGCCGAAAAATAGATACTTTTTACTATTAACTGACAGATTGAGACGATAATGTAATATATTATTATATACAATTTAAAGGAAAACAAAGGTTAGTTTTCTTTCATTCTATAGTCCTTCAAGTCTGACTTATTGAACAAAACATCTTGTAGTCAAAATAGTTTATACACAAATTAACCTCCTTATTCATAAAAATGGTAAATTTCATAAACTTATTTCAGCTGTTTAACTGTTTTGTCTCCTTCTTTTACACTAAATTCTCAATTTGAAAGAAAGTGAGAAAACAGTGTAATAGTTAAAGTAATTTTGTAGGTTTTAATTTTTATGAATAAGGGGGTAATACTATAAATGTTGTCTTAAACTTATCAGTGATGTAAAAAGTAGTCATTTATTTTTGTAATATCAGTCACATTCGTAATCATCCAACTAGTAGAAAGCTTACGAAACGCAGTTCGCATCAGGCATTCTAGTATAGAAATTGTTCTAAAAGTGTGATAATACAAGTACAATCTCGTTAAAATATTCTACAACAAAACAAACCTTTAAATGACCCGTATCGCTTTGGATAGGTTGCAAATTATTTTCAACGCCAGCACCAGTAGCCGATTTATTCTCACTAAAAGTTTTTTCATCAGTCTTCACACTTGTGCTATGTCTCAAGTTAAAATTTCGACTCATAAGATACGCCATTTCCTGCTCTATTGCGTTCATCGCGGAATTTACTTCAGCACCACCATAATCTCTGGATACTGAGACGTTAAGAAAAGTATCTGGCATGTTATAATTAGGTTCGTATGTATAATCAGTAATATTCTGAGTTGTTTTACATAATGAACATTGTTGTCTACTTTCCAACTGTTTCCTTTCATTGTGCAAAGTTAATCTCTCTCTAGATAATGCTACCTTCTCTCTAGCTATTTGTTTCTCTCTTGTATTCAACGAGACAGCATGTTCTTGTATTCGTCGTATTCTTTCTTCGTACTTTCTTTGCAAAAACTCAGCCTCAGAATATTTTTTGTCTGCATGTGACTGTTTGTCCATTGCTGTTTTTGCTAATAAATCTAAGTCTCGACTCCTAGAACGAAAAAAAAATTAAAAAAAAAAAAAGAAAAACATTACACGAAACTTAACATGTTAATAAAGACTTACTTAGCTAATATCCGTTGTTCTTCCATATGCATGTGCTGCTTTTCAACATTCAATTTCGATCGTTCCTCAGTTACTTCTTCTAATTGAGCTTGAAGTTCTGCTTTCATAGTCTAAAAATATAGTTAAACAAAATAAAGAATCATAATAAAACATAGGCATCACATTGATTTAATAATATACGACAGGACTGTCCAAACTAGATAGGATCTAGGGCCAATAAAAATTACTAAATACATTAAAACGCAAATTATTTTTAAAAACCAAATGCTACTATAATGTTATTATTTTGTTATTGTATTACATTTTCATTAATTTATCTTTATAATTCTGTCAACATCAACATCAATATCGGTAGTAACTAGACGAGAAACATAAAGATCAATATTGGTAGTAACTAGACGAGAAACATAAAGATCAATATTGGTAGTAGCTAAACGAGAAACATCAACATCAATATTGGTAGTAGCTAAACGAGAAACATCAACATCAATATTGGTAGTAGCTAGAAAAGATTTGGCGGGCCGCATCAATTCAAGCCGCGGGCCGCGCGTGGCCCGAGGGCTATGGTTTTGACAGCTGTGATATACGACATATTTGCGACATTACGACATACTTCTAATTCTTGTTTGATGCTGTGTATTGATGCTTTTTCTTTGGCAATGATTGCACTGTCCTTTAGTGTTTTCTTTTTTTCTTCCTCTATCTTCGTTATTTTCTCTTCATACTCCTTCTGTATTTCTTCTCTTAATATCTGTAACAAAATACATGCTAAAGTAGTAACGAATGATATTAGACTAAGTGCACTCTCTGTAAATATGTATTTTATTGTGTGCAAAAGAATAAAAATTAAATTATTATTTACTTTATTTTATTCAGACATCAGATATTATCATTATAAATAACTAAATGCGCATTGTATATGCTTTGAACTACCTTTATTTCTTCGTCTTGTTTTTTCAGTACATTTTTTGCAAATTCCGTCTGTTTGTTGAAAGTCGCTTTTTCAAATTCGAATTCCATTTTTCTTTGTTTTAAAGATGCTGTATCTTCTTCTATTATCTGTAAATATATAGATATGTTTACTCTACAGTACTAAGTATCTACCTATATTTTTTTATTAAGTTAAAAACATATGGAAGTTACTCATATTAATAATTTCGCTAATCTCTTAAATAATTACCGATGTCATTTGCTTCAACCTATTCTCTAGCATTTTAACTATTTCTCTACTTTCAACCTTTTCGCTTACAAAATCTTCACGTTCCTTTTTCAATTGTTGCATCATATCTGTAAATAATAATTAGGCATTACATTACACATATAGTGTCTGTTGAGAATTCAAATGAAAGATTTCACTTTTGGTCATTTCACTAATTCAGAATCACGTGAATTCAAAAATAAATCTAATCACCATTTATTTGTATTTCTCTTGATTGTAAACTTCTTTCCGTATCTTTTTGAGTATTATCAGCCATTTCTTTAACTTTTTCTACTAGAATTTGGCACTGGGATTTATTTTCTTTAACGTCTCTTACTAATTCATGTAGATCGGATGAGAATCCCGCTGATTCTTGAATAAGTGCTTGTTCATGTTTAACTGCTTTTCTGTGAAATTAATGTGCCGTAAAAAATATAAAATTTAAAATATGTATTCTTTAATGCATCTCTATATAACACTTCTAATATACAAAAGGCGGTCTTATCGCTAAATCAATAACTTTCAAACAACCTATGAAAAGGAAAAAAATATTGTAACTATTTGGCGCAAAAAGTGTAACCAATAACAAGACGCTCGTGTAAAAAAACAATAACACATAATTATGCAAATAATCATATGCACACCTTATATCTAAATCCTAAAATTAAAAAGTAATAAAAGGAAATAATATTCATAATTATTCAATTTTCCTTTTACTAAATAACAGCTTAAATCTTACTTAATATTCTCCATAAGTGCTACGTGATGTTCTTGTAAAATTTTTATATTTTCCAGGTGTTGCTCTCTCAGCAATTCATTTTCCACTTTATGACGCTCTGTTAAAGCATTTATATTGTTTTCAGTCAACTTTTTGAATAACTGATGATGCTCTTCTAACCAATTTATCTTTTCCGAGTAATATTTAACCAGCTTGTCACTTTCTTCTTTCATTCTTTCTTCTGATTGACTCAGAGAAATTTCTAAAAAAGCTAATTGGCGCCTAAAAAGAAACATAAAAGTGTCTAAATGTGGTATTAAAATAAGTTTAAAAAAATAAAACTTCTCATTTACCTATATGACGTCTCCATGAGATCTATTTCCTTATCATGGTTTTCTTGTAACGACTGAACTAACTGTAGTAATTGTCTCTTTTCCTTCATGTGTGCAGTTTCTTTCCGTTCTGTCTGAGTAGTATCCTGTATATCTTCAGGTTCATTTGGATTATCTTCTACATTAGTCGTACCTAACAATGCCTAAAATAAAATAAATTAATATGCTTTACTATTAGAATATAGCTGTATTTGGAATTTCTAATTACAACCACAAAATACACATGTGTGTTATATGTTTTTATTTCCTTGTGTGAGATATCACAGATTTCATTCAATGGGTGATAATGGAATGGTAATCCCGCCTGAGCTATCGGTATACATTGACGGGGCACCAGTGAGAGATGATAGGTGAGGATAAAAGCAGTTCAGTTAGCCCATCGTGATGTATTTCATAAGAATGCGAAACAACAGTTTTCAGGGAGTACCACGTGAAGGTAGACCTAATAGGTACATTACTAGCAATGGGGCTGTTAGTCCCCATTACTAAGAATCCCTCCCCTCCCCCGACATCAGAGGCTAAAAGTCGAATATCTGGAATATAATTGCATAAAAAACTATGAATTAAATAAAACATGATCATAGATAATACTTTTAAGGCTTTAGGTTAGGTTAGGTTTCGTTAAATGCATGGAGAGCACAGTTTATGTAAGACATCGGCGGCATCATATGATCTCAACTAACGTCCATCATGCAAGTGGTAAGGGGTATAATTACTCCCCAACTTCAAGTCGATTGTAGCAAAAAGCGGCGTAAACAAAGGCCGTATTAGCCTGGTTACAACGAGTAAGTCACGGAATAAGCCCCTGCGGCGGTCCATCCGGTCAAGGACATATGGGCCACAGTCGTAAAGGGCAAGCGTGTGAAATGTGTAAATATTGCAAGGCCAGCCGCGAGGAAGTTTGTCCAAAATGGCCCTGGTAAGTCCTTGCAAGCTTTCCTAAATGAGTCGAAACTCACAAACCAGTACGGGCCAAAGTCGTTGGGATGGTCTCGATACTTCGAAAGGAAATCCGGTATCGCCCAACATTAAGTCCAGAAGTACGTCCGGAAGACCTACACACCTATACCAGGGCGTGTGGCATTTAAAAAAAAAATTTCGGATAATTAGCTTTTGTAATACTAAGTACTTTAGTGATGACACATTTTGTTGTCATAAAAATTGAGGTACTCGATGTTATCTATCTCTATCGACAGATCATTTTACCTTTATCCTTTGTGTGATCCGTTCTTGGTGGGCAGATATTATAGCTTGCATTTGCTGCCTATGGGCCGATTGTCGTTGCAGCATGGAATCTAATTGAGCATGATGCGCCAATTCCGCCTCACGCTGAACCCTCTGGCTCTCCTTCTGACGCACTGACAAATACATTGAATATTATTAATCTAAGGAAGTCATAAAAATATTAAGCATATATACTTTATATATCCAAAATTAGTAGCTAAAAACATAAAAAGAAATTGATTGTAAAATTACGTATTAATTGCAGTCATCATTTTATACATATTCGTACGCAATAGTCATCATTACTTATAAATATGTACGTTTTTGTCACCTATAAATAAAACACTCAACTTGTTCATACTTTGGTAAATATAGAAATTGAAGCAAGACAGTATAGGAAGTGAAATTATCTATACGAGAGCTACACTGAAAATTTTTAGAATTGGCTACTCGAAAGCAATATAATAAAAAAAAAATTAAATTTTGAAAATGGAACTCTACGAATAATACTGAGTATATAATTTATTCGTTTGTCATTTGTTTTACGGCTTGGCGGCAAATTGAAAATAGTCTGTGTAACGTTATCATGAACTTGACACGAGAAAAATTTCGTGCGATGATTTTTTATGACTTTCAATGTCATCTAAGTCAACAAGAAAGTTATGATAGACTACAATTGACCTTTCACGATAAAGCCCCGTCTCGTGCCACTGTTTACAACTAGTTTAATGAGTTTATACATGGTCGCACTAATCTCACCGATGATGTGCGTGAGGGCCGGTCTTCTACAGCGACGACTAAAGATAATATCAATGTGTAGTGTAGTGTTAAAGAGACTGACAAAAGAATGACCTATCAGCAGAACACTTGGCGGTCAGGAAGCTTTGTGCCCGGTGGATACCTCATAATTTGATCGAGGCTCAAAAACTCCGTCGTGTTAATTGGTGCCGTGAAATGCATAAAAGATTTAACGGAGGTAACTCAAATTCTGTGTTTGACATAATTACGGGAGACGAAAGCTGGATTTACTGTTATGATCCCGAAACTAAAAGACAATCAGCTCAGTGGATATTTCCTTCCGAGGAGTTGCCAACTAAAGTGAAGAGAGGTCGAAGCGTGGGAAAAAAGATGGTGGCCTCGTTCTTTGGAACGACAGGTTATTACGACACAATTGTTTTAGAGGATCAAAAAACAGTTGCTGTAGAGTGGTACAGTAACAATTGTTTGCCACGTGTTTTGGAAAAAGTGCGTGAGAAACGACCTCGCGGTAGGATCCTCCTTCACCAAGACAATGATTCGTCGCACACCGCGATTTTTATTTATTCCGAAAAATAAAAGAAAACCTTCGAGGAAAACTTTTTATGAACGCCGAGAAAGTTGTGGCTACGTTTCAGAAGGCCATCGAAGAGATCCTTAGGGACGAGTGGGCAAAGTGGTTTTATCGGATGCAGCGATGTATTGACGTGAATAGACACTATTTTGAAAAGATAAAATAAAGGTAAAAACTTGCTAATTTAATCAGTTTTTAATTTTCTAACTAAAAAGACGAACATTAAACCCATGTACTGTTTGAAGAACAAGATAAAGCTTTTGGAATCAATGCCTATTTATAAAGACGACTTAAGAAAGTAATTAAAATGAGAAATTTGTATTAATATAAAAGGCATCGCCTCACCTTAGCGAACAGTAGTTTACTTACTCTGCAAGGCGGCTAGCTTTTCTTCCTGTGCCTTTAATTGCAAAGCAATCATTAGCTGTGATTCCTGCTGTTGTAAATATAAGGCTGCACCCTCAGTTGTTATATCTTCGGTTCCTGCATGTAACATGCTTGGTGTAGAAACTCTAGGAACTTTAGAATTTTCTAAATTGACATTTACATTCGTTTCTTGTGGTTCTTCGATTTTCTCGATATTTTTAGGAGTTTCTTCAAGTGCTTGTTGCACTGTTGCTTTTTTTATGTTTACAGATTTCTTTTTTTTAGTATCCGAACCAACTAACCACGTCGGCATATCTGCGCCATCGTCTTCATTTTCCTCAATACCCTCATTTTTATCTTGAAATATACCCAGCCAATCTTCCGCAGGTTTTTTCTTAGATGGTAAACTCTCTTTGGTATTATCAATTTTATCCGTATGTTTTGATTTAACATTTACATTTGACACTGTTTGCTTAGAACTACTTTTCCCTAAAATGGAATCAAAATCAAACTCTTGACTTTTTGCTGCAGTGGTAGGTCTTGTTGCTTGACTTGAAACAGTTTTAGAACTTCCTCCTAAAATATCGTCTAATACTGACTGTGAACTTTTTCCTTTTTCCAGCGGTTTGGTAGCTTCCTTTTTCCCGACTCCCAATTCACCTAATATATCAAGTGTATTATGGCTTGAACTTAACTTTGCTTTAGAAGGTGATTTAATAAATTCCGACTTATCAAGTCCTGGTTTCTTAGCTTCAATTTTTATTGAATCTCTGGATACTTGACTTTTATTTGGGGCATCAAACTCTGTGCTTTTATCATCATTTTTAACGATATCTATCAATGAGTCATTTTTACTCTCTATATCACTTTTATTAGGACCCCTCAACTTTTCGGAATCTATATTAAATAAGGAGTGTTTCCTTTCAGCAGTAGGCGTTGCTATTTTTTTTGGCGGCTTTTTTTTACCTAGTATATCGTCATCAAAAAAACTGTCATCACTTCCATCACTAAGTATTCCAGCTAAAGGATCATCAATATTGAAACTCATTTGTAATAAATAAATAAGTACTTTACTGCAAAAATGTGTAGTTTAATTTGCCGTTGCCTTAGCTAGAACTATTCAATGTAAAATATAATGATTACTTGCATAATAGCATCATAGTCGAAAGAACTCTTGTAATAGGTATTGTTTACATATTCGGCGCTATGGAAACGGAAATTGTATTTTTTTTTTATTCATTACAAATTAAGCAACGGCATTAATTTTAAGCAAGGAAAATGAAGGTCTGAGGGAAGTAATTACGTAGGATTTAATTAAAGAAAAATTCAGTTTTTACGGCTACAAGTGTATTTTAATTATTAATTTTAACATAGCAACGAACCAAGTTAATTAGTATCCATTGTCGTTAGGACAACAAGTGTTACCATATTAATTATACTTAAATTCTTTTTTTATATTGAGGTTTTGGTTTGGGTGTGTGTCCTTTCGCCATTACATATTTTATTGATACTCATGTTGATTACTATTTGTTATTTTCAGAGACAAGGCTCTTTCATAAAATGTCTGTGGGTTACCTAGATGGTTTTCGCACGTACATAACGTGTACTAAGGTCTTAATAAAAATGTCAACTGTCATGCATCAACCCGTCTGCGGTTACCATTATTTTGCGTCCATCAAATTAAAAAATTGTTGCTTCACGTCAGCCAGCCATTCGGCTGAATATTCATTATTTTTCAAAACAAATATATTATTTTTATTGTTTTATCAACTTTAAAGTCAGAGTTTGCATCAAATAATGGAATATATTGGTATTTTTTTGTTATATCCAGTTTATAATTACCTCTTGAAAAACTTGTTGTCATTCTTTGTGGCTTAATGTATTGATACCTTTTGTTCTAGAATTTTTATTAATTGTCGTTTTTATTATATTTAACAGCTTCCGAAAAGGGGGACTCCACAGAAAATAGAGATCCAAATTCCCTAATATCCAATGGCACTCCCAAGACTGCGGTAGACAACAAATCAAATGTAGACGAAAAATCACACATGGATACTGAAAGCGCACCTTGCACATCGGAATCCACCGAAGAATCAGAAGTCTGCGAGATTCCAGAACAGGTCGAATTTACTGTAGTTTTTAATAAAATGAAACATGAAATTACATTTGCGTACGACGCATCTGTATTAGAATTAAAGGCGCACTTGGAAAGAATATGCGGTGTGCCCCAATCTGCACAAAAACTCATAATCAAAGGCATGGCCAGAGATGACATGACACTTAGGACAGCAGGAGTTGTAAAGGGTGGAAAAGTAATGCTAGTCGGATCTAAGATGGATGACATCCTTGCTGTGAAAAGTGCTCCCAAGGTAAATTAATGTATTCTTTGATTTATATAAAATTCTTGATTTCCTTGTGCTGTGTGATCCCAGTATAAAATAGGTTAACCCTTCCTTTCCCATGAGTGTTATAAGTAATTAAGAGAATTTAATGGTCATAGGATGGGTAATAAGAGTCCCTTTTAAAACATTACCAAAGCCTGTGTTTGCCAAGCATGGTAATTATGGAGGGCATGGTATTCAGCAATGGATAGTTAACATCTGTAATCTTTATTTCTGTGTATTTCTTTTTATCTAATATGAGCTAGATGAATAGAACTGAATGCCAACATCTATTTCATTTACATATATTTTTGCTTTATCCACTTTCATGTTTAGCTTTATTTACACCAATACTGTATTTTAGGAAATATTAGAAGAGAAAGCCAGTAGTCAATCAAATAAAGAACCACTTTGCATGCAAAAGATCCACAGGAAGGTTCTAGATAAAGGCATCCCTCCTGATGTTATGCCAGGAATCAAAGGAGTCAAGGTATCTCATGCTCTATTCTATATTATTTATTTCTCTAAGAAATTAAAGTATGCAATAACCTAATTGACTGTCTTTTTTAATTTTGAAATAGTTATACAAAATTACTATTTATAATTAAGAAATTGTTCCCTATATAAAAAATAGCCAAATATTCCAACATCTAATTAACTGAACTGAAATCCCATTTTTTGCTCAACTTTTATTGGTAGACCTGATTAAAAATGGCAACAGTTGTCTTATGGACATAAAATGCAACATAAACATCAAAAAATTTTTTTTATTATAGCCTTACATTGTTTACATGGGTGTATTTAAATGTTTCCTTCCCTAGAATTGCATACCCCAGCATGTAAACAAAGCTTTCAGTTAAGTGCAAAGACATGACTGAGAGTACAGTTTGTTTTTAAGCAACCAGAAGCCCCTTAGAAAATAATCTTAAACTCACTATTACTAAAACTATATTACTTAAATGTACAAATAATATTTATGTGGGTCTCATTTGGAATGTTGTTACATTTATGAATAACTTTTCGTTTCTATATCTACAGGAACCTTTACCACCAATTCCACTCAGTGGAATGTTGAATAAGCATGGAGGCAAAGTGAGGCTTACTTTCAAACCAGAGCAAGATCAGCTTTGGCTTGGCACCAAAGAACGTACAGAAAAACTCGCCATGACTTCAATTAAAAGTAAGATTATAAGAGTAAAGCATCTTCTATATATTAACTATAGATCAGTCTGTGATAATTTAAATAAAACACTTAAGATTTAAACTTTTAGACATATGAACACATATTAGTATTATTCTTGTGTATTAAATTCTGAATTTACACTTTTATGTTATAGGCATCACATCGGAACCCATAAAAGATCATGAAGAGTATCACATTATGGTGAGCCATACTGTTTTACTTAACAATAATAATTTATATCTTTTATGTACAGTAAATAACATAATTGTTAATTTTCCAGGGTCTTCAGCTGGGACCCACAGAAGCCTCTAGATACTGGGTATACTGGGTACCAGCACAATATATAGAGGCTATAAAAGATGCTGTACTTGGTGTTTGGCAGTTTTTCTAAGCGCCACCCATTTTCTCAGTCCATCTGTGTAATCTACCTTTATATGAGCTGATTGGGTAATTGCAATACAAAAATATAATATATGGTGTCCATTTCTTACCGGTACAATATAATGGTACCATTTCTTTTGTGATATCATTATGCCATGTCAATTAAAATTGTCCATTGAAATACTGGCATCTATCTGGTCAAATTCGAAATTATTTATTGTTATTATATGTTTGCATTGTGCATTGAGTTCACTGAGCTGTACAAAGGTACTAATTTTACAATCCATCATTGAACTTATTTTTATCTGGATGGTTATCCATAATGAGCTTATTGTCCTTCAAGTTTCAACCTGATCTCTATTGGAACTCTATATTGTGTCACTTGAGTGAAGGATTGGACAGAATTCTTTGCAATTGACTGTCAAATATTTCTTATTGATGTTTAGTGTAATTTGTGATGATTGTAGTAGTTTTAAAATTATTGTGTATTTAAATTTAATTACCTATATGCAAGTTTTTATGCCAATTCTTCACTGAAATGTTTTGATCATAGAATAGACAAATACAACATTTTAAAGAAAAAAATACTATGTATTATTTCTATCAAATCCCATAAAACAATTCTAAAAAAAATATAAATAAAGAAAATTCTATATTTTCAATTTCAATAAAACTACTAAAAAGGTTATAAAAAATTTATTCACTTATAAAATAAGGAAATAATCAAATTGAAAAAATAATATTGCATGTTTAAAGCTAAAGTAGTCACACTACAGAAAATGGCACATAATCAAATAGTAAAAGTAATAAATAGTAAAAATAGTGTATAAATAAAGACATAGTATAAATTTGGCATCTTGATATGTAAACAAGTTTGTACTAAAAAAAGTAAATTAAACCAATAAACTTATCCATATTCTGATTGTACTGTTAAAGAAAATTCTCCTTTTGGTATTGTTGTCGCATGATACCAAACCCGTGTATCCAGTAGAACTGAAAAAAAGTTAATATTGCTCAGGATTCATTTGCATGCCTTAGCATGTGAATTGCCTTAGCAATAAGATCAATATAATGATTATGAAAATAAAAAAACCTCAACTGGATAAAAAAAAATAAGAATGAAATCAAACATCTAAAATCCACAGTTATTATTTTTATATTTGTATTAAACATATAGAAAAATATTTTCAATTAATATGTAAAATATTTTTAATCAAAATGATGAAAAATAATTAAAATCTTTCAACTCACATCAATATTTTTATTTACCAAAGGGTTTTCTTCCGAGTTTATTTATGTACTAACTCTTTAAAATTGAAGAGGGTTCTTTTTTTTTTTTATAAATCTTATTCTAGAAATTAGTTCCTTTTATTCACTGTTATTAAAAAGACGCCAATGTTGATTGTATAAAATATTAAGATCGTATTCCACAATAAATAAAAATCGTGTCCAAAAAAACTGATTTCAATTATTGCAAAACAGAATTTTTTGGTCTAAAATTTAAACTACTAATATGGTACTATGGTAATAATCTTTAAGTATATCCTTTTAGATAAAAAAAATAAATTTCCAAATAAGTTTAGAATTGATGAAGTTATAAGATAACATAAAAAATACAACCAAATTGACAATCTCCTTTTTGAAATCGATCGAAATAAAAAACTAAACTACTAATTTTAATAAAATTTTAATGGAACCAATCTGTAAGTACATATATCCTTTCAGATAAAAACTGATGATAGAGTTATGAGGTAACAAATATAAAAAAATGCAACCAAATCAATTTGGTTAAAAATAAAATTTTTAAAATGTTTTTTTTAAGGTCAGTTGAAAATAAAGTATTATCTTACCAACATCCCCAGGTTCCACAAAATACTGAAATTTTTGGCACACATGATTACACTCTGGCACGGGTGCTACTGACCATATTTTATTCCCTTGTACTTGTCCTTGCCACATCAGTCTTGGTATATAATCCAGCTGTTTAAAAATATAATACATATTAATATTGAATTTAATTAAAACAAAATTCTTAAAATATATAAAAAAATAATCCATACATGCATTACTGCTCCTATTTCATATCCAAAAAATATATTTTCTGTGGCTGGAAACTCAGCATCATCAGGTAAAAACTCTGGATTACTATAATACTGTCTAACTTTTGCTAATATATCAGGATGACAATTGCCCCTAAAAAACATAAAATTATTTCAATTTATTATTATTACTTAACAGTATATTTTTATTAACTCATGTACTTACCAAACAATAGAAATCTAATAAATTTTGTTAAATTTAAAAATACTTAAAATAATTTATGAATATAACAATCAAAATAATCTGGGACAGATTAGAATCTTTGTTAATTTAAGAATTGCCTATGTTCCAAATATTCTAGAATGTACCTTCAAATGCGGAGATAGTAATTATATGGTACCAAATTGCAGATAATATTCTAACTTGAGGACTGTTTAATTTATATATATATATATATATATATATATATATATATATATATATATATAAATATTAAATAAATGTCATGTGCTTATTTCATATTTATTCTTTTTATAATGGTAAGTTTATCTTTAGAAAATCAGTCTTTCATTTATATAACTATGCAATTTATAACTGTAATACATATTTGTTGAAACCATTTAACATATAAGTTCAACTGTCAAATAGGATTCGTACATAGTTAAACCTAAACACCTATACTTTTGATACAATTAAAATTACATTACATCAATCATTCTGTCATACTAGACAACATTCTTAAATAATATTATCAAACATAGCATGGAGATGTAAACAATTGGACAAGGTACGAACCATCCCACATACCAAGGCTTTTGCCCCGGTTCATTTCTCACTCGAGCCTCTGGCATATCAAATACTTCCTTTAATGTGAATAAATCTGTTTTAAAGTTTAGAAATTGACACCCATCTTCAAGACTCTCATAACTTCCTGTAGTTTCTTGGTAAAGTCTTTTAAATGTATTAAAATTAAACTCTTTAGTTGCTTTCCAATGTGTGATTGCATTCTTGACTATAATAGGTTTAGATGAATATGAATATTTCTAGAAGAGATAATATGAATTTAATATACATACATATATTGAAATAAATTTTGTTTAAGATTCATTATAATTATAGAGTGTGTTAATTAAAGATTCCTTAAAACTGTTGTCAGTATTCATTACGTAATAGGATCTTAGAAAAAAAAATCTTTTTTTCTAATACTATTACCAAAAAATAAAATAGTCAAAAAAGGAACACTGTATCTGTAACAATAGTACTACATAATATTAGGCATATATGTGCCTTGTACTATGTAGTGATATTGGCAAAGGTACAGCAGATTGTTCTATTATTTTCTTAAAGAAATAGAACAATCTGCTGTCAGTTATTTTTTTAAGTTATTGGTAACATACATTTTTTTAAGACAATAAAAAGAATTTTGTAACCCTATTAATTAATACTTACAACAGTTTTAAGGAATGGGCTAATTTAATTAACATACTGTATTATTGTAGGACTACAAACATAAGCTATAAAATTATAGTGGAGCATAAACAGTTACATAAAAAGTGAAATTAACTACTTTGTCTTTATTATTTCAAAAATATAAGGCTTGTTAAAATGATCTTACAGCAAAATTCTGACGTGTAATGTTCCATAATATAATTGGTTTCATAACATTCTCACAGTAGGTACAATCTGCCATGGGCCGCGACGCCTCCCAAACCAAGTAATTACTAGGTAACAAACATCTTGAGCTTATAATATTGTTTGAGAAGCTGCCACAAATCGCTAGTAATATAAAGATTGTCACCAATGCTATTATTAACTTTCTACGTGTTCCCTTTATTACAGTCTCATTATTTAAATTACATATGTAATTATACTGTTTTAAGAATTCTCCATCCAAGCCTTTTTCCACAGCTCTTTTTTGGAGAAGTCGCAATTTTTTTCTTATAATCCAGTTATCATTTGTCAGCTTTTGCATTGTAAAATAAACAAATAGTTTTTCATTATTGTTTATAAAATAATCTTCATAATAACAATAACTAAAGTAGAAAAGTGAATATCTGTCAAAAAGTTAGTAATGTCAAAGTCGTCAATAAGTTTTATAACAGGTATAATAAATAGTGGGTCTTATTCTGTAGTACTATTCTGTAAACCTATCTATAAAACTAATATTTTAATTTGACAATTCCATGAAAGTTCTGTTTTATGGCCTCCATAAACTACATTTATATTTATATTTTTTACTTAAAACTGTTAAGAATTTAACTCATATTTGTCCCTCAAATAATATTCTGCTGTGATATCAAATAGAAATTTTATTGTATCAAACAGAGTTTGATTTAAAAACTGTGTCATATAATTAGTTCTAGTCTCCATCAATTTTATTTTACGCTTTTGTTTTTTTTAACATATTATTTATTCTCTACAATTATATGTGTTTTCTTTATTAATACAAATGTAATTGATACGTATTTGTCTCAAGCTGTTTCATTATGTATGGAGTTTGATAAGAATTTGACTATATATTACGATAATGATACCAATATTCGACAATACGACTATTCTTCATCTATGCATACTATACATTCAGTGCAGTAACACACACATAAAATTTTATACATTTGTCTATGGTATTTGACCTGACGCTGTCAAGTCAACGAACTGGTGAACTTGGCGGTTTCAGTAGTAGTTTAGATAAAAAAACTGTAGAAATGCCTCCCAAGAAGCGTGATAAAGATAATGAAACTAACAAAAACTCTAAGATTGACCACTTACAAGCTGACCATGAATTATTTTTACAGGCTTTTGAAAGTAAGTAAAAAACAGAAGCAGTAACTATCCGTTTCCTATGAATATTGTATATAATAATGTTTACTCAATCATACTTTTCAGAACCTACTCAAATATATAGATTTTTGCGGACACGTAATATGCTATCGGTATGTATTCAATTTCTTGTTATCTTTTCTTCGTAATATAACCACTCACCATTACTGATCTATTATTTTCAGCCAATATTCCTTAATAGGACACTATCTTACATGAAACGTAGAATGTCTAGAAGCAATAAAAGCCGCATTGGTTTCAAAGTTGACTCCCTGCTTGAGAAAATCACTTTGAAAAAAAGCACAGAACTCCAGCCTAACAGTTTAGGAGGTTATATGACTCTTACTTTCCTAGGATTTTACGACAAGAGTTTAGATGATCCAAGAGATTATCAAGTGAAAGTGGAAACATTACTACTGAAGATTTGTCATAAAAAGAGAAAAGAAAGTTCATCAGCCATTGTGGAAGTTTCTGTAAGTGGTGTCTACCTTTCCCTTTTCAGTATTATCAGATACCATTTGCATGCTATTACACTCTATATGTACTGTTTATGTAAAATATACTAAACATTTATTTAACACAAACAACTACATCCTATTTATATTTAATTAATAATACATAAATTGTTATTTTAATTCATTATCATATTAAAGATTTTTTTTTAAGTCTTAACATATTTTATCTTACTTAGGTATATCAGCCCTATCTTATCCTAAACACCAAAGTACTTAATGATGACATTAATGTGTAAATAATGTATATCATAGAATTATAAATGCTCTGTAGTTATAGCAGGCTATGTAATTTTAATTATAAATAATTAATTATAAGACAATAAATGTAGCACTAACTAAATAAAATTTTTCAGGTTGGTAGTTGCTCAGTGCCCCTCAATCCATCAACATCTGAGCCTCCAGCAATGGCATCAGCTGTCAGTATCTCTAGTGACACATTTAGCCCATCCCAAGGCCCCAATGTAAAATCTTATATGCTGATGCTACGAGTTACAGTCACTAGGGCTTCAGGAAATTCTAATACGAATGGTGCTTCTAGTTCTTCCGAAATCACTAATGGTGATTGTGATGGTAATTTATTTTTTATATTGTAATTCTTAGTTCCTATAGACATTCACATCTAGCTGTACTTTTAATGGTATAATGAATGGATTAATGGTAACCTTCTTTGCACTAACGGTATATGATATCAGGGCACCAGTGATAGATGATAAATGAGGATAAAAGCAGGTCAGTTAGCTTATTCACAAAAATTAACCATGATCATTTCCAGGAAGAAACATGTGGAAGTCAACCTGGTAGGATATATTGTTGGCAATGGGGCTGTAAAACCCCATTATTAACAATCCCTTCCCCCAGTATTACTTATTAGTAAAGTAATATTAGATATAATTGTTTTGATATAATATTTTTGTATATATAAAGGTACTTATGTAGCTATATCTATGTAATAATAATTACTGTAAAAGGTGCAGAAAGCTCTTGGACACTACTTGAATAGTGTGACAGTACTTTCCCTATGAAATGAAATTAGTTTATTTGCATTAAACAGTTTAAAATTATTACAAAAGCCACATGGTATTATTTTGGCATCTGTTTAATTGCCTTAAGAAATGTAGACATGCAAATATTTTACATTTTATAAAAAAAAAGTGGAAAACAAAATAATTATATAATTCAATTCTGTTATTTAAATTGTCCTTATATATTAAAGATCTATAGTACATCATGTCACTTATGTCTTAACATAACAACTAGTACAATAAATTTTGTAAAATAGGAAAATGTAAATAGTAGGGGTAAAATAATTAAAATGTCAAGCTTAATATACTAGATATTCCTTAATACTATAAAAAAGTTTGTCCAAAAGCCTCTTACCTCTTTTTTTTTTATTTAATCAGATCCAACCGGTCAACTGAGCTTCTGAACACTATTACAAATATTCAGGAGATAAATCAAAAGATAACATATAAAATATATACTTATGAAAACATTAAACCAACTAATAAACTTTTTTCCTGTTGAATTTGTCACTTTTCTTTGTTATTTTTTTGTTGAAATATGTTATATACAAAAAAATTAAAAAAACATTATGTTGTTCATTTTTAGTTTTTTATGAATAAAGGGGTTAGTTCATATTTCATTTATAAAAAGTACAGTTGTAAATAACTAAATGGTAATAAAATATATTTTAGAGCCAGTAACAAAAAGACTGAAATCAACCTCTACGGATCATCTCAATTCATCTGACATCAAATGGACTAAGCTCTATGGCAGCGAGCTTATTGTGTATGATAAGCACAATAGATGTCTTCTCACAAATGGGGAATATGATCTAGTCCTGCATGATGCATCACCTGGAGGGAGGAGTGCAACTATTGCCAGATCTCCACACAAAGCTCTAATGGCTCAGTGGGAGACTATACCTAATGTAAGAAAGATTAATTAAATTATGTATACAAGTTATTTGCATTTCGCCTCTGACCCACTCATCTTTCTATTGCTAGGCAACTATGCTTGCAATTGAGGAGTGATGTTACAGGATTCAGTCAAATGTATAACATTATAATTCTCAAAAATGCATGATGGGAGTCATATATTCTATGATTTAAAAAGATCAATTTTTTTATGTAAACCACTCAATATTCTGATCTCCAACTTCTCCAAATAATTGCACAAAGCAACTTGTACTTAAATGTTACATATGTATATTAAAAACTATATTTATTTTAGGAAAATGATTTACAATCTGAAACAAATCCATTTGATATATTTAAAGTGAGACCCTTATTGAAATTAAAGTTAAGCTGGAGCCAAGAACCCACCAATGGCTTAGTGAATAGACCAAAATTATATCAACAAATTAATGAATCTAATGGCGTGAAGAAAGAGACTAATAGCAGCAAAGATAAAATTCCTATGCAAAAATCTAGTACTAGTGATAATAAAAATGGTGAGTGTAATCCTTTGTTATAGGATTTTGGTTTAATCAGACCTTCACTCTTTCACATACTTAATTTATTTTTTTATTTATGTCCTCCTGTTGGGGCAACTGATTTATACATTCTTCTCCAACTAGCTCTAGTCCAGCTCATGTCCTTGACCCCCTTATACAACATGACAACTAGTCTTTCCTTTATCTGTCCTGTGTAACTGTTTCTTGGTCTTTCCTTTTAGGATATTTTTTATGAAATTGTCATGCTGTATAAAAAAGGCCACTTTTTGCTTCTATTTATCACTTGTAGTTTGATATGCAGATAAATATACAAATGAAAATCACTGCTTTATTCAGGTTTAGGAATAAAATGTTGAAACATATAAAAATATCTGTAGGGTACCAATTAGTGTGCATGTTTCAATGTCCATACAAAACCCCTAGTATTGCAGATGTCTATAAATTATAGGGAGAACCTCATGCTGTGCAGTGGGATATTAATAAATGGTTAATATAGTAACCATCTAGTGGATCATATGATTTTTGCAACTTATGTCATATAAAAATACTATAATTGAATAGATCAAGTAATTTGCTATTGAATAAAATTATTTAATTTATAAAGTTGTTCCATATTATAAATGTATTAAAAGTATCATATTTTCTTAATTATAAATTAAATAAATAAAAGTGCTTTAATAATAAATATTATTTTATGTAGGCGACAAGCTAAAGAGTGAGGAAGGTGAAACAAAACGTCAACAAATTATTTACCAATTCCTATACAATAATAACTCGAGACAGCAGACTGAGGCTTGTGATGATCTTCACTGTCCATGGTGTTCATTGGACTGCGGGACATTGTACTCTCTCCTCAAGCACTTGAAACTGTGTCATTCCAGATTTAATTTCACATATTTCGTAAGTATAAAATATATTATCATGGGGAATGGTACTACCAAACAATGTGATATTAATGGCTCATTACAGAATAGGAAAATAATGCCCTTTCTTATGTTTTCGTTATGAAGTGTGAATAATATAGATTTCTTATATGCATTTCTGATCTTGTAACTAAACTGGAAATTTGTTATTGTGTTTCTGTAATATAATCCTAAGTGCGTTTAGATAGCCACTCGGCTACACCGTGTATTTGAAATTTGACCGATAATTGCATCACAACCACATTTCGGTGAGCAAAAGTCACGAACACTCCTAATAGGCTGTATACATGTGCACGGCAGCCGATCCCGGGCGGCGCGCGCGTGGACGTGTCCATCAACGAGCTGTACGACGGGTCGTACACGGGCTCGCCGCACGACCTGATCGCGGCGCAGGGCCGCTCGACGGCGGCGGCGGCGGCGGCGGGCCCGCGCGCCGGCCCGTCGCGCCGCGCCGCGCTGTCCCGCGTGCTGCTGTGGAGGCCGCGCCGGGCACGCCGCGCCGCGCACAGCCTCGCCGAGTTCCTCGAGCTCGACGACGACATGGCCGACGCTCAGCGGCCCTACCTCGCCGGACACAACCGGTGAGCGCTGCCAACCTTTAGAGCCTAATATAGCGAGGTTTATTTGCCAGAAAAATACCCAAAGTGTCTTGGTTATTGAAATATATAATTCTATAACAGTTAAATAATTTTCTTTGACGATAATGATAAATTTATTCGCATAAACATGTATGTGCAGTATGTACATACTGGGCATTTTAATTATGTTACAGTTCTAACATGTTTTGCCAACATTAGCGTGCAAATTTTTATTTGACGGACTGTAGCTTTTCAAAAAGAAATATTTCAAATTATATAATGTCAATAATTGAAATAATATTTAAACAAAAAGTTATATCTGTGTAATTATAAATGTACCCACGTCTTATTAACACTTTAGATACTTTTCAATACCCTAACTGGAGTGTTTATTTTATTTTATCAAACAAACTTATTAAACTAAAGAGTCTTAAAATTGTTACTATTGTATTATTTAATTTACAGACTTTACCACCACACAATTACATGCCTGCCTGTGTATCCCAACGAATTGGACATTGATTCAGAAAGTGAAACAGATCCATTATGGCTTCAACAAAAAACTATGATGATGATAGATGAGTTTACGGATGTAAACGAGGGTGAAAAAGAACTCATGAAAATGTGGAATCTGCATGTAATGAAATACAACTATGTTGGAGATTGTCAGATCCCCATTGCCTGCCAGATGTTTCTGCAGATGAAAGGAAAGGAGCTTCTAGAGAAAAACTTATATAGGAACTTCATCCTTCACATGTGCTCTTTACACGACTTTGGGCTGCTGAGTCCGGTTGCACTCTATCAAACTGTACAAACGCTCAACCAAATGCTGGCAGACAATGCCGAGGCCAAAGAGAAAATGCGCGAATCGCTAAAAGCTCAGCGCGAGCACTGGAACGCGGTTGGTAAGTATCAGCAACCTGCTATCATAGAGCAAAAACCACAGTTGAATACGGCTAAACTAAATAATGCAGAGGCATCTCCGTCAGTGAGACGAAAAACGTCTAATTTACAAAACGCTAATAGAATGGCTAGCGCGAGTGCCAACTTCAGCAAGTCGGCAAGTCCTGGACCCAACCACCCTGAGAATAAAAGGAAGATGTCCTCTGGAAGTATACAAAGCCGAAAACGCACATCGATATCAGAGAGAAAAAGCTCTGTATAGCGAATATTCAGTGATTAATTTATAATGGACTCACCTAGAGAATTAAATCTCAAATTACAAGAAGTACACTAAAAGAGTAATTTATATTTTTTCCTTTTTTTTTTAATCAAATTTCTCGACTTATTGTCAAGTTTGCCAGGAGTTTATTAGTTATATTTTTGTAATAAGTTCAATTTATTGTCTTATATTCAAGAAATATCACATTAATGAACAATGATGTTAAGTAAACAATAAACATTAGAAAATCTTAGATAAAAATTCTAAACTATTGCACGTTATTTGCATTCATGATTTAGAATTGGCGCCATATCATTCAATTTTGACATGATTTTCTCATTATTATTAGTTAATATAATTACGTTACTGCCCAATATGATTGTGTTTAGATTATAAGTAAATCAGTCCATGAAATGGATAACATTAGTTTTAATTATTAAATTATACTTTCTTTCTGGATTTAGATCTCTGTTAACAAATATGTATTCTTAAACATATTTCAGTTGACATTATATTATCACAAATCAATAAGTAGCTGTGATTTTGACAATCATTTACATTTAATTTGTAAGTTATATTCCTTTTTGTATTCACTATAAATTGAGTTGCATTAATCAACTTTTTATGACAATGTTGTTAATCTTTATCTGAGAATAGAAACACATTCAAATGTTGTGAAATGAATTAGAATATTTTGGAAAATCACTAATGTTAAAACCATAATTTGATAAGCAGGATTAGACTAAACATTTATATATTATTTCATTAACTTTGTCACATCTGAACATAAAGTCATGATCTATTTTCATGAGGATTATTGGCTGTCAAGATGAGCACGGCCTCTCTTTTGAGGACATTTCCCACCCATGCTCCGATACCTCGTAGTATCCCATCACTGCCATGTGCTGTTAGTTATATGCATATTGAAAAGGTAGCATCACTCACAGGATGCATTTGACTGATAAAACATCACATAAAGGTGAAATTAGACGAAATTAATTCTTTCATTTTATTTATTGTAAATAGGCTAGGAGCATTTATTATTAGTTTTGTTGCTTGACTACATTTGTGAGCAATTTTGTTACTCGTAAGTGAGAAAATACTTAAACCACTTTGACAGATTTTATCTATGGATTTAATTGACCAGATGAGCTTTACAGTTTCTCATTATGCTGGCAAAGTCTCAATACAATAAATACTATAGTAAATATAGAAAATGCAAACAATAAATTAATATAAATCAATACGTAGCAACGCGTATAATAATAATAGAAATGTAATTGAACGGAAGGTAAATATTCCATGGTCATCCAACGAAATTCCAGCAAGTTGGAGGCGAATATGTCCAGTTGTGGTCATTAAGTAGTCTCAATGTAAGAAAGAGGCCAGGGTTTGCTTGGTGAACCCTGTTCTTCTTAACGGAATATGAAATAAGTGCCATCTACATACTCACCCATGCTGGACACTTATAGATATTGACAACCAATACTTTGGTGACATATTCAATTAATGAGAGCTTCCGTTTTACTTCATATGTATTATATATATATAACCCACAATACTAAAACAGTTTAATATATATTAGTATAAGACACCTTAAAATCGTACTGTTTTTGGTACAGCCACCTTATGAATTTTATTAAACTATATACACAGTGAACCCGCCAGGTTATAGAATTAAATTTACAGAAGTAGTATAAGTGTTTTCTTACCAATAAAGATGAATTACGAACACCAATAATTTAACATTAACAGAATTTAATTTTTCCTACATTGCTTCTTTAGCCTTAGCCTACCTGGCACTTATTCAATTCTAGGTTTACTTTTTTTTTTGGTCCAATTCCACCTTTATTGTAGAGTCATAAAGCATTAAATACTGCCAACTTTTTTTGAGGGAGAAATAATAAAAATTAGCTGTGATTGTTAGATTTTTATGCCTTGGGGGAGAGGCCTATGAATTGATACTTTCTTGTTGTACGGTCATAAATTTAAATAGATACAGCAAATACGTCAATCTATTTAAAAACTATGCGTGTCACATTTAATTAAAACAATATGAAATTACTTCTAATTTGAAGATTATTTTTTGGTCGGAAGGATATATTATTGATCGAGCCGATCCCTTACTAATATTACGACTGAATTGAAATGATTCATATAAGCGATCCATGTTAAGTATTATATTCTAGGGAAAATTGCACGCAAAGTACAAAGCACATACAATTTGCAGTGTGTATTTAAATGTATGACTGTGTTGAATGATGTTTGTCCCCAGGTAACTTTGTATTTGTGGTCTAGATACGTAAATTTATTTATTCCTATTATTACATTACATATTATTATTAAAAATTAGAAGTATAAAATCAATGTTTGGATGAATTGTATAAAAAAAAATCTTTATTGTCATTCCTTTATATTAATTTGGTATGTGCGACTAAGAATAAGCCACGATTATATCACTGCCATACATATTATACAACTACTTGGATGATACGAGAACTGTATAATCAGTATTTAAATTTTCACCCACATTCTAAACATTTTTAAACGTATACAGTTTATTAATGGCTTTTCATAACTAAATGAATTGGTCAACCATAATTTTTAGTATTCCCTTATATACGGAAATACTAATGATGTTTTTAAAATGTTTGTAATAATGGAACGAAAATCCGTATTGTTGATTGTATTAAGTTTATTTTTAAATAATAATTATCATCATTGCCTTACCTTTTCCTATTTATTTGGGGTCAGCGCAGTGTCTCCTTCCACAAATCCCCGTTGTCATTTCCGGGCTCACTCCTCTTAGGCATATCATCGTTCAAATAGTCCATCCACCTTATTTTACGGTTGTTCCCTTCCTTTACATCCGTCCACATTCATACTTAATGTTTTCTTTAAAACATAGCTCTCATTTCTATGTTTTAAAGAAAACATGATTGTACCGGGACATTATTTTGAATAATAATTAGATTATTCAAAAATAAACTTATAATTATATAATGCAGTTATTATAGTCAGAATTAGACTAACGACACGATGAGGCAAAGTATTGTTTCTATCATCACAACATAAAAGATACATAATAACTACGTACAGAAAATCTATTCATTTATTCACAGTTTTCGCTGCCCGTCCGCTAGAAGCTGTTGATAGGGTGGTGAATATTGTTATAAATACTCAATGAAAAAGATCCGCAGTATATTAATACGATATTAACAATGGAGACGTAATTGTCAGAAACAAAGACACGGAAATATGCTGCAAATGCATTTATATAAATGTTTAGGGCATCATTGTCTATTCTATACTTAAGTATATTATTTTTTATTCTACGCCTTTGTCATATTGTGTTGTTGGTAAGCGTCGCCTTTATTGGCCGTTATTTAACCAACAGTACAAATGTAGCTCTAAATTTCATATCAAATTTGACATCCATACAGTGTTATATATTATTAATTTCTTGATATTTTTTTTTAAACCAATCAATCAATATTCATAGAAAGAATATATCATACACATCAATGTAAACTAGATAAATATAACACTGGTATATAATATGGAATGTTAAGTTGTAAGATAAATACATGTTCTAACGTATTTCAATTTTTGCAAGGCTATTTTGTAAAAAAATAAGTATTTTGTTATTTTTGTACTGTTCCATTTTGAGTAACGTTCAGTAAATTGTACTTATGGTAAACTGAAATATACCTAACGATTATTTTATATCTTTGTTATTTATTATACGCATTACCTTGTAGTATACCAATGTATACAAACACGTGCACAATACATATAGTAATATTGCCTACATTTTTCACCAAGAGTAAACTAGAAGGTATGAGCATTACAAGAAAACCACTTGTCTCTAACTGTCTATGCGGCAATTTATTTATTTATAAATTACTCACCACATTACAGTATCCCGAAACGTGTAGTGAACCATAGGTTTATTTTACAAACTTAAAAATAAAATTTTAAACAACATTTTAAAAATATATCTATTTTGTCATTAAATATATCAATATCTGGCTGCTGAGCAATCAGAGAATTAAGCAGAGAAATAACCTGATAAGTGGGAGAAAACTGAGCAGTACAGATGCTAACCGCCGGTGCCGATAGTAATCGACAAACAAACAATTACAGCAGTACTCGTTACTTGTTATTATAAATTTGGCAAAAAACATTGGCATCTTTAACACTATTTTCCAGGACAGCCAGCCCCCTTTTAATAAGTATATAGCTACTGTTAGATATATTTTTGGAATAGCTGAAAGCTGAACTCTTGAATCTGTGGTGGGCATGGCCAACTCAGCGAAAGTAGGATTATTTATTGCTTTTTTGTCATATATGCGCTAGATGACATATATATATATATATATATATATATATATATATATATATATATATATCCTGTTTCATATAAAATTCTTGCTATTACTATTATATAGGACACTTATATAATTGTTTAGATAAGCACGCCATAGACATTGACCTCTTGTATAATTCCTCATTTGCATATAAAAAAATATTGTAATAAGAATTGTCAAACGCAAGCAATAAAGAGAAAAATGGAAAGTCATTTGACAAAGTTCACAAACTGAAATTTGTTGTTAAAATATGTCACAATCGAAGAATATTCATAAATTACCAGACAAAAGTGGGACAGATATACAAACAATTGATAAAAATGAAGGTATATTATATACGCCATATATGTAATGTAGAAATTAATATTTGGATCAAGTTACTATAGAATATTAATAATTATTTTCCTTTTAGGAGAAATGTTAAGTTGCAACCCTACAGAAAGTACTTATGCTGGTAAGCTATTTTGCTATGTTTATTCGAGCAAGTGTGTAGGAATTTAAGATGAGCTGTAGGTATTATTTATTATTTGCTTATTTTTTTTAGTCTAAGACCTAATGTAAGACAAGTTCATAAACAACAGATTATCTATTTATTTACTGCATTATTGTTCTTCAATCATTCTAAATACAAACGTTGACAATTTAAGAGTACCGTCACTATTGTTTTCACGTTACTATTTCATTGGTGTGAAGGATTTTCCTTATCAGCTCCACAGGACCTTATCAATTCTCACATTACATTCTCATGTTATAGTTACTACTTTAAATCTATTTTATTTATAAAATGCGTATAACCCATTTTTATTAGTAAATTAAATCTTAAAATCATTAAACTAAATTTGTAATGTAAGTAGTATATTCATTTATTTTAACATTTATTATATAAGTAGGTAGGTGTGTATAGTGTATGTATTTATTATATATTGTAATATTTTATTTAACTGTATATTTGTTTATGTATTAATAGTTGTAGCACTTTAGCTGCCCGCTAACGAAATGTATTAGGTTGACTGGAAGAGATCTCTGTCAGAGATAAGTCCACCCTTGCTCACAACATTTATAAATACATTATTTTATATGTAACTTACAAGTGCAATAAAGAATTAAAAATAAAATAATACCTTGCCTGAGAGTCGGGTCAGACGGCCCTTCGTGAGAACTAGAGGGTAATTAACCACGATGAAGGACCAATATGAGTGAAAGAATCCAACTCAAAAACATTATATTCCACAGTAACCGTTTCGAAGAAGCCATCTCCTTCAGGTGAGGATGAAGCCGCCCCGTGCGCCGGACAAAAGTCGTTCATCAGCATTCACTCCACTGACCAACTCTGCCAAGTGGCAGATATTGAGAATCCATCAGTCCTCGAAGTGTGTAACGTGGAAGTACTTACCTTAAACGAAGTTTTTCCATCCACTTCAGAAGAAAGTCTCTCCAATGAAGACGATTCCCCATTACCGAGAAGACAAAAATTTAAAAACAAACCTCATGCCCAAAAGATGCTAATAGAGAACGTCTGTAAATCAACGTACGTACCAACTAATAGTAAGTCGTCAACGGTCTCGGGAACGCAGAAGGAGCTTGATGGGCAAATATCTGTATATTCAGATTTCGATATTCCAAAAAGTACATTGTATGTTGTCGGTAGTAACCCCGGTGAACCGAAGATGTCTTATCAAGATCCACCTAAGAAAATATCTAAAACGGTAAGTAGTATAAATAATCCTATTAATATTATATTTGCTGTGTTTGTGTTTTTTTATAATTTTCTGGTCTATAGAAAAGGGTTACCACTTTACATCAGCTTGTTTACCATTTTAAGTATCATAAAAATAAAATAGTACCTACCAGAGGGAGACTGTACAAAAGTCGATTGCTAGTACCTCTGTCCCATTCGTGTTTCTACCGTGAAGTAGTTGTGTTTGCATGGCTGTGTTTCGGTTTAAAGGGTGGGATATGGCGTGAATTTACAGGGTACAGAGGAATAAAATCTGAGTCTTCAGACATGACGACAAATTTTATAGAAAATATTTTGATTATAGATGAAAAAATTTTTACGGAATATTGATAAACACAAGAATGAGCAAAATAGCAAAATCAACGAGAAAGTGATCAGCAAGTTAACGACAATGCGAGGCATTCTCAAGGACGGCCGCTGCACGCCAGAATGCACCGGCGATTCTACCGTTCAAGAACCAGAAGAATTTATTGCACGTCAGTTCATTTATCAAATTTCATATTTTAGACATATTTTACTCTTCGTAATGTTATTGCAAACGCCCACAAAGTAAAAATATATTGTTACGTGTTTAGAATTAAAAATCTAGTTTGAATTTTTTCCAAACAGAAAGTTGAATGGTTTAAAAAATCTAAATTGTATTCAGATTTGAACCAGCATCTACTGGTACTAGCAGTACTCTTTCTAGAATGCTACCGCTATTCAGCATACCTTTAATTTTATCAATTAGTTTTATAACGTAATGTCACCTGCAACGCCATCTGGTTGTAGTTCCTTTAGAGATCTCCACTAGCTCCAGACAAATGTGATGTTTAATATTATATTGTGGGGGAGGAAGACAGTTGTAAATAATGGAGACTAACCGCTCCATTGCTAGTAATATACCATGCCAGTTCATGGTAGTGCAGGCGAAGTTATTTCATTTATATGCTATTAAAACATTACATTGCAGCAGAAGATTTGACACTACCTTTTCCAATGGACTTTAGCGCTCAATTAAACTATACGAAACATAGTCCAGACAAGAACGTGACGTTCAACACTCAAGTGGTGATCATTCACTTTACCGGTGACCTTTGTGTCGGTCAGAGCGTTGAAACACTGAGCAAAGAAAAGGATCAGCAGGCACGGAACTCAGAGTTGAGAAAAACATTTCTCAGCAAATACAATGAATTTTGGCATACACAAAAATAATTTTAAGTTTAGATTGTAATTCCAGACGTTTTGTCTTTAGTGGTAACTGTGATACAGTATTATAAGAATTTTGAGACAATGTTTTTTAAGAATAATTTGCGCTATGCTAAATTATGAAAGTTTCGTTTTGTCCTGTGTCTTATTTATTTATTTAAATCAACGAATTGCTTAATAATTATTTAATTTATATATTGTCAACTTATACTAAATTTAAATAAACGTTACTCATTAAAATGGGGTATTAATTAAATTATAAAAGAAAAATGCAAGAAAAACTAATATTTAATATCACAGTCATTAATTAGGCCTAGACGTCATTTTCCACACAACTAATTCTTTTACGCGATCATACGTAAAATACTTTGGAAAATCTAAAGGTAACTGTTCCACTGACCACGTAGAACTTGCGGTGCCCGTTATGTCTTTATGTAGTAATGTAAGGAATGTTTCGTAGCACGGTGCGACCGAGTCCATATGCTCTATCGTGAATACGTAGCGTTTCTCCAGCGCTACATACAAGGTTTTAGGCGGATTGGTATTCATTATTTTTTCTATGGTTCTTATGAATCCTGCTGTAACGTCGTCGTCGTAGATAACTGAAACCAATGTAAGAAAATATAATTTTTATTAAGAATAATGGTAAGAAGAGTAAACATTATTATTATTATTATTTATGGTTAATAGAAAAATTATCAAAACAATGATCAAAAGTATTCTGTTTGTTTCACTAAAACAACTTAATAAAAAGTTTTAGACATTCATATAATAAGAGTAAATTCAAGTTTTTTTTTAAAATATATTTTTTTTTATTAAATAATAAAATTACTAATAATTAAATATTGAATCTCTTATACATATAGTGCGATCACATAATATGCTACGAAAGATTCAAGAGTAATTTTTATATTTAATTGCATATTTTTAGGAAACATTGTCCAGTCTCATATATCTGTGGTTGTATTTAAAAATATGATACATTCTAATGTACATACCATCTGCAGCAATTATAATATCAGCATCTTTTATTTCATTTGATAATTCTTGATTCCAATTAGTATCCATAAAATCCAATGGCATTACTTTAAATTGAGACTTTATAAGTTTGGAGTTATAATTTGCATTTAGCTTTATAAGTTCTAAGATACCTCCTACATTAATATCTGGAAATTCAAAAAAGATTTTTACTAAGACCATGCATTTGTATGGTTTATAAGACTGGAAATGAGATCATTAAGGCAAACCATGATAAATTACACGAAATGTCGAGGTAACCGAGGTAAATTATCATAATTTTCCTAAACAATAATACAAATTCTCATCTCCTACAAATCAGAAAATATTTATTCAGAGATTATGAAGATTTTAATTAAAAAAATACTTTAACTGTGATGTAACTAGTTATTTTGATTCAAAAACTAAATTACAGAACTAATTTTGATAAAAGTACTCTGGGACCAATCTGTAAGTATATTTTTTCAGATAAAAAAAGAATTCAAATCGGTTCACAAGTAATGGAGTTATGAGATAACAAATATAAAAAAAAATACAACCGAATTGAAAAAGAAGGAGGTTCTCCTCCTGAAATTGATTGAAAATTTATGATAATGTATGGTTTCTCAGTACAACTTCTAAGAAAAAAAATATGACATCATAATATGGTAACCATTGCCTACATTTAGGTCTAGAACAGCACCATAGACTCCACAGACAGTATTTTATTAACCTCCATATGTCGCCATGCCTTAGAACTAAGGTGTTATATCCATAACAAACCGCAAGAGATCTCTGTCAGAAATAAGTCCACCCTTGCTCACAATATTTATAAATGCATTAATAATGAATTTACAAGTATAATAAACAATATATAATTAAATATTAAATTACCTGTGCATACCACGTTCTTTGCATACAAAGCAGTAACAAAACTACTAATGCCAGTGCCAGCGCCAAGTTCTAAAACTGACTTGCCTGTCAGCTCTCCCTTTATACCCAGGTGAATAAGTAAATCGCCGAGTAAAAACGCACCTCTCCATACTTGTAGCCCTACCAGGGCTAATTTTGTTTTAGCACTATGCTCTGAAATATATACAATATTTTTTCTTATTTATATAATATTTTCAGAAATTACTATTCCACAATCAAATGGCTTTTTTACTATTTTCAAAGGACATTTACATTTGCTTTCTTCTTTTTGTAGGGGAGTATAAAAGTTTTTTGCTAATAATATTGTATATATGTGTCCGCCAAGTGTTGATAAACATGATGAAATAATCTAAGTCCTTGATTTTCAAGTATAACCTGATCTGTTTTCAACCAATTTAAAAAAAGAAAGAGGTCTTCATTTCAATTGTATTTTTTTAATATTTGTTACCTATAAAGTAACAAATACTTTGTCAGTTATAAATCAATTTGGAATATCCATTATTGAAAGGATATACTTTCAGATTGGTCCCACAAGAATTTTATGAAATCACTTGAGAAGATTAGTTTTAAAACAAAATAACTGGATTTGCCATAAGTTGTTCTTTTATTTAAATCTTAAATTAGTAGAATAATGTACAGATATAACAAAATAGGAAATATAAACAAAAAATAATATTTAATGCCAATCAAATATTTTATATTGATTTATAAAAAAATTCAACCAATTGACACTACAATACTAGAGAAATAATACTAATAATTAAAAACTTTTTGCATATATTTTATAAAAAATAATATTCCTATTTTTAAACTATATAGTAAGTAATAGTTTAGTAGGTAATCTTTCTTTATAGCAACAATCATAAAATAATAAATGTATTGAATTTTTTGATTGTATATATTAGCATATAGTAAAATTATAGGCACTAAGTAACATGCTTTACCTATTTTTATAACTTCTTTTTTCGGTCTATCCACATCCAGATCATTATCTTCATCAAATTTAACATCATTCCTATGGTTGACTAAGAGAAATGGAAACTCTGAGATAACATCTGAAATATTAAAACAATTTATATAAGCAAAGAAATTATTTAAAAGTTGGAAGGGCTATTTGATACGGAGAAAATAGATATGTGGGTTTTAACCCCCATCATTTTGAGTTATCAGATAGTAAACTTTCCAACCTATTAATAGTTTAGGATTTCTGTGTATATAGTGTCATGCATTTAAAATATACATATTTATTTATAATTATATTTACTACTAGCTGTTGCCCGTGACTTCGTCCGTGTTTCCGTCTTTTTTCGTAAAATATGTAGCCTATGTACTTCCTCACGGTTCAGTGGTTTTGATGTAACAGACGCATTCCCCTTCACTGCTCTACTCCTATTGATTGTAGCGTGATAAAAAGTATACTATAACCTGTCCAGAAGTATGAAGAATAATTGTACCAAGTTTCGTTTAAATCCATCACGTAGTTTTTGTTTCTATAATGAACAGACAGACAGACAGACAAAAATTTTGCTGATTGCATTTTTGGCATCAGTATCGATTACTAATCACCTTCCGATAGTTATTTTGGAAATATATTTCATGTATAGAATTGACCTCTCTACAGATGTATTATAAGTATAGATTAATAATATAGTTTATCATATTATTTTTGCACTATATTTTGCTTTATATACAAATGCTTTCTTTAGGGTTCTCAAGGTTTACTGAAAGAAATACCTTCAAGTGATAAGTTTACCTGTGTACATTTTCATTATAACCAGATATCTTTATTGAAAGTGAATGTATATAAATAAACTAGACGCATTTTATCTAATTTATGAAAAAATATTGGCTAACTTTAAAATATATTTTTTGTGTCAGTATGCTAAAATTAATGCAATGCAGGTTCAGCTCAGGACCATTCTTTATGGGAGGTTTATGTCCAGCAGTTGACAGATAATGGCTGAAATTATGCTAAAATTAACATATTTTTTTATAAAAAAAAAAAACATTGTTCTTGTTTCATTGTTTTTTTTTAAATGATTCTACTTAACAATAATATTCTTGACATGTGTAAGAATTTTTCTCTATAAAGTTCAATTTATACACTACATATACAAATATATTTGCCTACTAATATTCTTTAAATGATTAGCACTTACTTCCTTTATTAGTTGGAGATATTTTAGTTTGATAATCATACTCCTCATAAATTTCAGATGAAACAGTAAGATCTGGCATCTGAAACAATATTATTATGTAAGAATTTCTAGTAAAAAAATTATATCCTCCTATTTATAATTAAATTTGAACTTTATTTAAAAAGAAGAATATAGAAAATTTTCTATTATTAGATTATTTTAATATATAAAAATTGTTAATACATGTTGTAATTTATGGTATTTATCTATATAATTTAATATATTAACTATATTAATTTTAAATTATATTCTACGTACAGAATAATTGTTTACCATTTACACATACCTTTAATATTTATTTGTGTAATATTAAGACTGGTTCAATAACTAATGGTGTTAACTATCCATAGCATGAAGTCACAAATGGAGAAGGCCTTGTCTATAAAAATTGGATAGATTCCAATATTAAAATTTTAAAATAAATCTAAGAGTATGTGCCAGTATTCATATTCATAATTACATCATGTGATTATAACTGGAACGTATATCTAATTATTTTAAGATCTTTAAATATGTTCATCACTGAAGTTACTAATTTGCTATTTTGAAAAAGTAAACATGAATATCTTAGCAGTTTTAATATAATCATAAATTCAAGAATATTTTAAGAATATCGAATTAACTTACCTGTTGCATTAGAAGATGTAGTTTTATTAATATTTGTACAATTTATTTCAAAAGTTTAAACTAAGATTTAAACAGTGAAACAATTACTTTTTAAATACACAACTATTGTGTCATTTATTCTTCATGGTTTAATTTTTAGTGATTAAACTATTATCCAATTACATTAAACTGTTAATAGATTTTTCATTTTTTGAGGAATGTGCACATAAACGTAACATGATATTACTTTATCATTATATTAATTAAAATTATAACAATTTTGTATAATTATCGGCATCTTTCAAACAATAAGCAAGAAATATCAAATTGTCAAGTTAATGTCAATGTCAAAGTTGATAATCAGCTGACGAAGGGAATAAAAAAAATTAACCAATCTATGGACCAATGACCTCGACTCTTGATTAAAATTAAATTATTTTGTAATACTAGATTATCATTATTTATTCATATAGTCTTAAAATAGCATACAAATTAGTTTTTAATTCTTGTTATTTTAAAATTAAATAGTGTATTTTTAATATAATATATGAGTAGTTATAATTAAAAAATGTAATATGAAGAATATGTTCGGATTATTCGTAATATATATATATGTATGTTCTTTATATGTTGTTTGTATTTTTATTAAATTTCTTGCATCTTTTAATAGAAAAATATAAATTTGTATGTATATGACTGATAATATTTAATTTAATTTAAATCACTTTTAGATTTGGTTCGATTTGATAGCATTGGTGGATGTTGTTGTTGCCTTATCTCAATTATAAAAATAAATTATAACCAATCACAACACAACACACGATCGACGCTGCCACGTCAAAGTGAGACGGGAGACTGCTTGAATGAAGTGGCATTTTTCAACATTTAAAAGAGTTTCGTCTTCCGAGTAACCAACGGGAGAATAGTAATTAGTCGATATGCGTGTTTTATTAATTTCTGTGGCCATAGCCCTTCTGGGTACCGTTCTCGGAGATGAAGTTCCAACAGAAGATAATGTATTAGTGCTAAGCAAATCTAACTTCGATAGTGTTGTTTCAACTACAGAATTTATTCTTGTGGAATTCTGTAAGTTAGCATTATTTCTATTTTAATATGAATTGTCGGCAATAAACTTATATATTTTTTAGTTTCATTTATTATTAGTATATTTCTTATAAGCCTAAAGGTCGTTGACACGTCAATATCATTACTCAAGCCGGCATGCTTTGTCTGTCACGTACATGTTTTATTTGCTAAATTCTATAAACATATTTTAGATGCACCATGGTGCGGTCATTGCAAGTCTCTGGCGCCAGAATATGCTAAAGCCGCTACAAAGTTGGCGGAAGAAGAATCTCCTATTAAATTAGCGAAGGTGGATGCCACGCAAGAACAAGATCTCGCCGAAAATTATGGAGTTAGGGGTTATCCAACTCTCAAATTCTTTAGAAATGGAAGCCCTGTTGACTATTCAGGTTATTGAACATAATGTATATCAGCTTAATTATCTGATTAGTTCTGGAATAATTGTTTTAATATGCACTACTAATATATTCTTCATGCTTAATCAATATTCATAAATATTATCACATTTTAACTAGTAGTGTAGTAATTTAAGCCTTATTAAATGTTTTTAGGTGGTCGGCAAGCTGATGACATCATCAATTGGTTGAAGAAAAAGACTGGTCCACCTGCTGTGGAAGTCACATCTGTTGAGCAAGCTAAAGAACTCATTGCAGCTAACCCAGTTATTGTCTTTGGTTTCTTCCCTGACAAGGAGTCTGCTAAAGCCAAGACATTCTTGGGAATTGCTAGTGTTGTCGATGATCAGGTGTTTGCTATTGTTCAAGATGAAAAGATTATCAAAGAATTAGAAGTTGAGAATGAAGATGTTGTTCTCTTCAAAAACGTGAGTCTTATATTTTATTTTTAATCATTTATTCATAAACTCCGTTATATCATTATATTTTTATTAAAATAAATTAATAATTTAAATAAGTAAAAAAATAAATTAAGTAAGTCTAAAATTAAATTATCTATAAAAAATTACAAATTAGCACTATTTACAAAATAATAAATATTTACCTATGACATATTTTGTTCTATTACATCATGATATCTTAAAATTCTTCTATGACTAACTAAATAGTTATATGATAAATATATTTATTAATATCAGTTATATATTTTCATAAACTTAGTAAATTCACAAAAAAACTTATTATCTTTTTCCATTTCATGTTAAATTACATTTTTCATACAAACATTTGATAGCTTACTAGCACAGTAGATAAGGGTTTGTTGCTCCTGTGTGAAGATAAGCACATTAGTTGATATTTAGTTCGTATTTAACATCAAAATAGATACTTTTTTCATACATTATATATAATAGATATATACCTAAACTTAATTTTATAAGCTTATCTCATTTGATATTTTTAAACTGTACCTTCACTAACATTCATTGGAAGCCAAAAGGTTTCTAGATATTTAAATTGTAACTTTTTGTAAAAATATGTTTTAACATGTATATTTTATAAAATTTATAAAAAGTGTATTAATATAATATTAATACACTATGCTGTATGATCATGGCATAGAATGGGCCACCCCTTCCTTTTCCATGGATGTTATAAGAGGGGACTAAGGGAACTTAATGTTCAAGCTGCCTATGACTAGCAGTATCCCTCTTAAAACATCATCAAAAGACTAATTGCTAACCCACTTACCATGGAAAATACTGGCAAGACCATTATGAGGGGTACTTATGTTCAGCAGTAGACAGTTAACATGACACAACTGATATATATACTTGTGATGGTACTATAAAATTTAAATATATATTTCTTAAAGAGGTTTATTTATTTTTTTAACTCTTTATTGCACCAAAAACATAAAAATAAATAATGACATATAAAGAATTCAACTGAAATACAGTAGCATAAAGTACAGATCAAAATATACATATAAAGGTACAAAAGGCGGTCTTATTGCTAGGGGAATCTCTTATAGTTAAAATAATTTAGGTTAAGATATGTTAAGTTTAAATAATTTATGTAATTTATGATATTATATAGATATGTCTTGTATCTTTTTATAATGCTGTATTGTATTTATAAATAGGCATGGTTTAGACTAAATATCTTATTTATATTTTTCATTGTGTGATAATAGTTTTATTCTTACTGTTTAGTATAAATGTTTATCAAAAACATTTTGTCCTTAGTTTGAAGAGCCACGTGTGAAGTATGACGGTGAATCCTTTGATGAAGAGTCATTCAAGACCTGGGTGTTTGTTCAGAGCATGCCCACCATTGTTGAATTCTCCCATGAGACTGCCTCTAAGATCTTCGGTGGACAAATCAAATATCACCTCTTATTATTCTTATCCAAGGTAAGGTTATTTATTAGGTAATTATTTACTATATTAAAAATATATATTTTTAAAGTAAAATCTATTTTGAAGGACTTTTAAGACACAGAGAGTAAGTCCTGTTGTTGTTGTAATTACAATTATTTTAGACTTTTTCCATGCATAATAATAAATATTCTTTTATGTTCAATTTCATCTTTATATTTTATTATGTTGTACTAATTAATTTACCAGATATATTGTTAGAATTTTTCTATATAGGAAACTAAATAGCAAAACATTGCTCGTCATTTACTGTATTGTATTTAGTTACTTATCCATAGATGAGCTTAGGTTGCCGGTGAAAGTTCGCGCCGGGTCATCGCTACGTCGTGTCTCACTACGTTGAGCTGTGAAAGTCATCAATTGACTTGCAATATCTCTAATCTAAGTTTGAAAAAAATGGCACATTTTTTGCATGCATATGTCTTATATATGTTTACCATTACATTTGTCTGGCATGCCTAATTAATAATGTTCAGAAATATTTTATCAAAACCGGTTCAGATTGGTGGTAGTAGGGAAAGCTTTAAGCTTTCATTATTGCAAAACCAAAACTGAACAGAGAAAGTTGTATGCGTATAGTTATTACACATCACAAATGACAGGCTAAGTTTCTGTATCTAGATAAATGCTGTGCTACGCCCGGTGTATTTGGCGCGAACTTGGGTATTATTTCTCTAACCTAATAAGAAAATTGTTTTTTTTTTTTAACATCCCTCTTAACACTAATTTTAGCATAATTGGAGAAATTGACAATAAGAATACGTTGCAATTGTAACAAATTCTTTTCGATAGGAATAACTTATCATCACTTTGACCTTATTTTGCTAATGAGACACAGTTGAATGTACAGTCAATTAAAACCTATTCAACTTAATATATACACGTAGAATCATTTGAAAATGCGAATCTATTTAGCTATTCTATTAAATTAGTTCAACTGTTATCGACCGCGTGAGTTTGTTGAACTTATTTTAAATACCGTGATTTTTCAACTAGTCAATTATAAGTATTTATAAACAGTTTCAGTAAAATTTTATAAAAGTTAAACGACCCTACCATAAAACAAACAATCTGCTGATGTCCAATAGAAATACAAATAAATATTCGATTTTGATTTGTTACGCAATTAGCATATAGAGTGTGTTTCTGTGATAATGTCAATAAATCTTGGATATTTTTTATTAAATTGAATGAAACGAAATATATATGTTTGTAATTCCCTATTATGGATTTAAAATAGCGCTTACATAGTCTTTGATAATGAAGTGACCGGAAATGACAACTTTACGTACGAGTATCTATCTATCTGTAACTACTATGTGTTTATTGAAATTAATTTCTTGAGTTCTAGTGTATTTCTTTCTGTGCATATAAAATAGCAATGCTATGTGTAAAAATTAAGCAGTGGGCCCTTTATTTCTTCCTCCCATTTTTTTCTCCAAATTATTTAATGCGCCTAGCCAAAAGGTTTTGAAATTGCATACTCCTCTAATTAATTTTATTAGTTTATTTTGCGATAATTAATCCAAAATATTTCATGAAATTTAAAATATACATTGAATGTATGTCAAACGAGGAACTTAGATATAATCTGTTTTTCTATATATTATGGCACAGTTTAATCAAAGCTTAAAAAATTAAGTGTAAAGTTTAATAAAATATTTTTATTAATTGATTATAAATTGCATATTATTCCTGTTTAGTCTATTTTTATATACGATTAAATTCCATAAAAAGGCGAGCTAACAATGTTATATTATGCCAAGTATAGAAAAATAGTTTATATTTACTAAATGTCCAGTTTAATCTTTGTAAGTTCGATTTAGTTTTTTTTATGTATATAATTTATAAATAAATAATATAGATTAAGTGATAAAATTATACTTTATAAAGAATAATTTTATTACTTGATCTATAGGTATTTATATTTTGTCATTAGAAAAATGGTGATTTCGACAAATACGTTGAAGAACTCAAGCCCGTTGCCAAGAACTACCGCGACAGAATCATGTCAGTCGCTATCGACACCGATGAGGATGATCACCAAAGGTACAGTAATATTTAATTCCTACATAAATAATATGAGAGAAAAATATTGATGTCTATTAACATAGCATAGAATAAACTACCCCTTCCTTTTCCGTGTGTGTCGTAAAAAGCGACTAAGGGAACTTATGGTCGAGGGATGGGCTGCAGCGTCCCTCTTAAAACATTACCAAAAGCCTAACTGCAGTTGTCATCCCGCTTACCAAGCTTGGTAACTACTGGAAAAACTCCTCTTATGGGGAGGCCTATGTTCAACAGTGGACAGTTAATGGCTAATATAATAATAATAAAACTACGGAAATAATTGATAAAACAATCTACAACTAATATTCAGTTAAGTATTATTTATTTCGTTGATAGAATCCTGGAGTTCTTCGGTATGAAGAAGGAAGAAGTGCCTTCTGCTCGCCTCATCGCTCTCGAACAAGACATGGCCAAATATAAGCCTCCCACTGACGAGCTTAGCGCAAATTCGGTTGAGGTAAGCATACAGTATACACATACCATTCCCATATTATAACTTTTAATGTTTATACATAAATCTATGTTACATTAAAAAGAAATGACTTCCTGTAGGCCTTACTAACAACAAACGAAAAAAAAGCGTTAATTTATAACAACAACAATGTTGATACCTTTTGCAAATAAAAATTTTGAAATTGCGTCACGCTCAAAACAAGTATTTAGAATTATTCGACGTTGTATTTGTTATCGTACTTTAATAAACAAATTATCAAAATGCAACAAAACCGTAAGCTGTATAGAATCGCATATTATTCACGCAAGACGTATGCACTCATTCGCTTATGCTTGATAATGCATCCCGAAACGAATCGAATTTACTAAATCCACAGATTAATACAGATAGTAACAACAAACAAGATATGCTGAAAGCTGTATACAAATTATTATATTCATTAAATGTATATAAATTATTATTTTTATATGTATAAAAAAATTAATAAGTATGAAAAATCTTATAGGGGATAGTTATACATCATGAGAGTGTAACACTAATCTATATAGATATATACATATAGGAAAATCTAAAAATTTAGAAATCTAATTTATTTTTATGTAAACACAATAATTGTTTCACCATTTTATATTATTATATTGTGTGTCAATTAGAAGCGTTATTCATGACGCAATATTTTTATATATATATAGTCTGTACTTTTTATTTGCATTAATTACAATAATTAATTTCTGATGTTACAATATACCATTCTCGGTTAATTAACATTTCGATCAGCCATAGCTTGTGTTATGTAAACAATTAAACACTGCGTGCGATACCATAATTTTATATTGCCTTCGCAGTAATGTTAAGCCAACCGCAACGCATCAACAAGTTAGCCTGCAAATTAGCTATAATTACATACTGATATTGCGATTTTATTATTGTACAAGTTGACATCAACAGCTATATTATAAAATTGAATGGTAAATTTTATACTTATGAGTTATGATTCCTCTCATGTTTATTTTACTTCATAAGTCTTTTCTTCGTTCATAAACTAAGCGGGTCGCGATAATGATTTTGGAAAATGTATAGAACATCTGGGCACCATAAACCTAATGTCTGTCTCAACTTTCAATAATGTAAAAGGAGGTGCTTATTTACACGTATTTTTTTTTTTTTCGATTTATTTTTATGTCAGATTCTTTGTAGGATAAACAGAAAGAGTCGAGTGCTCCACACAATCTCTTGTTTTATTCACTTTCATAACTCATGTGTCGATTCAATTTATAAAAAGTTTTATTTTTAATAAGTATATTAATTGTGAGACTTATCGTTTAAGGAATTCGTGCAATCATTCTTCGCGGGCACGTTGAAACAACATCTGCTCAGCGAAGACCTACCGTCGGACTGGGCCGCCAAGCCTGTCAAAGTGCTCGTCGCCACCAACTTCGACGAGGTTGTTTTCGACACCAACAAGAGGGTTCTCGTTGAATTCTACGCGCCATGGTAAGTAATATAATATATAACGAGATTGTAGTAACCGACGAGCTTGTATGAATTGATTTATGAATGTGGCGGTTACGGAAAAGGCCTCTTTTGATGTCCCATTGTTGTTATCTTCTATGAGTGACAAGCATGTAAAAATATGGGATATACAAACATATTATATACTGCTTCCTATTACAAATCATATTGAATTTTAGTTCTGCTAAAACCACTTATGAATCACTGATCTAGATCCTAAAGAAAGTTAACTACTTTTCTAGCTTTGAATATTTAGAATTGCTAGCAACAGACAATCGTGACCTTTATATTATAATATGAAATTCAGAGAACCGAAAGTAAAATACCTTGAATCTAATCAATTGATTACTTATATGTATATTACTGGCACATTAACATATTTTCCTTATGACTTACTTATCAATTGGTTACAGAATAATTAATAGTGCAAATTGGCACCATTTGTTTGAAATTACACATGCTTTTATTGACACATGTGTATTGTTGGGTAACGAAAAATAAATTTATAATTTTTCATACGCTTTGTTCCAAGTCTGTTTATAATCGATGAACAAACAAATGCTTGTATAAACTAGTGTCTGATGAGTTGTTTAAGACACGTAAGCTCCACGTGTGAAATAATAGTTTTTCATTTCATTGTACAGATGGCAGTCCAATCTTCTTAATTAAAATGTAGTTTCTAAAAACTTGACCTTACTATTAGTAGTACCTTACATTACTACCGAAACCTGTTATTTCTACTCTTTGTTGGTGTGAATTTCTATCTTAAATTGTCAATTTCTTAAAAATCTGTATTTTCAACCAATTTCAAATAGAAGGAAGTTCTCAGTTTGTTTGAATTTTTTATCTGAAAGTACAATATGTATATATTTGTATTATGTTATGTTACAATATGTATATATTTATAACATGTATAGAGATTGGTCACATAGAAATTTTATCGAATTCGGTTCAGTTGTATAGTTTTTAAAATAAAATAACTAGTTTTGCCATTTGCCATCATCTTTTAAATTAGTAGGGGAATGTCAATTTTTTTTTCTTTTCGACTTTCTGACTTACGAAATTTCTTTAACATTTGCTATAACGTGAGTAGATTCTTATTTTACGTACTGCCAACGACTTCGATTTCATTCTGTAGAGACTGATGTTTTGGTATAGATTTAGCAATGAACCTCTTAACACATTTTTTCACTTAAGTGAAATGTGAGTGAAAGATTATTTATAGCATTATTCGAAAAAATGCCGATGTTTTATTATTATTAGTACTCGGGTGCTGAATAACTATAGAAAATTTATTAGGCGCCCTATTTGCGTCACTTCCTAGCGACAGTGTAGCTTGAAAGTGTCTCGTTAGGGATGTATTCAGTGAACTATAATTAATACATGCTTGTGTCAGAAGTCGTCTTATCATCGCTCAATGGTTTGGAAACTTCATTATGTAGATTTTTACTGACACGCTATGGTTATTTGAATAGAAAGTCTGAATTATAATAATGGATTATATAGGTTAAGGGTAGTTTTTCTATGTAGGTATGAATATTTTATTGCTGTTGCCAAGTTATAACTTGTAAATAATTAACGTCTTTTACTTTATTTAATTTTTCTATATGGTACCTGGATAAAAACACAATGTGCCATCGCTCGTTTTACATCTCATGAACCAAAGGTCATATAAGATTATTAGGGGAACAAAACTGATACGCCAGTACCAGAAGATGAAGTCTTTTTTATGTAATTTAGAAAAAATAAATTGATTACCAACCTGATTCCAAGTGGCAACTGTCTTCTATCAACGTACAGTGCTACAAACTTCAAGGAGTACACTATTACAGTGACCTTGTCACAAGCAAATGAAAAACGTTTTAGCAACTCGGTAATTATACATATTTATTTGTTATTGAAAGTTTTATTATTAATTAGAACCTAATGAAGTCGCGTGGATTTTGCAAGTAGGATTATAAATTAAATATCATTTCTACATGGCATAATAAAATAAAATGTACACCACATTTTAAGTTCTATAGTCAGGAAAACAACAGCAGTTTTTACGTGATACCAAAATAGACAATCATTCTAATTTTTTTTTTTTTATTGTACTCCTATTATCAAATCTTTTCTCTTATGTATTCTATATATCTTTTTTTTTTTTATTAAATATCTTCTATGTCTAGTTTTTTTTAATGTGTGATAATAGAATGGTAACCCCACCTGCGCTATCGGTATACGCTGGCGGGGCACCAGTGAGTGATGATAGATGAGGATGAAAGCAGGCCAGTTAGCCCATCGTGACGAATTCCACTAGAATTAACCACGATGGTTTCCAAGGGGAACCGCGTGGAGGTCGACCTGATAGGGTATATTACTAGCAATGGGTTCATTAGACCCCATTACTAACAATCCCTTCCTCCCAACATTGTCTAGTTATAATCATACGTATATAGATGTAATTTGTATTCATGCAAATGACGATATCATTCGATGCTTTTTTATTGCGATCAGGTGCGGCCACTGCAAGCAGCTCGCGCCCATCTACGATAAACTGGGCGAGCACTTTGAAAAGGACGACGATGTGGTTATCGCAAAGATCGACGCTACCGCCAACGAGCTGGAGCACACCAAGATCACGTCCTTCCCCACCATCAAATTGTACACAAAGGATAACCAGGTATGTGTGTTATATATTTAGAAGTTTTTATTTAACTTGCAATGTAGGCATGTTTTTTTGTTTAGAACAAATTTTATAAATTTAATTACCAATTCCTCCTAACCAATTTTGCTGAAATTATGCATATATATAAACGTTTAGTTCTGATGACAATAAAATATACAATAATAATATATACTCAACATTGTATATATATATTTTTTTATTGGATGAAAATGGAATGATAACCCCGCCTGCGCTAATGGAATACGCTGGCGGGGCACCAGTGAAGGGTGATTGATGAAAATGAAAACAGGCCAGCTAGCCCATCATGATGAATTCATCAGGAATTAATCATGATAGTTTCCAGAGGGAACCGCGAGGAGGTCGACCTGGTTGGGTATATTGCTAGCAATGGGATTCTCAGTCTCCATTACTAACAATCCCTTTCCCCCCACATTGTATATATTCATCAACCCAAGTTAATATGTGTATCAAATGAATGAACTTGAAGTTTAGGTAATAGAAAAATAAATAATGTTTTAAAATGGCTAGTCATAAAATGGCGGATTATGTTGTTTAAATATTTTTAAACAGACTTGTTTTTATGGAAGATAGTGGAATGGTAACTTCATTTGCGCTTACGCTGGGTGGTTACCAGTGTGGGATGAGAGGTGAAAATATAAAAAAGTATGTCACTTGATCCATTTTGACGCATTCACCATTGATTTATTTATTTAAACTTCAATGCATGATTATTTAAGTATACATATGTCGCATTTAATACATAATGGCGTTCTCTATCAATCATAATCATGGGTCAAACAGAGAAATAAATTGGCGATGTATTTACTATTAAAAAAAAAAGTACAAGCTATGGGGCCCATTACACCTCATTACTAACAATCAGTGCCACCTATAATCGTATATTGCGGGTCATCTAATAATTCAAAATGTGCGGAGAGATCCCACGACAACTCGCCAAATTGTAACTATAGAGAAATCTCACCTCAACTTTTTATATAATAAAATTTATTTTCGTATTATTTCAATGAAATAAACAAATGAAGCAAAACATATCAACATATAAAACATATTTAATTAAGACATCCCCTTATGAAATTGATTTATAATTAAATTATATTATAATTTATTATTAAATATGTAACGGATGTTGTTACCTAATTAACTTTATTGTTATGGATATAAATTATGTAAATAGTAATGGTTGGTATTAAAATGGTTTTTACGATAGTAAAGTATGTTTATTGAGTTATTTTATTACGATGTAAAATAGCGTTTCAAAGCAAGCCATTCTTTTTGTATATGATTTAGATGTCGGCTATAACTAACTACATTGGCCACATGGCTTATAATAAGGATTTATTTCGAAATTTCCTTTTCTTTATTTTTTTTTAAACATTCTACTTTATAACCTAATAATTGTATACCATAAGGACACATTATTGGTCCATTGGAAACGGATCTCTCCCATTAAAGGAGTATAATTAGCCTTTTATTATTACACTGGTTTATTATAGTATACAAATATTAATAAGACAATGTGACTTGGCAGGTGCGCGACTACAATGGCGAGAGGACGCTGGCCGCGCTCACGAAGTTTGTAGAGACGGACGGCGAGGGCGCCGAGCCAGTACCCAGTGTGGTGAGTAATATCATAATTTTATTTTTTTGGGCGTCGTCTGCGTGTACTTGGTTTATTTTGTATAAAAAGTAGGAAGAAGTATATCAAATTAAGAGACTCTAATGTGATTAATACAAAGATTTACATAACATGGTGTTCATGTCTACTTCATGATTTATATTCAAAACTTAGCGTCTCCAGTGAGTAGTCTTAGGAACACAAATTTCCATACAAACTTATTGGTATAAATATATTATAATCTTTGTAACAACTTACACTTTATTTAGTCGTATAAATTCAAGTATTCATTATGTATTGAAAACAGTTGATTAATGCCTCGGACTATCCTATAAGAGATTACAATTTAACTGCCTTTATGAAAAAGTGAAATATAAACATATTTTAGCTATTGAAGTTTTTTTTTGTGCTATTTATTTAATTGATCGTCGGTCAATGATCGGTGTGGTCCTGGCATTTCCCGTTCCTTTCCCGTTGGTGTCGTAAAAGACGTCTAAGGAAGGGTGAGAGATGGCCAGCAGTATCCCTCTTAAAACATCTCCAAAGCCTGAATGCCGTTGTCAATCCGCCTGCCAGGCATGACAACTACTGGCATAACCCCCCAAAGGGATGTGTATGTTTAGCAATGGGCAGTTAAAGGTTGATATGGCAGTTTCTTAATTAAAAAGAAAGAGACAATACTGTTGTAATCAAAATAGTTTTTGGTTTTAATTTTTATAAATAAAGGGCAAGTAGATGAATGATAATAATAATAATGATGTATTTTCAACATTGTATTTGTTTTACAGAGTGAATACGAAGAGGAAGAGGAAGCCCCAGCTAGGGACGAGTTATAAGTTCTCGGCATACACTCTTATGAGACTTCCATAGTTATAGTTCTGTATAGATCATAATTTACTTTTATACTTAATCTAAAATTAATTTTGCATTTGATTTGCTAGACTGTTATTATATAAATTATGTTGAGGTTGTACTTGATTTATGTACTCTTTATATTTCGACAAAACAAAGAAAAAATTATATTTAATGTAATAATACTCTTATTTTTCACCCAACGTTAAAAGTGTCAGATCTCTAAAATGTGCCCACTTCGGAATATGCATAATTTATTTAGTACGATCAGCAGCAACTTAGTTTATGTACAATACTAAATTGTATTTATAATTTCTGTATCATAATGGCATATATTATATGTATTTATTATATTAAACATTCCTTAGTACAAGTGAGTTACATTGAACAATCATTTTTATTTTGTAACTTATTTTTATGTGACAAATTTCTCACCTTGATAATTCATCACAAGAAATAGATTTTATTCACTGAAGGAAATGTATTTTTGTATGAATTTTGTTTCCCATTTGTTTTTAGTGTGGGTAAAACTTAAGGAGCGGTGCTTTATCAATTTCTATGAGAATCTTGTCTATCCATATTTTTATATAATTCTGAAAAAAAAAATGTAAATATGCATATCTACTACATCGCCAAAACTGCATTCGGTGTATCTATTGTGGATACAGAAATTGATAAATAAAAAATAAATTATGAACTTGTAATTCTTTCATTTTAATTTTCTTTATATTTTTTTTATGGGTGAAAATGGAATGGTAACTCCGCCTGCGCTAACGGGATACGCTGGCGGAGCACCAGTGAAGGGTGATTTATGAGAATGAAAACAGGCCAGTTAGCCCATCATGATGAATTCATCAGGAATGAATCATGATAGTTTCCAGGGGGAACCGCGAGGAGGTCGACTTGGTTGGGTATATTGCTAGCAATGGGATTTTTAGTCTCCATTACTAACAATCCCTTTCCCCCCTGTTATCCTCATATTACCTACTACCTACATACTATGACTGCCTACTATTATATGTTTAGGTAATCCTGTAGGCAATAGGTGGCGAGTTGTTTCTACACAATATAGCCTATAAAAAATGGCCACAATCATGGGTTGCCATTGGCAACTCTAGGCCGAGACAACTGAGAGCAGGCAACCTGGACAAATTATATTTTCGCTCATTCTTTTAAACTAAGTTTCAATAAGTCATACCCGCAGAAGGCAGCGACAGGATCATAGGTCATTAGAGAACAATAATGAAATACAACTTGTATGATAATTGTTTTATTATCTTAAATACAACGATTATTACAACATAAATTAACTCTTTTATAACATTAAGCTTGTTCTCTTCAAATTATCACATTAACACCAAAAGAACATTTAATTGAGACAAAATGGAATGGTTATACTTGTCAGTACATTATTAGTTACTTTGGTACAAAGGGTTAACATAAATGGGCAAATTTTTACATATTGATAATACTTAAGAATATAAAGTGAAGTTCGACTAACAAAACTTGCGGTAAAATTGAAGGGTTTGTTAACAAAATACAACATTAATATAGGCTCAATACAAGAAAACCCTATTGATTTAAAAAAATCATCAAAATAGATAATGTCAGTTACGACAAAGAAAAGTAATTAAATTAAAAGTATTAAATCTATGGAATTTTTGATACGAACGTATATAAAATTCCATGGATTTAATACTTTTTGAAGTAACTTATAAAGGAAGAGTATAATAAATATTTCTAATATAAATATATATATGAAAGTATAGTTGTTTGATTAAAATATTATAAAAAAAGAAATAGGAGTAGAACGCAATTGAATATTGATGTCATTTATATTTACATATCTGTAAGTATATGATTGTAACTTCTATTCTACGCGCGTCAAAACAGCGATAACTTTGAGTCGCCGTGGAAACCATAGTAGGCCATTATATGCAAAATGTTAAATTGGAATACAGTATGATTTTATATGCATGTACTACACTACCTAAATCGGTGGTGTTCTTGTAAGCCAAACGTTCACTTTACACAAAATTGACACACTAAACAATAGGCGGGGAAAGGTAGGTTACAGGGGGTCTACCGTGAAATGAAATTCCGAATTTTCGGGCTCAATTTCGTGTTTTTGTTCGTACCGAAATCGACCCTGTAAATGGAGCTTAACATTTGGTTTGTCATACATCCTACCATAAAAGTCCACAAGGAACGATATTTTAGCATTTTTTAAACGGTATGTATCATGTAATTTTAACATCAAATTTGTTTCGTTCGAATCCGAAATTTCGGTAAACATTTCATGGTAGGCACTCAGATTACAAATTACTCTCTAAGGTACAATAGAAAGCCAAGAAATATGGAATTTGTTAAATCGATATTTTCACCCAGTTATACTATTATGTGCAATTAAAATGCATGTATTTTATTACATTAGTATCTATTATTGATATATTACTCCTTTCTTGATAAACATCAAACTCGGTAATCAATGGCTAAATCCCTAATAAAAAATACCATGAATTAGCGATTGAAAACGGCCGATATAATAATAGTGTTTATTAATAAAGGCACAAAGAAATGCACATCTAAAATGTAAAACCTGAAGCGTTAACTCAATGATCAAACAGTAAAAAGTGAGATCTGTACGTCTTCAGATTGGTAGGTCTAGTAGCATATTTATCGCCAGGTCATTTTTCTCTTTGTTATTTCTATTGCACTGAAGAAAAATAAAGGTCATTTTAATGAATGTTTATTATGACATTCGCTATTATTTAATGGCAAAAGTTAGCGTATTTATATTCCTACTCAGTCGAATAAACCTATTAGGAGTACAACGGAAGATTGTAAAATATCCATTTCGATATTACATCAAGATTTATAGGTCACAAGTCAAAATGAAACTGTGCAAGTTGTCTATTTCAAACGTAAAAATTAAAAACATTTTAAGAAAAATATATTATGTGCCTCTATGCTCACAAAATATCTATGGTATGCACGCTTAGCGAAATTTTCCCGCGTTTATAATTTGTGGTGGATTTTATATGTAGAATTGATTTTGTCCTTAAATAAAGCAACCTTCAGCTCTTTCTGACGCACACGTGTTATTATCATTGTCTTTGACTAAATACAGAGAGCTCGTGCAAGCTATGGTATCTGTTGTTTTTCTTAGAAATCATTTTTTTTATCTGTATTTGCTATCGCAGATCCGCAATATACCGTTCAGTGAATATAATACTTAGTACTATGTAAAGACAATAACCATCCATACATTTTATCGAGGCCTTAATTGCCTAAGTAAATCAGTTGATGCATTTATGTGGGAATATATCTACTTACATATAACAAGATACGAAATATGTAATACCTTTAAAATCCGATATTATGACGAAAACGACTACAATATACGGTCTCACAAAAGCGTACGTAAAAAAGAATATATATACAATTAGATATAGTATAAGTTTCCCTCGTGATAACAACCAATCCATAAAATAATATCAACAAATAACGAAAACTAATCAATATGCAGTCCATTAAAAATTTACATTTACCCACGTAATTAATATACAGAATATTTTGATTTACAATAATACAGAGTAATATAAACGATATTAAAACTAAAAAATAAAATGTCTTTACACGAAAAGAAAACGCTGTAATATCCATCATCATTATTATAAACAATACTTATCACAATGCCTTCTCATCTCAACTCTCGAATACTACAAAGTCGTAATTTTGAATTACAATATAATCGATGCTTTTAAACCCGTGGTCTTGTGTTAAATGCTCCCGTGGTCACGTGAATACTACACAAGTTATATATTAAAGAAATCTACTTAATGTAAACTTACGCTAAAGATTAGTTGACGCGGCCAGTACGATTTGATCTCTGTATAGTGAATTGAGGAGTTTCTACCAAAACGGAGAGGAGGTGCGCACAGTCGAGCGACATAGCGACTAGTGTTTCGACCATTGCCAAGCAAAGAGTTATTGCAATAACCATACCCAATTGGTTATTTATAAAACATCTCTTTGCTCTCTTCACTTTGACAGAAACCGAGCGTAATATAAAATGATTGACATTGAATTATATTAAGTTGAAAGACTATTAAAAAAAATTCAAATATAAATATTTTGTTCATTTATTTCATCGATCGAATGATGTAATTAAATTTTAAATGTAACAAAAGCTCTTTAGGCAAAGGCCGTATACGGCCCAACTGATGGTAAACGGTTGCCGCAGCCTTTTTATAAATACCATATCAATATTAGCTCAGCAAAAACAGCAGCTACATGATTTATTCGTTAATACAAACATGAATAAAATTTAATTGTAAACTATTGTCAATTACACAAATTAGGTATGTTACGCTTAAAATTAGTAAACGATCAATCAAATAATCTGCTCAAAATATTTCAATATTAACTATAAAAAGCCAGGCACCAAACGGCATGTTGGTTAAATTGTGCATACCATTCATTGCATAGTACCATATTATAAAACTATATTTTTACTGCTACAAAAACAGGCTGATCATACAGTATTATGTGTCAATGCAAAAACAATAACTATTAATGACTAAATTTCAAAAGTTGCAAATTTCACATTTGAGATTTTACGTTGAGAATACTTATTCACACGTATATAAACCGTGCTAATAAAGAAACGATATGTGAATGTCACCCTGCACAATGTGCTGTCTAGCTTTCTTTATTTGGGTGTGTTATACCCAACAAATTCTCAAATATGAAATCGTTAGTATGAGTCGCGACTCACGCGGCTCATTGCCTGTGTACTGTCTATAACAATTGTTTCGATAGACAAAAATGATAAATTGATCAATTATCAATAATTCGAGTTACAAAATGTTCATTATATATAAAAGTATATACAGAATTCAATGTGTTACTTGTATTTTGAAATTAATTGAAATGTCGTTAAATTACAATATTGAATAAAACAGTGACAAATAGTATATTCGATATTACATTTCTGAGTATTTTTAATTTATATTCAAACTTCAATGAGGCTCGAAGGTTTATTAATATGTATATCATGATTAAGTAAATATTTTAGACAGAATAGAATAGACATAACAACTGGACATCAACACTTTTATCTATCGAAATGAAAGCGAGTTTAGTCTGGTTCACACTGGTATTCGAGCACTTAGTATTTTATTCTGCGGCGACCCCAAATATTAACGCGAGAGTAAAGATACAGTGACCCTATTTATGATTTCAATACATAATTTTACTAAATAATACATAAACAATATTTTATTATTAACATAGACGTAAGCCATGACTCGTTGGCAGTGTTTCGCGGTAAGATACTGAAGACCACGTAGATTTGATGACATTGCCCAGTCTTGTTTTATATTTAATTGAATTTTATAATTAAGGAATATGTAATTATAAATTAAATTATATTAATTATATTATGACATTTATATGTATGTAATCTGTAGTCAATGTTGTGTACGCCTGCTATAGGTATGCATATCAGCATACTACACAAAAAATGTTATTTAATTTATGTATAATATGTATACAGCTGGTGTGCCTAATTCGAAATAAATAAATAAATAAACATGATTTGAATGCTTTTTTTTCTAACTCTAATATGAAAATGTTTTGAAAAATACTTATATTAAATAGTTTGATACTGTTCTCGCTAAGTATTCTCGCTAATTACTTTGTAAGACATTTGTTTATATTCAATATCGTATGTGAATAATTTATATTTTTGAAAGTTCAATGCTTTTATCAAAGCCCACTGTGGAACAAAACAAGATGTATATAGCGAATACTAAGTCATGATGATACGATATTTCATTCATTCGATATTAGACTACATGTCTTAGATCAGAATGTACAAAATTGTCTAAATGTTTATTATTAATGTATTCGCATATCCCGTTAAGATTTATCGCAATATGTGACTCATAATTAAAGCCCCTTATCCCTTACACCTGTCTAAAGCATGGATGAGTCGACGCACAAGTACTAAGTGGGAGTCTTTGTTCCAATGTGAACCAGTTTCTGCTGCGAACACGTAAAATAAATTTCAGATCGTTCCGTCTCGTTTCCCACCGTGGTGAACCAAACGAGCCGAAAGTGATACAAGTATTTCAAATGTTTTATCTGCGAACGCCACGATTGGTACCAATTGGCAAGTTGGTCGGCGTCGTGTGAAGAGAGACCGGCTTTATAGATAATAATATATTCTCTAATATGAATATACAATCAAATTGTTTTTCTTACCTCTCACCTTCTATTTTTGTTTAGTGTAAATACTACCTATACCTACTTAGATTTTTCCATATTTTTTGTTGTTGACTGCATTCGTAAACAATATAGACCTTTTTTGCTGTTAATCTATCTGGGGAGATAAAATACTCGTTTTGCACGAATTATAATAGGACATTTCGTATAACCCACCGACGAAACTATACTAGTCCTTTGCTCTCAATACGATCAGCCTCTTAAGCTTGGCAGGTTATACAAAATGAACGCTATTATAATTGCTATAAAGATGGCTTTTTAACCGCCATATTGTATTTATATTGAGATAGACTAAGGACGTGTCTCAGTCTATTTGAAAATGAAGTGTGCCACTACCAAACTACTTGGCGTGATGTTACCAAAGCTATTTATTGATAGTATGTCCATTCCAGACCAAACCATTTCGAGAATACCATAATACCGTTTTTGTTAAAGATCTAAACTAAATTTTGTGATAATTTTATGTAGGAATTTTGATTTTTAGTCGGAATTCAAGTACACAGTTTTAAATCTCCTCAGGTTCAAAAAGAACAGTAATTCTTTTTAATGAATGTCTAGTTAACTTTTAAATATGATTCCAGTAATTATTATACTATTCTTAAAAATAGTATGAAATACTATTATTTTCATTATTTATGGTTACAAACCAAAAAAAAAAAGAAAAAAAAATAAGTTACTCAAATTATCTCTATCTATTATGTATTTTTACAATTTATTTTAATAATTATATTTTTTTTACCTGCTCTCATAAAAACAGTAAATACAGTACCGATCTTATAGCTCGCAACCGGATAGTTAAAAGTTAATGTGATTATTTTTAATGATTTTTTTTTGCAACTATAGTCTAACTTCAGCTTAGCGCAAATCGCGGCGTTCGCGGACAGCTTTACCCGTCCGCAAGAAAGTCAGGGGTTTACATTACCGGCGTCGGAGGTGAAACATATCAGAGCGCGAACATGGAGTCTTGGTCCTCCTTGTTGATCTGCCGGTGACGGGGCGTGTGCTGCGGCGTGGCGGTGGAGGTGGTGGAGGTGGTGGTAGCGGGGGCGGCGGTGACGGCGGGCAGGCTGTCGGCGGCGGCGGCGCGCTCCGCCAGGAACTTGTCGAAGTCGCTGCTGGTCACACTTTCTTGGGCGCCGTTCGCTTCAGAAGCGGCCTGCTATCAATTTATCAGCATTAGGGTGTGCGCAGACGGTTTCGTATTGGACATATTATAAACCACTATATTCGTATATGTGTAGGTATGTTTTAAAAAGGCTGGCAGTGCAAAGGCGTCAAATTGTCTCTTTGGGCTGTCAGACCATTAGGTTCACCTAATGGTCTCACTCGTCGCATACTCATTTGGCATTCTTTCAAAAAGAATTATATCAGATGAACTGGAGTTTCTGCCACCGAGTAGCTGTGCTTGTGATTGTATTAGTTTAAAGCATTTTGTATGTCCGCACTATTTCCATGCGAATACACAAAATTCCATATAGACAACTGATGTCAATTTTCATAACGTGAGACGTCATCATCTCACATTGTATAAAAGAGGCGTAAGTATGCATGTACATATGTCCGGAATTTGGTGAAACAAGTAAACAAATGGCTTGGTGAACTTTTTTAAAGGCATTAGGTTCGTTTTAATTGTGACAGTGCTATAGGCTGGCTATATAGGCTATAGGTGTCGATAATATAAATTAAATATGGCGGCCATATACTATCAAATGCCGATGTGTATTAGCGTGAGACTGTCATTTTATGCTGTATGAAATAATTATGACAATAAGTAAATAAAAAAATATAGATAACATGATATATACAGGATATAAATAAATGATAAAAATGATTATTTAAATATGATGATATGAAAAACAAATAAACGATGAGTAAAATAAAAACACACCTTCTCCTGCGCTAACCAAGCCGCTATCTCATCTATCTCTCTTTGATCCATACCAGACGGCTGTAGAAAAATAAATAAGGAATAAATGAACGTAACAAGGGTTTAAAATAGGTAGGATTTGTTTGATAATGGTTTGATATATAAAGAAATAGATTAATAAATATCAAAATTTACAAAGAAACAAAATATAGATTGGTCAAAGAACCAAACGAGGTACATACAATATTGTTTCAACTGACTTACAACTTACTTAAAAAAAGGAAGAGATTCTCAATTAAAACTGAATTTTTGTACATAACTTTAAAATTTTATTACATTATCACAAAATAAATTTATTTCAATTTCGCGGGCTTGAAATTTATTTATAAATATTATAACTACTCAATCATGTTTTGCGCCTGTATCCACAATTAGACGTGTTTACCTCTAACTCGCTTGAGTTTCATCAGGTGACCACAGACTGTTTGTGCTCAGAAATATAGAAATATAGAAGTTATTTCTTGTTATGTTGTAATTTAAATATAAATAATATAATTCCATTTAATTATACAGATGTTACTGTACTGCTGCTTTCCTGGGTGAGCGTATTGGGAAACTGTATAGCTCACTCAGTTGATAAAATAAATAAATAAATTATGAAGTTACATAATATTGGCTCCACATAATGCTAGCTTTATTTTTCTTTCTGATCCAATCTATAATAGACGTAACGTAACGTATTAGTTGACTTTAGACAAAATGACAGATAAACTCATGATTTTACCATGTTAAGAGTAAAACTTACCAGCGGCTGAGCCTGCGTGGCTCGCAAACTGGCGGCGGCCGCCAATCCGCCAGTCGTTTGCTCCTCTGCATTGTCCGCGTAACTGCTTCCACTGCTTGTAACAAACAATTATAGATGGCTTTAGAATTAAGCGGTGTTAGACCATATACATAGAAAGTATCTCACTATAAATGTTTCAACAAAAACTTAACATTTTTTCAAAGTAACGCAATTTTATAATTGTAAACTTTTCATAACTTTTCACAACTGTCACACAAACGGTCTTTTTATTTACATTTACTACTGTCTGAGCCGTCAAACGTTTTGCCATATTACACTTACCCAGTTTTTGAGTTTTCGTAAGAGACATTCCGCGATTGTGCGAACATATCAAATTCATCTTTGGAACTGCCTGGAGACTTGTGTGGTTGGGCGTCCTTCACCGCTGCAAAATTGCAAAATTAATTTACGAAACGTTTTACACATTTGTTTCCACTATTTTATGTTTAATTGGTCATACAGAGGTGCAGAGGTACAAGATCTTAGTTCTCAAAAATGGAAAAGCATAAAGGGATTCATGAGCAAAACAGTTCTTTTCGAGTCAGTAACTAATAAACAGCAGTGGACAAAGAAACATATAGATATAGACAAATAAATACTCACTTAATTTGGCAATATCAGGTACATCATCGCTGAGATCTATAAGTGCATCATCATCGGTCTTCTTTGCTAAAAAAAAATGATAAAATAATAATTAAAAAACAAATATAGTAATATTATTTTTTCTTAAGAAAGTAAACATCGTAATATATCCCTCAATTCAATAATACAACGCCTATTTATTTCTCGGTTTGCCCAATAATTGAATGGTAGAGAGCAAGTGCGTCATATATACATAGTTTCACTGTGCATTAAAGTTCAGGTAAATAAATAAAATAAAAAAAAATACACACGTGATTCAGTAGAGCCGGGCACGCCCATGGCGGCACCCAAAATGGCGGATGGTGTGGCGCCGCCGGTTGCAGCATTCCTAATATAAAATAAATTTATTAAATAAGTAAATTTATATCGGCATTGTTAATTGCTGTTCCAAAGTAGTATTTCGCAAGCTACTAGTGTATAACCGGTACTGATGTTGCAGTAACGGACGCACCTATTGCTGAGGAAGCGCAAGTAGTACAGCAGCAGCCTGCTGGCGTACAGTGATGGTAGAGTGCTGTAGTAAAAGACGCACCTGTTGCTGAGGAAGCGCGCGTGACGCAGCAGCAGGTTGTTGAGCGCGTCGTTGGCGTGCAGCAGGTCGGCCGTGAGCGGCGCCTCGCCCGCCAGCCGCGCCACCAGCTCCGCCACGCGGGACTGCATCGCGCGTAGCGTATCCGCCAGCTCCTGCATACGAGTTATAGACGTCAATAATAATCGTTATGCAAATAATTGCTATGTACCACTGTAGTACTAAACACACCATGTTACGAAAAGTCTGACAACGAACATCATCCAGAGTCGAGCCAATTTAGAATATTTCGTGTCGTGATCGAGCCCATACATATAATACCGTGACAAAACCATAACTGAACTAACGCTGCGCATCGTTTACCTTTTCTCAATTAAAATAAAACTGTGTCCCATTAAAATTAAATCCAAATAAGTTTTTATATTACATAATATGTGATTCATAAAAAAATACAATGATAGATCGATAGATAAACACTTTATTTGAGCCATTTATGACACATGTAAATTAATAAATAAATTTATACAATCTGATTATTTACATTTTTTCAAATATAAAACAAAAGATGAATATTGGAGATATGTTTGTGAGCAGTCAAATTTAAAGTCAGTTAAAAGCAAGTATACTAACGTTGAGGAGTTCGATATCGCTGTGGTGGTGCTGCGTGTGCGGCTGCGCGGTGAGCTCGTTGAGCATGTCGTTCATGACGGTCATGTTGCCCTCCACCACCGCCAGGTCCGCGCGCAGCTTGCTTATCTGGCTCTCGGACAGGGTCACCTGTGGACAAATAATAATTAATGTTAAATTTTATTTGCATTTTGAAAGGATCGTGACCCACTGGCATATAATTCCAACTTATAAAACCGCAGAGGTAGTAAGTTCGAATCTGACCAATACTTAAAACTTTGTTTTCAATTTTTTACTAACTCTCCGATGATGCAAAACACTGATAACAAACCAAATTTCTTTGATGTTCAATATAGCCAATATAATTAGAATGGCGCACCAATCAAGTCAGAATAGTAGACATTTTTCTAATATTTTTTTACGTAACTTAGAATGGCAAACCAGCCGACAGCCCACCTGCTAGAAAGTGGTAACAGTCGCCTATAGACATGAACAGTCCATAGACATAACAGATTACACTGTTTCGCTCATAATATCCCTATGTATTGCCATTCTTGAGGACTAAGATGTTATACCCAGTACATTCACTAAATATAAAAAAAAAACTCGAGACAGTCGTACAAACACAACTATACGGTAGAAACACGAATAGGACAAAGGTATCCATGCAAACAACTTTTGTACAAAGTCTCCCTACTGGGAGACTTTGTTTGTTCCCTATATTAAGAAAATTATATATATATTATATATAAAAATATATATATATATATGCCAGAGATATATATATATATATATATATATATATATATCCCACAGCTGGTTCAACACCATCAGGGACACTCTGGAACATTTTTCTCTTATATTAATGTTGCCAGGTTATAGACAACTTACTACCCACATTCTTACTAATTATACAGTTTACGAAAATACACTAATTATAATAAATTGCAATCTTAGGTAACAGTTCAGATTAACAACTCTTGAGTGCAGTCAACAGGTCCTTAGAATACCTGATTTTTTTTTAATTTATAATTTAATCTGTTAAAGTAGGTTATATCCTAACTTAACACAAAAAATACTTTATTTACTAATTCACACGGGCAAAATCGCGAGATACAGCTAATAAATAAATATGGGAATATTTTAAAACACAAATAGAATATATTGCAGTCATTATAACACAAATTAAAGTAAAAAAAGCATATCTTTATTTCTAAAAATATCTGCACAGTGAAAGAGTAAGTATATGATATATAACTACTCTTTTTTTCATTCGCAAGTTGCCGTAAAAGGTAACTTAGTTACCTTTTAAGGAAGTAAGCTCAATACATCAGTGCACAAGAAAGAGAACTCGAAATAATACCCTATTACAAGTCATCGGGTTAGTGGGGTAACGGTAAGCTGATATCTTCCAGCCGAGGGACTTTTAATGAGTTTTAGCGATAAAACATTAAAAAATTTCGCTATGATACTACAGTTTATTTATTTTTCTTCGCAATACAGTTTATTTTAAAAAATATTATTTAATTGTTTAGGATTTTATTGGATTTTTGTTTACAATGATAAGATAACAACACAAATGATAAAGTCCCTTAGATATACAGTGAACGTTCAATATAAGCAACCTCTCTATAAGCAACATTCTTTATATTTTATTTATTCTACTCAGCTTAGTTAATAAAAGAAATAAGTAAAAATATTTTCCAGACGGTAAGTATTTTAATACTCCTTTTTCCCCTAAAAGACACTTTTTTTATTGGAATTGGTTGAAATGAGTTGCTTATATAGAGCATTCACTGTATTTTCTATTTACTGGTATCTTAATATGCTGCTTACCCTTTGTGGGGTGAAAATTGGAGCCATAGCATCTAAATCTGTCATAGGAAACTCCACACCCTTAGTTCGGAGCTCATTGTATATTTGTACAACACCCTGAAACAATATATTAGTTTTTATAACTTTATACAAATAAGAACTATATACAAGTAATAAGTACTATTAAAATTTCGGCCAATGCGACAAAATTAACTCGAAATTAACTCTTTCCCAAATCGAAAGTCACAACATTAATCAATTGTGTCATTGTATATATGAAGTAGAAACCCATCGTTAGCCATCGCGGTCGCAGTATCCGCTTAGATTTCAACACTTATTGGTGAACCCATTGTATTGTTACCTACCCACGACGATAAGAAATATACTTACTCTACAACTGTTTTTTAAGAATTATGTTAAAATATTTCTTATTTATTTTATTTATTTGCCGTTATTTGTTAACCGTTAAAACTAGGCTCCGAAAAGCAATCTATTAATTTGAATGACATGCCCTGTTTAGAGATGGAACACGTGCTTGGACGAAATAGAAGTCGGTGACTGAGATTAATATGGAAGATTATAGAATTCCTGGTAATAAGAATAGTACTCAATCTTCGAGTGTTGGCAGTCGCACACATACTAATGGCTGTGCTAATGGCAGCGGAATTAAACAAAATAATTCTAATTGAATAACCAGTGACATCCTACTAATATATCAAATTTGTAGTTATACGATGTCTATACATGGGAGTTATTTGAAAAATAATATCAGGGGTCTTAATAAAAGTAATAAATGTTAATACAATTTTTAAAAAATTGTCTATCTGTCTGTATGTGTATTTGTTCTCGGATCGCACAAAAACCACTGCACCATATATCGGTAAGCGCTTTTCATAATTGTGTCCTCGTTAATTAAAAAACTGGTGAATGTTTTGTCTCGATACGTATAGAATTTATCTATAAGTGATCTACTTAATTGATTTTTCTAATGCTGAAATCCATGCGTACGCAGTAGAGAGCAAAAAACTGTTAACAAATAAATATTCTTAAAAACAAGACAACAATCAATAATTAAAACAACTTATATTTTCATTATTTATGAGTTATCAACAATATACTGGAAAATATTACATAAGCAGAAATATTAAATTAACCTATATCCATCCCAGGTAATATGAGCAATATTATGAACAGAGCGTGCGACGTAATATGAGTATGTTTACCTTGAATAATCATAGTATGCATAAATGTGAGACGCCACAATGAAAATATGAACCAAACGATGGCATGATATTAGCAGGGCGAGAAATAGTGAATCATAGTATGTATAACTTTTGTCACTTTTTTTGTAACATAGAAGTCATGTTCAGAGAAGCTAAGTTACAAATTGCAAATTAGGGGGAGGGGGAGGGATTGTTAGTAACGCGGAGTTTAGTCCCTATTGCTATCAATATACTCTATCAAGTCGACCTCCACACCTCTGGAAACTATTGTTACTAATTTATCGTTGAATTCGTCACAATGGACTAACTAACTATCATCTCTCACAGATGCCCCACCAGTGTATACCGATAGCGCAGGGGGATTACGATGCCATTTTCACTCATTAAAAAAAACATGCAAATTTTTCAAATACTTACTTGTAACTCTGGTTGGTTCTGAAAAGCATCAGCCCAGCACTGAATTAAGCTTAGTACCTTCTCCTGAACTACTGTTGGGGGGTCATTTTTGGGGCCAATTAGTTTTACCTTTAACAATAAAAAAAATATTAAACAGCAATTCTTATTAATCATTTTTATTCTTTAAATTATAGATATATATAATAACAACAATAGTAATATTAATACCAAAACTGAGAATTGTTGATGATCTTAGTCTTACAAGTGGTATTGAACCATTAAACTTTGAATTTAAATTAGAAGAGATTTTGTCTCTCTCTCTGTATGTTCTACCACTTGTACAACAGACTGTGCTTAAAGGAATTGTTCAATATAATGCCCACAGCCACTTTCTACCATCAAATAACTTGCCATCTACAGGAAGTTCACCCCCATGTCTTAAAGCGTACATGATTAAGTACAGTGCAGTTTCAGAGATGTTTTCTTCAACAAACATTCAGGTTATGAAATGAGCTCCTTGTCAAGGTGTTTCCATGAAACTAGAGCATGGGATTCTTAAAAAAAAAAAAGATAAAGTAGTCTCTTTAGGGTCGGCAACACTCTTGTAGTGGGCCGTATGTTTGTTTGCCACTAAAAGAAAAGTAGTCAAGTGTTAAAAATTATTGTACTTGCATCATGCTTCAACACAAAAAAGTGTCAGCATCAGTCCTCTAGGTACAATGAACGAAGGCAAAGTATGAAAAATAAATGATAAGTATAAATTATGTATAATAAGTACTTTATAAATCTGCATTGTGTATTTATAATATAAATATAACCTAGCTATGAGCTAAGCACAATATTTATGTAGATATTTTGTCTCATATAGAGCTATTATTACATATACTAAACAATTAAATATAATTATTTAATATATACATCAAATTGTAAATATTATAAAATTATAATGTCAACAACAGATATGCTGATTAGCTGTGATATAGTAAACATGCAAATGGAATATACATTGTGCTAAAATATATTACTTGGAAGTACATTCATTCCAGTACAAATATGCAAAACCTTAAAATAAAACATAATAGTAGATTTTATTACATCAATACAATTTATTACAATAATTAAAAGATTTTCTTAAAATGGATTAAATACTGAATCATACTTATTCAAGTGTAAAAAAACATAACTATAATAAGAATAATTACAATAGGGTCATATTCAATATAAGATCTTACTAATAGAATAACACTGCAACTAGATAATGTCAGTACCTGATAATTAATTATGAAAAAGTAATAAGATGCCAAAAGAATAATTTTTAGAAATTTTATCTGTCTATATGTTAGGTCTAGCATTGTACAAAAACTACTACACCAAATTTGGGTGCACTTTTCACAGTTGTATTTCTAAAGGTCAAATTTAAAATTTAGTGTAAGTTTTATCTTAATACACCATCTAGACATAATCTATGTAATTGGTTTTTCCATTTCTAAAATTCATGTGTACCAACTAGCAGGCAAAAAGCTTATACTAATATTGTAAAGAGGAAAGTTTTGATTGTTTATAATGGATGAACTCAAAAACTACTGCTTTTAAGAATTTTTTTACTTATGGAAAGCTACATGATCAGCAAGTAACATAGGCTATATATTATTTTAAAAAATACCCACAGGTACAGGGTATTCTAAAAAACAGTATTTACATACTACATAGGTATGTAGTTTAAAGCCCGGCCAGATGATTAGTATAAAATAAATTACAAATAAGTAACCAACTTTAAAGTAATATTTCAAGACATTTTTTATGATAATTAATTAAATTATTAAAAGATATTAATTAAACCTAATCAATCATTACACAAGAAAAGATAGAAAGTAATCAGTATTTTTTTTATTTTTTATTAAATGTTTTTTATAGGTTCATTTCATGTTACCAATAACAATATAGGTTGTTAAATACAATGCAACTAGCATTCAAGGCCTTGCAATAATCCTTGATATTATACTGATACATACATGTCAGGGTTTTCCAATAATAATTGATTAATGATTACTTTTAAGTAGTTTTACTTACCAATTCAGAAATGAATTCTTTGTGGCACACCAGAACATGAAATGATTTTCCACAATTTTTGACACAGGTTTCCAGCACAGTTAGAGTGTACATGACCACTGTATAGTTTTTACCAGCACTTTGTGTCAATTTCTTTCTGATAGCTTTTATGGCGTCCTTAGGGCCATCTGTGCTGCTGTTAATAATATCACATATTTCCATATTCAATGCCCAATTTTCGGATGGTAAACTTCCATCTGTCGCTTGTTCTGAAATTATTAGACGAAAACATAAGAATCAAAGGGTCAAATTAATTGAGACTTCGATGACTCGTAATATTGTCTTATTATAAGTGACATTATTTGTGTAAGAAATATTTGTTACGTATACCTCATCTTAATATCTCTAAAGTCTGACAAAGAGAAATTTGTATTGTAATAATGCGCAACAAAAAGTGAATGATAGTTAAGGGATTTATTTGATGAACTAGATTGTTATTTAGATAATAAATGTTTATTTACTTACCAATTTTCTGGCCTACCGGCGTAGAAAAGGGATTTCCTACCCCAAAGAAGGACATTTTTACAAAATAATTAAATATTTAGGTATCAAAGCGTTTATCTTTCACTGATTTCACTTGTCATTAAAATTTTGTAGGTACACAGATTATGAAAATAAGTTGACTTGACATAACAAATGTCAATTGTGAACGAGTACACTTACAGTATATCTACCCTGTCACTATATGTTATTCATTATCTAGTGAATAACATAGATTAATACAGGAAAAGGAAAGTAATCTATGTATTGCCTGTAGTTATTATAGAAAATTAATATCCTGATTAAATGGAAGTTATAATTCAATATTTTTGCCTCACTTCTAATTTATGCATTAAGATATCTTCAGATGTACACTCTTGACAGAGTTGTCGTGGTTTTTATGATGATAATGATCGTCAATGAGGCACTTTTTGCGGGGACGCAATGCGTCTCCGTCTACTTCTGCTCACAGCCAAGCGAAAGTATTCCACAAGCGTATCTCAAGTTAGATACCATGTCGACTTCCAACCGAGACGCCTTTGTCCTACCTGTCCAACACTAGTCCCAGGGGGGAAGGGATTGTTAGTAAAGAGAAGGTTAGTCCCCGTTGCTATCAATGTACTTTATCAGGTTGACCTCTACGCAGTTCCTTCTGGAAATTATCGTGACTAATTTATCTTTAAATTCGTCAAGATAGGCTAACTGACCTGCTTTTTTATCCTCACCATTATCATCATCATCTCTCACTGGTACTCCGCTAGTGTATACCAATAGCGCAGGCGGGGTTACCATGCCATTTTCCCCATTAAAAAAAAACACACACTAGTCTCATAGTGCATTGATATATTTATTTCCAGTATTTTAAAATTACCTGGTAGAAACAGAATGTTTAGGTACTTAATATTCTTAATCTAAAATTACTTTTATAGTGTTATCGGTATCTAAGCAACTATTGATAAGTGCCTATTTAAATCTAAATACCTTTGAAGATACTTTTTTTCTTAGTTCTAACAGTAATATAACAAATTAATTACATAATGTCAGAGAAAAAATCATTAAATAGTCTTATTATACATCCAGATATCGAGCCTGGGGTAATAGATAATGCTATGCTTACTCGATGTATCCTAGAATATGGTGCGAAACTTTTTTTCTACTTTCTAATAACATGTATGTTAGTGTTTAGTGTAAAATGTTAATGATGATTTAGAATACGCAGACATATAGAATGCTATTTACTAAATTAAGTTTATTTCAAGTATATATTGTACTGAAACCGACATATGTAATCTGTTTCAATAGAACTTGATGAAAATGTAACCAAGTTTTGTTAAAATTATTATTGAAACACAACGATTTTTTACTTGTACTACATTTAAAACAGCTTGTGAATTTAAGATTGTGTTTCATAAAAAAATCTACTTCAATTGTGGCAAAACCTGTTATTTTGATTTAAAAAGAATTTTACTGAACCGATTATGATAAAATTTCTATGGGACCAATCTGTAAGTACTAATATATTCTTTCAGATAAAAAAAGAAATTTTCCATATCAATTTATAACAGATGGATTTACAAACATAAAAAAAAAATACAATCGATTCGCGAACCTTTTTAAAGTCAACTTACAAAGTCGTTATCCCCCTCTGTACCTATGTGCGCTTAGATATTTTAAACTATGCAACGGATTTTTATGCGGTTTTCATTAATAGATAAAGCGATTTAGAAGGAAGATTTATACGTTTTATGTTGTTTTATGTATTATAGTTTTATATTGTTTAATATTAATTTGTTGAAATATGACGATAAAATGATCAAAATATCTAAAAAAAAATCAATCCGACCGACAGCGTTAATCGAAAACATTGTCTTATTGTTTTGAACGACCTATAATAAAATAATGTACGATGGAACTGTTACTTTTCATCAAGACTACAAAAAAGTCAGCGGTGATATTTGTTTATATTTATAGGGATAGCTTTTTATAATCAATTTAATGTTAAAAAAATTGATACAAATTATATGGAATTTGAAAAGCTATTCAGACATATATAATATATGACCTCATTAAAATAAAAAAAATTCGTTATCTTAAGAATTTCACACATATATTAAATGCCTTTTACATCACACTATTTAAATTTATATCTTATGAATGATCGTAATATTAAAACCATTACGCAACAAAACTTAGTGGTCCGCACAAACACTTTCGAGAGTAACCCATAAAGAAAACATGTCTGTATTGTCTCATAAAAAACAACTGTAAACTTTGTATATAAAGACATTCTGTAGTATATTTTAATCGTAATTGAAATATTTTTAATCACTCCACACTAACATCACGTTAGTTTCTATGTTACATCCGTGCTAAGATTTCACAGTCTATTTATAATTATTAGGTTCTGTTGAAACAGACTAAAACGTGATAGTGTTGGTTGAAAGTTAATGTTGATAATTCAATGAAAATTTTACGTTTTATATTTGTGCAGAAACTGTAACTTGTAAATTTTGTTTATATAACATTCTTTTTTGAACACAAATCTATATACATTTTAAATATTTTTCATGTAGAATAGCTGGTTATTTTTAAATTTATAAAGTTAACGGACTACCTACTTTTCAAAACTTTTAGTATACTCGTAACAAAATTCAACTTGTTATATTCAACGAAACAATAATAACAAATACACTAGATCTTATTATAGTAAATATAATAGATTTTTATTATACAGTGCATTTGTAACCGTTAGAAAACAATTTAAACATTAAATGATAAGTAATGAATCTTCATTATTTGAAACTAGTTCAAACATTTAATGACTACTTTTACAATTCTAGAAATAGAAAATTTAAACAGTGAAAATAGACATCTTCAATCTACATTCAGAATATTATGATTAATATTATGAAAACATTTGACAAGTTTATAGGACACACCGTTTATCGATCAGAACTAGTAAAACATGAAACGCGAAAATCACAAATCGATATCGACTTAAAACTTCACCGCCGCTTTGGACTTTGGTCGCTGGCTCTGGCAGCAATATAATTAATGAGTATTGAAGATTTGAAGAAGCGCTACGAATAATGTGAAAATTCCAACTATAGTGTGAATATCAAAAAATTAAATCGTATGACTTTGTTATTGTCTCAGTAGTATAAATATTTGGCTAGAAACTGTTCAGGGTAATTGTCACTAAATGAGAAAAAACAATTAACTAAATAATTACTATTCGTAAACTTTTTTTTTGTTAAAACTTTATAATTTTACAAATTTTTTTTTTTTTGTTAATTAGGATAAGTATACACAAACCCGACTGAAGAAGCGTATTAATATGGGAGAATAACAATTATACTACTACAAACAATAATTTTCGTTCAAAATTTGCTGAAGAAGGTGTTCATTTAGATGAAGCGCCAATTGTTCGTTTAGAATTTCAAAACATTTTAAGAATAGACTACCTTTGGATGTTAAAATCGCTCCGAAAACTTACACTGGCCCATAACTTGATAGAGAAAATTGAAAATTTGGATCAGCTTACTGGTCTGAATGAATTGGATTTGTCGTTTAATAAAATTGAAAAAATTGAAAATCTTGATGAACTTGTTAATCTTGAAGTACTATCTTTATTTCATAATAAAATACGTAAATTAGAAAATATGGATACACTTCAAAATTTGCTTGTGTTTAGTATTGGAGATAATTTAATAGAAGATTACAAGGAAGTACGTATATTTGGAAAATTAAAATGTAGTATATTGGAAATTATTGTACCTAAGGTTGGCAACATAGGAAAATGTAATTAAGCTCTGTCATGGTGTCCTTCAATAAAAGTGCATATTCATATAAAAAAAAACTGCTTATAAAATGAATGTTGCCAACCTTAAGTACAATAATTTCCAATATACTACACAAAAATTCATTTTTGTAATATTTTGGGCCCATTATTGTTTCTGATATATATAAATGATATCCCAAATATAACTTCTATGATATTATTTAGATTTCATGATGCGAATGAACTTGAAATAAATATATTAAAAATATTAATAGACTGGCTAAAGGTAAAGATAAACGAACATTTTATAATCGTCAAAATAATTTGACATCTTTTAATATCGATTTTAATGGAAAAAAAAATAAATGAAGTAAAAATTACGAAATTTTTGGGATTAACGATTGATAATAACCTGACATGGAAACATCATATAGAAAATATTAATAGCAAAATAAACCAATTTTCATACGCATTGCGCATGTTGTCTAAGATTGTTAATAGCGGTATTGCATATTGATATGTTGAATCCTTCTAAGGTATGGTGTCATATTTTGGGGCAATTCGACATATAGAGATATAGTCTTCAAGACTCAGAAAAGGTGTATTAGATCTATGTGCAATTTGAAAAGAATGATACATGTACGACTTCATTCAAAAGACTGAATATCCTGACTTTTCAGCCTTTATATTCTTGAAACAATGTTGTTTTGAAAAAGAATAAACTTTTATTTGAAAAGTTAAAAAGTGACCGTAATACGATAAAATTGTTCAGCCTCACGTCACAGCATTATTTGATAAAAGTTTTTTTATGTCTCTAAAATATATAATAAATTCCCGAAAGCATTTAAGGAAATAAACAGTTTAAATGTATTTAAGAAAAAAGCAAAAGAATATTTGACAGCCAAATGTTACTATACGTTGCATGACTACTACAGTGATAAATATTAGACATGGAATTTAATTATTTTTATTGACATTTTTTACATTTTATTATTATTATTGACATTATTTTTATTATTATAAGTTATTATTACTATAATTTTATATTGTACATGCCGATATGGTAGAATATGGAATAATGGACATGTAATTATTTTTTTCAACTAATGTATGTACCCATATTCGTGCAATAAATGATTTGATTTGATTTGATTTGATTGATAAAGTCAATAGATAGAACTAGTCTCAAATATATTTATTGATATTATCATCGGAACTACTGTTTATCAGTAAACATGAATGATTAGATAACGCGAGCTACATCAATATCGACAAGTTTTCGTCTACTTTGTTAGTGTAACAGTTTGATATGCATTTCGTTTGTTGCGGGTTCGATTCCGGCATAATACAAAAATTTATTGTATTCATAAGTATGCCTATATCTAATTATGTATATATATAAATGTAAAAAATGTGTCTAGTTCAGTAGCAAAGTTTAAAATTTCCCTTAATACAAACTCTGTTTAGTTTGCGTTACGGATGTCAAAGTTTCTTATATTTATTTAAATTCTATTATATTAATGCAGATGGCGTATATGCGCAGATTTCGTAAACTGCGATCGGTTAGCTTCAAAGGGAACCCATGTTGTGACGATCCCATGGCGTATCAGTTCCTTAAGTCGGCACTCACCAGAGTCACATACCTCGATTATAAAACCATAACCGAAGAGGAGAGAGAAAGTGGAAAAGCCATTTTCAGGTGCTAAAATGATGTATATAAATTTGTATATATCAAATTCACTCCATTGTTTCTATAAGTACTCATGTTGACGCATGTCGTTGGCGTAAAATTTATTCAGATAAAACAAGTAACTTATATTAGTTGTGATAGCGTATACTAGTGCCGGATTAGCCAACGAAGGCCTATAGCAAAATTTTATCAAGGGGCCTTTAGTTTGCTTTGGGATATCAAGTTTATGATATGAAATAAAACAAATTTTTTACACACTTTTCTGTATTTAATTTAAGCAAATTTTGAAATAATACTATTTATATTGATTTCTTTGAATTCAGCAAATCGTATTAATATATATTATAATATAATATTAATTAACGTATCAAAGTGAGGTAATTAAAACGTTCTTGGCTTATCGTGTTTCTTAACTCATTTTTAACACCTTTTAACGTTGAGAAATTCATCACTACAGTAGGTGATCATAAGAGATAAATAAATGCGCGTTTACTATTACTTTAGATATTTTTTACGGTTGGAAAGTGTTAATACGTGGGGCCCGTAACATTTGCTAATATTATTATATGGCTAATCCGCCACTGGCTGTGTCGCATGGTTTGCATGATACTATACTGTTACTTAATCGTGCTTAAACAGCTGACCCGATTAGATAGAAATTTGGTACACCTGATAGATTGTTACACACATAGAATATTTTAGTATTTAAAAACAAAAATAGTCGTATTATGTAAGATCATAGATAACACACCTAATACTAGATAAGATATAAACTTACAACATCATGACCTTTGGCCTTATATTATAAATATAATCAATAAATAAAAAAAACTTGTTATACAGAGGTTTATTGCGTAAATTAGACGAAGCAGATGAGAAATCAGAAAAAGAAAGGATAGCGAAAGAAGAATACGATGCTAAAGTTGAATTTTACGCCCTCTCGTTTGTGGAATATCTGAGTGGGCCGGAGTTACTCGAATCGATGTTTGAGAAAGACCCGGACGGGTCTCTTCTCCTCAAAGTTGGTGGTGAACTTTTAGGATTTTATGAACAGTAAGTAAATATGTCATCACTTCGTTTTAATCCTGGAATATCATAAGAGACATTCAGGGGAACAAAAAGCAAGTATGTATACAAGTGGTACCTTTTTTACAGATACAAGGAACAATATGTAGAGACTATGGCAGGTCTAGTGGAGTTTGCTCAAGAAGCGTATAATGCAAGGCAGCACGAAATTAAACTTTTCAAAGATTTAGTTAACAACGCTTTAGAAGATAGTGTACAGAAGAGCAAAGAGTAAGTGAAGATTTTGTTTCATAATTTTACAGACGACATTGACTGAAAACATTTGACTTTAAGCCGTAAAATCGTAGGTGTGTTTATAAATCGATTGCGTTTCACTACAAGTACCTAGTTTATTGCTCTGCAAAAAAGAAATCTAACTTCAACCGTCACAAAATAAATAAGAGACAAAAGCAAACAAACCCTATTAATCGTTAAAAGTATGTACAATATATATGTTCAGAATTCCAATTCATTCCATTTTTTTTGCCTTCTCTGCCTTCTTGGGAGACAAGCGTGACAAATACGTATGTTCAGAATGGCGATGTAATTGCTCAACATAGCCACAAAATAATAAGTAATAATGATATTAAAAACCAATATAAACGAAATGAGGATCGTTTTCTTTTGGAAGTTCAAGTAGAGTAATTATTAGGTAACTCGTAAACGTATTTGTGATTATGGCATATTTTTTATGACCAACTAATAAATTACTGTTTACATTTAAAAATTATTCATTTGAATAATATACTAATACCTACATACACTAGATCCTATTTAAAATCCTTCCTTTATAATTTGTTTTTGCATTATCACTCATTACCTACAATTATTTTGAGTTTCATACTCTAATGATATTGAGAATTAAGTTCTCTACTTATATTTATGTATCTAATAAGTAAATATTTTAAAAAATTACAACATTTTTGTCATACAAGTGCGCTTACATCGTAATATTTTTTGTAACGTCAATATACATATATTTTTATCAGAGCATATACTTTAATCCTTAATCATTGATTTACAACTTTATTGATTACGGGACGGTCAGTCGGGCCATATATATCCCTCAAATTCGCAACATTTTTTTTATGATACCTACTTAGAATAGCAATCAAGGTGACTGATAAAGAGAACAAGATTTGAAATCTTTAAGTTTTTTAACTAGGTACTTGCTGAGGTCATATAATAAGAATTCAAATAACATTTTGTCTTCGCTCGAGTATGTTCGTGAACTATTTTGTAGATCTGTACCAATTCCTTTATTAATCTATTTAATCGATTTGGTTTTGTGTCCTAGCTGTTTTTATTCTCACTCTTATTTTGGTGTTAACGTTCAGCGGGGTTACCATTCCACCTTCACCCATTAAAAAAAATTCAATTAACTCTCTCGTAATGAGAAAATATTGTTATATATATATATATATATATATATATATATATATATATATATATATACCAACGTACAGCTGAAACCGTTGAATCTAGAATCTTGAAATTTTACAGATAGGTTCTTTGTATAGCATAGGTGAACAACAAGAAATTAATTTACAAAATCTTACCTCTAAAGGGGAAACTTCTAAAATTGACGTGTGTAAAATTTACTTATCTAGCACATAACAGTAACAGTTGACAAATATTGCTGTCTACGCTACTTAAAATAATAGAGGTGCGTGATATTATTGTAATAATGAACAGGGTTTTAGAGGAATTCGAGAAGAAGAAGAAGCCTTTAACAGAGGCCATGAACGAAGTAATCCGGAAATTCTCAACAAAACAAGCCACTATTGAACAACTTGAACCTAGGATAGTGGACTTGGGGGAATCTTTCAACGACGTCCTGTATGAACTGTGGAAGAGTCTTATGACTATTGAGATGCAGTTGTACGAGCGATGCGAGGTAGGTATACTTAGAGGCATTTACACAATCAAATTAAAACATTAATAGGTACTTTTCTTTATGCTATGTAGTAATGAATTAACGGGGAAACCGCAGGCGATGGATGCCCTGAATCTATCAAAATACATATATTGAAGAAACCTATTTTGATGTTTTTTTTAATGGATGATAATGAAATGGTAACCCTGCCTGAGCTAACAGTATACGCTTGTGGAGCACCAGTGAGGGATAGTAGGTAAGAATGAAAAGGCAGTTCAATTAGCCTATCATGATGAATATACCTGGAATTCAGCATGACGGTTTTCAAAGAGGACCACGTGGATGTTGACCTGACAGGGTATATTGCTAGCAATGGGACTAGAATTCCGCATTACTAACAATCCCCTCCCTCCTCTATTATGATATTACTAGGAAATTGATTAATGTGTGATGTATGTAATGTGTGAAAATGGAATGGTAGCCCCACCTGCTTCATAGGTTTACATTGGCAGGAAGCCTATTATGGACTATAATATATATGGATTAAGTCAAGTCAGTTGTACGTCAAAAAACTAAATATGTGTTAGATAGATGTGAACCGGTATCCGCAATTGGATGTATTTGCCTCCAACTTGCTGGAGTTTCGTCAAATGACCACAAGGTGTTTGTGTGCAGAAGTTTAGAATTTAAATTTATTTATGAATATTATTCTTTTTTTTATATATGTTATTGTACTGAATATTTCCTGGGTGAGCGTATTGGAAGACTGTAAAGCTCACTCAGTTGATGTAATGTAATAAATAAATAAATACATTGGAAAATAATCTAATAATATAGCCAAATACAAACTATCTAATATCTGTTAGGAGTCGCGGGTTCAATTCTCAGTGAACATGACGGAAATGATAACGAAACTGATGGAGGTGTCTCGTAACGCTTTTGGCGCGTGGCGAGAGAACGAGGCCGTATGGTCAATGCGTCAGTTCGAGTCTCTGTCCAAGTTGCTTGGCAACAAAGTCATGCTCGGAGACGCACCAGCGGAGTTGTTCGAGGTACCCGCTATTGTTATTTTTTATGCAAATTGAAATAGCAAATGGGTTGACGGCCCATTTGAGGAAAAGTGGTAACAGTCGCCTATAAACACAAACAGCCATTGTAACCACGTGATGCCTATAAAGCCTATAATTCTAAATTCACTATGAAAATACGAGTGGAATAAAGGAAAACAAGCAGGCGGCTGTATATAAAAATAAAATATACTCGCGAAGTATAGCTTGATGATAGATGTGATATTATTTATGTGCCTAGTCAAGTAATAGAATAACTAGAGTTATGTAAATTTTACCCACATTAAGTTTAACACTCGCATTTAAGAACAAAAAAAATGGTATATGGTAATAAATATTTTCAAATCGTCTTACCATAACAGAATAATACTGACATTGGAAATATACTGCACCGAGATCAAACTATAGACATTTCAAATTAAATTATACTGTTTGTAAATCTTTCATAGCCGTAAATAGGTTTTCAAGGAACAAATTATGAAACCAAAAGGCAAACTTAATATTCGATTTCCGTGAAGCAGTTGTGTTTGCATGACTGTGTTTCGGTTTGAAGGGTGGGATATGGCGTGAATTTACAGAGTACAGAGAAATAACACCTGAGTCCTCAGGAATGGTAACGCATGGGGGGTATCATGGACGAGGCGGTATACTCTGTTATGTCCATGGTCTGCTCATGTCTATAGGCGACGGTTACCACTTCCCATCAGGTGGGCCGTCAGCTTATTTGCCTTTCTAAGTTGTATAAAACAAAAACATTTAATTACAGGTAATGATGGATCGTGACATGATGATGAACTTGGTAGCTCAGTCGTCTGACAATCACATGCGGTTCATTGATGCACGTGAGGATCTTCTTATGACACGAGCGAACAACTGGCGAGATGATCTTGTTCAGGGGACTAATGAGTGAGTAACAATAATAACCAGAGGGAGACTTTGTACAAAAGTGGTTTGATTGGGTACCTCTGTTCCATTAGTGCTACCGTGAAGCAAATGTGTTCGCATGGTTGTGTTTCAGTTTGAAGGGTGGGATGGCAGTGAATGTGTAGGGTACAGGGAATAACACCTTAGTCCTCAAGAATGGTAACGCATGGGGGATCATGGACGAAACAGTACACTCTGTTATGTTCATGGTACTGCTTACATAGGCGACGGTTACCATTTTCCATCAGGTGGGCCGTCAGCTTGTTTGCCATTCTAAGTTGCATAAAAAATGTATTAGTTCACAATAAAAGTAAAGTAGTTAAGTAATATTTTAATTTATTAAAATGACTCTCTGTCTTATTAAACTGAATGTAAAAACTTTAGGTACTGTTTTATTAATATAATAAGTACCAATCTCTTGAAACATGAATTATCAACATTAATTAAATAAGAATTTAAAGAAATTCAGAATACTATATTAATATCTTAAATCTTAAATGTAAAAGTTGAAGTTGTATGGATTAGATGGATGGATGTTTGTTACTTTTTCATGCAAAAACTACTAAACGGATTTGAGTAAATTTGGTAAACGGATAGTTGATATTATAACTTAGCACATAGGATACTTTATGTATTGAACCATAGATTACAGCTAGTACTTAATAATCGTCTGTATGTTTAGATTATGTAATAAATGTTACAGCTAAGAAAAGCAAATGCTTTTTAATACGACGAGTTTAATTTCACTATTTCTTCACAGTAACGAGATAAAGCGAAACCGTGACAGAATCTTGGAGATAAACTACTTCATAGACAATCAAAGGGAGGAATGGACTGATATGCAGATGGGCCTGACGGAGGCAGTAGATCCAGAGACAGTCGCTTTACTTGGAGATGATTTCTAAATATAATATTTACGAAATCGTATGTATTTGTTCTTCTATCGTCTATTAAACCTATTAGCTATAAAACGAATACAGGATCTCAAAATAGACATTTCTATATTATAAAACTGACTATTACCCACGTTAATTACGATAAATGTGTAACATAATGCATAACATGATCTAGGTTATTTAGAGAAGACAATAATATCTAACTGTATAGGTAGGTACTATATTCCATCCTTTTAGCAGTTTTTAACGTGACAGTATTTACAAACCTTTGAATTTGTAATAGAACTAGGATTTATAAAAGATATATATGTAGATACTACATGATAATATTTGATACTTAACGTTTTTCTATCTACATAAATAAATTATATTAAGTATTAAATTTGTCTTAATACGTATCTACTTGATATTTTTTTTTAATTATGTTCGAAAAGGATTATTATATTGTTGATTGAGGCTATATACTTTGCCTTAAATATGGAGACCTATTAAAATGCGACTACCAACATTGCAACTTGCATTGCAAGTGTTTGTGAGCAACATTAGCTAGGTGCATCATCAGATTGTTAACCTATCTCTCCTGCATTCCTGTTTAAGAACTATCGGTGAAGCTCTTGCCATTCACTACCATTTTCAGCGAGTCTCGTCACCTTTTGATATGACACAACACCAATTTTTTTCTTGATCTGCCTGATGTAACTTTGTCTTGGTCTATCATCATCTTCCTACCCTTATCCCAATTTATTTGAGGTCCGCGTAATATTTTTATTATCCATATTACAAAAAGATTTGGCTTATAGTTTTACGATCGGACGCCTGCCTGACGTCAACCCTCTTTGGGAATTCGTCTATCTCTCAAACAAATAAAAGAAAAATCGTATGCTTTAACTCCAAAACATCAATGATCTATGGCGGCGGTCACGTTAATTTTTAAGCGAATGAACAATATATTGCCAAAAGCAAAACCGTATGCCAAAATTACATTAAACAAACAAGTAAAAAATTATATCAAAATACAAAATACTAAAAAATAACCTTTTTATCTATTCAAATAACCAGCAGCACCGTGCATTATCATATCGACAAAAAGGTACGACCCTAGCATAACTATTCATAAACATGTGGAACACAAATTGATTTAACGAGAAATAATTAGCGTTAATTGATCATTAATTATTGGTCTTGATTAATAATTTATACCTATTATGTAAGGGCATTTTAAGCATCAGATAATTCTAAGTATCCTACTAATTTTATAAGAGCCTAAATGTGAAAGTTTCTAAAGATGTTTGAATGTTTGTTATGGTTGATCGAATTCAAATATTTGGGTACACATTTGGGTCGGTTTCTTCATCACAATACAGGATGGGACACTGGTTCAGTTTTACGAATACTGACATTGTAGACATTCAAAAGTCGATCCGAAATGAATGGTACTACAAACCAAATTTTAAATTTTACAGCAAATAAATCAACTATGCCTGATAATGAACTCTGCATACCTTTTAGATGTTTATAAAGTCTATTTACATCCCATTATCGTGGAACAAACAAAATAAAATATTGAATTGCATAGGTTACAATGTTATGTGATCTTAAAAACACAATTTTATACTGACACAAATTCTTTTATTGCCAATTTTAAAGTGAGTACCTAGGTTAGGCACACTAATAAACATTTGTTGCCATATTAGATAAATAATTCCAATCAGAACATAATTTGCTTCAGAGATAAAAATAATATTCTAGAAATAATTGTAGACATACAGTATTATAACTACTTCTTAGTTCTCTCTAATTTTCTCCTTTTCAATTTTTCAACATATTCTCCTAATGCATTCTGAGTTTCTTTTTTCGTAACTTGATCCAATACTTCATTAGGATTTTCGTTTAAATATTTATAAAGTGACTCCAGTGGTATTCTTCTTATCTTTTGTAGGCATGGAGAATGTGTCCATTTTGGTATATTATTGAATTGATTTATAAAACCTTTACATTTCTCTATAGCTCCAGCTTTGTCTTCTGCTATGTCATCAACAAGGCCTTCCTGTATGAAAAAATACGAAAAATAAAAACAATAAAAGTCTAAGTAAATCTACATTATGAATTTTCGTAACGCGAGTTTTGTTTCGAATATGTATATCACATTATAATGCACTAGTGTTTCCTCTGGCTTCGTGTAGGATTTGTAAAATATCTTTGTAGGATTTGTAAAATATTTTATTTTTTGTATATAAAAATACAACCCATGTTACTCTCTGAAAATTGAGGTTTCTATAAGTCAAAGAATTTTTAAAAAGTATGTTTTGAGTTTATCCTTTACAAAAGGAAATAAATCTTTCCTTTTTATAATTTTTGGTCAGATATATGAGTAAAGCACTGATTTGAGAGGAGTAAAGATTGTTTTTACAGATATCATACATTTCCGTATCATGAGGAAAAAACCGGTGTAATGTAAAATTGCAGCGCAAACTATTTCAAAATAAATTCCTATCCATAGCAGCAAATCTAACAAGAAATAAATAATTATGATACTGAGTTATGTTGCGACACTCAGTCTTTTCATACATTGCTATATTTTTGTTAAAATTATTTTAACAAATAATTATACCACCTACCTTTAACGCATCGCTTGGAGAGAACATTGTAGATGCCATCAGGGCCAGTTCCCCACGTCGTGGAGAAAGTGTATGGAGCATGAGATCGGTGATCCAGGCAGACGGAACTATTCCCAGTGCAGTATCATTAAAACCAATTGTGAATTGACCTTTCGTCGTGACTCTATATTCGGAGAGCATAGCAACTGCATATCCTCCGGCTGGTGTGTGACCCTGAAACATTAACCTATAATGAATAAACATTTTCGTGTTTTTTTTCAATTCCAATTTCAAATTCACAAACCTCGTGTCGTGTTGTTTTGCATTATGGAGGTTCCGAATTCGCTTCCCGATTGGGTGAATTTAGTAAACGAAATTTCTAAATTAGCTCGGCTTTAGACGTTTTGTAGCTTGTGTACCCAAGTGTTTGTCGCTTGATTTTTTTAAAACACACGATATCTTAAATGATAATTAATTTTATGTGTATAAATATTGTTGTTTACTTTTATTTCTTGTAGAAGATAATAATTTATTTTAAGTATTTATTTTTTATTTGTTAAATTCTCTCACACATTTTCCTAGGTGGGGTATGTTCAAAATTAACCTTTTTACATACATTGAGAATTGTAGTTTTTTATAAAAAAGAAAATTGATAAACAATTGAAATAGAACAAAAATATGTATAATACAGCAAGTCAACAGACGGCATTTTCACTTACAATTTATATAATTAATAAATAAAAATATATACATACAAGAACCAGTATATTTTACAAATAATAATTTTATACAAAATATATTAAACACACGCAACTATTTTTTATTTTGCTCTTCGTCAAACGTTCCGTCTACCCACAAATCATTTAAGTATTTGTTTTAATTCGATACAGACTAATACATATAAGAATGTACCTGCATGCTGTATTATTATTGTACCTACTTCGTAAACATTTATTGTGATTTTGTAGTATATATTTATATCTATATTTTTATTTTATTTTTTTATTTTTTTTTATTACAACACAGGGGGCAAACGAGCATGCGGCTCACCTGATGGTAAGTGACTACCGCCGCCCATGGTCACCCACAACACCTACGGCATTGCAGGTGTGCTAAATGTGCTTCTATACTTACATTAATAGCAGTAGCTGTAGGAAAGTCCGAAGTCAGGAACTTCAGTGCCATGTCATGGAAAGTTTTCCAAAACAACGTTAACCTTTTCATTTCTGGCTTATATAGTTCGTTTATATCTAAACCAGCCGAAAACACGGTAGGTAAGCTCTGAAACAAAATGAACAGAATTTTACAAAAAATATCTATGCATAGCATCGGTAAAGAGGAAGGTTTGCTAGAAATAAACTATAATAACCCTGTTGCGAACAATATACTCTATCGGGTCGACCTCCACGTGATCGCCTATGATTAATTACCACTGACCTAACTTCATCTTCACCTTTTTACAATTAAAAAAAAACATGGAGAATGGGGGAAGAATTGAAACGATGGGGATATAACGGTAACTAAGTTGAAAACCACAGTGGTTAATATTCTAATGTAATAGCTACCAGATAAGTTAAGCAGAAAAATAAAAATAAATACCAAATAAACAGAAAGCTCGAATAGTTTTAGGATCATCCGGGACTCCTAATCATAAACGGTTGCGATGCGAGCGTAGGCCTGATTGCGCGCCTAGACCCGCCGTGTTCTCTCGACTAAAATACAAGTAAGTTAATCTTGTAGTTATTACATAAAAATATAATTTATATTTACGAAACTTTTAATAATAAAATCATGGTTAAATCCGAGTTCGTCATAATCAGCTAATCTAATTTCATCCTCATCTATCATCCCTTAGTGGTACCCCATGGGCTTAAACCATGGGCGTGCCATTAAATTTTAACTTATTTACCGTTCCAAGATATACGTAAAAATAGAGGTTGCAAATATTTAAGTGTAGCTTTAAGTTATGTGTGTACAGCATAACTTAAAGCCTTTTTCCAAAGTTGAGTAAATTTAATTTTAAATTTTTTAATGGTGTATATACATCTAGTTATGTAACAAAAAACTTAAAAGATTCTAAAACTTATTAATTGTATGCATTTCTAATATCATGTAACTTAATTTTAAATTTTTGATATTTGTTATTTGGTAATTTGGTATAAAATCATACAATCCTTGATTTGTTGCATATTCTTTTCAGCTGAACTGCTTTCCGAATTATGCGGTAGAATCATAAAAAAAAAATATTCAAAACTATAAAAGAATAAACTAGTATAAGTATAAAATATAATGATATATGAATAAAAAATTCAATTTTATAGTTAAATCACAGAATGATAATTGGCATCGATATCTAAATAAACTTACCGAAGTCAAGATCATTCCTTTACAACCCTTAGCGGCTGCATCGTCGAATGCATTAATAATCGCCTGCAGTAGTTCAACATTCAAACTGTTTACGGGCGGCCTTTGCAATGTTAGTACTGCGATCCCATCTTCATCCACGGCCAGATCCGTCAGGGAACTCGAATTCACAGACATTGATCTCATACATGGTTTGCTTCTATAAACTCGTGATATTTGTCGAAAGAGAGACATTCTGCCAATAATACAATAAACACTTTTTTATTTATTTATTTCACAAGTATTGATGTGTAAGACGGATCGAACGATGCTCACATACTACACTCGTAATAAATGTGATATACGCGGGTAGGTATATCTTGGGTTATTATAAAGAGTAATCATAAAGATAAATTGAGATAATAATGATTATTATTGATATATATTAAATGTGTATTAATAGTAAATAGAAGTTGTTCGTGTTATCTCGACTGATATCCACAGTAATATTTACTAGGAGTCTGAAACAATATAAATTCTTCCTAATCGGTTATTAGACCTTATTACGTTAATGGACGGTCCAAAAGTGCCGTTCACACAGTCCGAACACATGTCTTCCACAATCGAAATATATATATATATACACACATATATATATTAGCTACTCCCAAAGTGATAAAATTGTTATTTTTTCCAAATCGTTTATTGTCAAATAGAGTTAAACGATAGATGGCGCAAATCATTCTCCGGCCTCTAGAAGATAATTGTGTGTACTACGCAATAGATGGCGTAAAAAATTAATGAGAAATAGGAAATATCTACAGGTAATTTTGACGGATGTAAGCTTAGCGTAATAAATGTAGTCGTAGGTACAATGGTAGGTATTGTTATGTAAATGAAACGTACATTAGCAATAGTTTCTTAGATAGGCTTACCTACGTATGAAATTACGAAAGAATGGTTGTATATTTATATCAAAATTGTACTTACATATGTACATCTGAATCTGCTCTTAACAAACATATGTGTGATGTAATAAGTATCAAATTTCAAACTCTTATCTTTCTTTATCTTTATTGTTTGTAGCGTACAAAATGGAATCCATTGTAAGGGGTCAGACTACTGAACTGTAAATAAAACACGTTTGTGACGATCTTGATAACGTGTTTATTTCTACGATGGCTGCAGATTCGATATCTGGATAAATGCACACATTTGTATGCACGACTTTTATTGTTTGGGCGGTTTTTTAGAAAAAAAATATATATATATATGTATAATAGATTTTATTTGTAAAAAAATTATAGTACCTAACTCTCTTTCCTCGCGATCTACAATTTCGATGGATAATTTTGTTGTCGTCTATATATGTATAATGGAAATTCAATATTTCATTATCATATTTTCAGTAAATGTAATTGTTAAATATTTATGCACACAAACAAGTAGCAAAGTAATCTATCGGTAGACACGTTTACTTTACTGCATGAGAAACTGTATAGTACATCAAATATTGATTGTACCGTCTCGTTCTACCTCATGCAGCAATAATGTATATTTATCGATACATTCATATCGTATCCCATTGTCTAGAAGGGCAGTATAGTTAACCTTTACTAACAATTTCTTTCCTCCCTAGTATTATTTCTGCAAAACTATATCGATGGAATGTAGAGAGTTTAATTAGTACGTGAATTGGTTATACTACGTCGATATTAAATGATATTCGTTTATAAATAATTAGCAATTGAAGTGGAAAGATAAACAAATTTACATAAACATGTGGAATTGGGTATTAAAAATAAATTGCAAAAAGTCTTTTGAAAATGTATTTCATATAAAATCACATTTTTTTTAAATAACACAGTCTTACTACATACATTTTCACTAGTTTCAAATTATGGAGCTTGTTTGAGGCACACCATTTTTGTTATAAATTTGTATGGTAAAAGTTAGTATAAAGATATTTTTCCGGCATCTTAGCTTATCAGCCTGATTTTAATATAATTATAATGCTCAATAAATAATCAGAAGCGATAATTTAATTTTTATTTTCGTGTATAAATGGAATAACATTATTTAACAACAAATAAAAATTTAATAATCTCTAGTAACTATAGTATAAACCATACTTAAACGAATAACGCAGTTACAGATGCATTGCAGCGTTTATGACAGCAGTTAACACTGGGCAATGCATATAATGCAAATATTTTTAAAAATATGCTTAAGTATATCAATCAGTTGTCTTGTAACCATAGTACGAATACTACTCAGTTATAGAGTAGATGACGCAGAGTTAAAGACATTATTAATATGATACATTTGGGTAGAATTCAAATTGTGAAAATTAATCAAAAATATGTAAATATTGGATAACAATATATGTAACACATTAATGTGGTGTATAATAACATGATCAGGAATATAGTGAAACCATTATTTCTTTGCAGACTTTTGCTTCAGAATCTCTAAGTATATTTCCAGTGACTGTTGTACTTTAGGATTGGTGACAAATGTTAGGAACTCTTCGAGATCTGCCTGACGATTTTTTTGTAGCCAAGCAAGAGCGTCTCCTCTTATCTTCTGTTTGGTAAGAGCCCGCGCTAATGGAGGGATTGTATCGAACCTCTCAATAAATTCTTTGCATTTCTCTATACTATCTGCTTTGTCAGTAGCTGTCTCGTCGATTAATCCCACCTAAAATGTAAAATTTTTATAACATATGTATATGATCAAATGTTAATTATGACGTGATACCTGTTAACACAGGCCTTATGTAGTGACTGTTGAGACTTATGTAAGACAGACATAAATAAGATCAGGTAGTAGTAACACATTAGATCTTACTTGCATATGCCTTCAGTTGTTTTCAATTTTACAGAAATATATCAAACTTATAGGTCTTTTATATTTACTACAAAATTATTTCATAGTTACCTTTAATGCTTCTTCAACAGTGAACATTTTACCGGTTGTAAGAGCAACCTCAGCTTGCCTCCTAGATATTGTATTACACATTGTGTCCATGAACCATCTAGGTGCAACAATTCCCAGAGCAGTTTCGTTGAGTCCCGTTGTAAATTTACCATTTACCATTACTCTGTACTCGCAAGACATAGCTAGGAGACATCCACCAGCTGGCGCATGACCCTGAATAAAAAACATTTGGATTTTAAACCTTCATTGAACATAGACAATGTCAATTTCGTAAAATTATTTTTATCTATAGGTAGCCATGACTATACACGAAGAAAAGCCTCATTTGTGCTTTAACCTTACATTTTATAATGGGCACCTTATATTTCCATTCATCTTTATAGTTAAAACACGGATTATAGTGTAGTAGTATACTGAGATTAAGTGATATGAATACTAATTATTTTTATTGTATACTTGCATTTATAGCAGCAGCAGTGACAAACTTGGATCCAAACAATTTTAACCAGAGCCCTTGAAGTGAGGTCCAAAATAGTTCTACCCTCTTGCGATCGGGCTTATACATTTCCATAATATCCAATCCTGCCGAAAATACTGATTTTGATGACTGAAAAATATAAAAAAGTATAATGCTATAAAAGTAAAACACTATAATTCTCCACACTACTTCTTTCTAGGTACATGATACTAACAGTTAAATAAGAATGTACTATTAATAAATATAATAACTGGCCATATAGTTTGTATATTTGTTACATTTGAAACTTTATAGATTTCAATATGACACATACTATATATGAAGAGATCATCTAAAAAAGTATACTGAAACATAACATAACAGTACAATTATATAAAGGTTCAGAAGAAAACTGAACTTAAAAAGCCACTTCACTTCAGAAGTCAAATTTTGTGATATCTCAATCAGTATCTAGAGTTTACACCAAATAATGTACTTATTACATGATTAAAATTGTTAACGGTGAATATAAATTTGTACCTTATATAACTTGATATTTCAAAATACTCCAATTGCACTGCATGTAAAGGCAAAGGTAAATATTATATATATAGGTATAAGAAGTAGTGTTAATACTACATGTATAATAAACCTAATTTAAAACAAATTATTTTGTAGCCCAAATAGTGTTATTAATTATTAAATTATTAAGTAGGTATTAAAATGTTTATGAATATTGGATACAGAAGTATATTAAGGGGGGAGGGCAGGTGGGTTGCATGGCCTTGTCCACCCTTGAATTGTCTGGTACAATCAGGATTGGAGCCTCACAAAGGCATGTCTGCAAGTATATATACATGTTTTTTTAAAGGGCCAAGCTCACCCTGAAAAATAATTTTAAATATGCCAATGATAGGACATTTTTTCTTTGGCTATTATTTACTTATTAATTATGATAAATATACAAAAGAGAGTTGATGTCAGGCAGGGGGCCAATCGTAAAGCTATAGGCCAAATCTTTTTGTAATATATATAAAATCATATTATGCCAACCCCAAATAATTATCGGGATGTAGGAAGATGATGATACTTGGAGCTCTTCAGCAAATACTTATGCAACAAATAAATTACTGTATTAATTTGTATATGTAAGTATGTAATTGTTTATATTTATAAGTTTACTATTGTAATCTTTTGGAGAAAACAATAAAGAGTATATATATCTATCTATCTAAACAAGCATAAAAATTAAAATAAATAGAACACCTACTAAATATTATTTATGTATAAATAATAAACAATAAAAAAATCATAAAGACTGATAGACTAGTGGCTCACTAGAGTTATGAATGTATACCATGTTTAGTTATAAAATGTGAAAAATAAACTAACCGAGGTTAAGATCACTCCTTTTGACTTATTTTTAGCTGCTTCATCAAGAGCTTTATCTATTTCTTGAACAAGTTCTAAATTGAGGCTGTTGACTGGAGGACGTTGCATTGTGAGGGTGGCTATGCCTTCATCATCAACTGACAAGTCCACCAGAGGTCCTGCTTGCGCAGACATTGGCCTGATATTTGGACGAATTTGTCTGCCATTTCGAATAAACAGTCGCAAGGCATTCATTCTGGAAACTAAAATATTATCATTTAAATATATATGTATTATTTTTATATACATATGCTATATACTGAAACAGAACATTCCTTCAAATTATACATATTTTGTTCTTAGTTAAATAGAACTTGATATAAGTAAACCAATTAGTCTAGAATTAGTAGGTGTTAATTTAAAAACTTACTTTGTAAAGTTTGCAGTAACAGATTTAAATTGAACCTTGGACTTTAAGACTTTGCTAAGACTCCAACTAAATATCAAGGAATATTTCGTGTGATGTGTCAAATATAGGGGACTTAATGTCAAATCAGGGAATATTTAATTTAAAAACAACCAATATCTTAATCTTTGATCCAATTAACTACCAATCAATTTATTTCAATTAGAATGAATAAAAACTTGTCCAAAATATTTGTCAAAATCGTCAATCTGTCGAAGTCAAATGGATATAGGTATTGTCAAATTGGCGTTAACATAGATATATCCAGATATGTCCACTATTATCATATTTTTTTGATGGGTGCAAATGGAATGGTAACCCCGCCTGCGCTAACGGGATACGCTGGCGGAGCACTAGTGAAAGGTGATCGATGAGAATGTAAACAGGCCAGTTAGCCTATCATGATGAATTCATCAGAAATTAACCATGATAGTTTCCAGAGGGAACCGCGAGGAGGTCGACCTGTTTGGGTATATTGCTAGCAATGGGATTCTCAGTCTCCATTACTAACAATTCCTTTCCCCCCACTATTATCATATTAACCTTTAACTGTTCACTCTTGAACTTAATTTCTACACAGCCTTCCTTTTATAGGATTTTGCCAGTACTTGCCATACTTGGCAGACGGATTGGTAACATCAGTTAGGCTTTGGAGATGTTTTAAGAGGACATCCTTCGATCATTAATTTTACTTAGTTGCCTCTTACGACACCTACGAAAAGAAAAGGGTGGCCTATTCTATACCGGGACCATACGGTAACAGATATGTTTATGCTAGCGTCAATTTCGATTAAGTCATTTTGAAAATCTGTAATAAGTCAAATTAAGACTAATTATGACCTTGCTTCATAATCAGTTATAGGGAGTCAATGGATGCAGGTGGCTCAGGACCGTTCTTTATGGTAATCTATGAGGGAGTCTTTTGTCTAGCAGTGGTCGGATAATGACTGAAATGATGATGACCTTGCTTCCAGGTCACAAAAAGAAAAAATGTTCAACGTCGACGAGACGTCAAATGAAATGTCAAGTGAACGTCATTTTTTATTAATGGCAAGCGATCTAGTGAAACGAAGAAAGAAAATATTAAATTTTTAATAAATATGCTAATATTTTTAATATAATAGTATAAATTATGAAAAATGATTTTGCTGATTTAAATCTAATTATTAGTGTAGAATTATAAATATTGAACAAATATAAAAATGTCTCTGGAACAAACTGCTTGCGATGGTAAGCTTTGCATTATTTCGTTATAATTTTTATAAAGGTATATAATAATATTCTTGTTTTCTTTTTTCCTCAGTATTAATTTTCTTTATCTTCATAGAATCTATGTGATAGATTTGCAACCTGAACAAGTATTGAATCTAATAACTACATTTTGTAAGAGTTCTTTTTGTGATATTAACATTTATGGAAGGGTTTTTAGAAAAACCCGCGGGTTCAGAAGGTCAACTTAATTTCATATACAGGGTTAATTACATGATTATAACATAAATATGTTTGTACATTTTAGATTTAAAGGCTTTCGAGCGTCGATTGACAGAGGTTATAGGTTGTTTACAACCAGCAACTATGAGGTGGAGAAGTGAGTATTATTTACATTCATTAACTTTATTTATATACATTGTCCAATATTTTCTAATTCATCATGTTCTTTATAACCATTTACGTTAAATTATTAAGTATTTATCCCTTTTGACAGTATATTTATTTTTCACCACCAAGATGTAACACACAATTAATTGTGACATTTATAGCATTAGTAAGGATTTACAGAATGTTGCAAAATTTTTAAGATCAGTGACTTGTTCCAGTTGTCCTGGCAGTGGTGTCAGTATGTACAGCAATCGCCGCTTGGCATTGGCTTACAGATCCACTTACCCCTGTAGTGTCACTGACACAGTCACTGTGGAATCATCCATTTTTTGCATTCACATCAACTTTTTTAGGTAAGGTAATTTTTTTTTTATTTTTAAGGTCTGTAATATATAATAAGTCCCAATACTAATTTGTCTATCAAAACAGATCAATATAACACATTTATATGGAACTAAAACTGTGTCTAAATGACTGGATATATTTTTATATAAATGACCTAATAGATATTTTGACACACTTACCTTCACCTATCAGCAATATTTTTGTTATAAAATTGTACATAACACACGCATAGATATTATCTATACTGAACTAAAGTTATAAGGATGAGAAAATCTGTATACATTTTTTTGCAATAATTAGCTAGAAATAAATACAATTTGGAACATGAGTCAGTAATAATAAAATAGTATTACTTTTTATAAATAAGTATTTAAGTACTAATTATTTTATTCTAAAACTAATCTGTTTTATCAGAATTAGTCCTAGTATATTAGATATAGGTTAGCCCCTCCACTCCATATCACAAAATGTAAAGATATGTCAAAGGGAGAGTAATGTTATGATAAAATTCACTAAATTTAGAATTAATTTCAATTATATTATTAAGAATTATCATGAATACACAACTAACATTAATTTATTTTTCCTTTGCAGTATTACTATTTATGATGGGTGTGCACAGAAAAGTAATAGCTCCAAGTATCATTACTGCTAGAACACGATCAGTCCTGAATGATTTCAATATGTCATGTGATGAGACTGGCAAGTTGATCCTTAAGCCAAGACCTGCCAATACTTGAGTTTACTATTCATTTTATACTAGACATTTTGTAAATATTATATAAGATTAAAAAATGGATCCAAATATGAATTTTATTATTATCATTGCTGATTAATTGTTGATAATGATATGCAAATAAATATAGATGTGACATAACAATGTAAGGAACAACCAGTGGTCCAATGTCTTTGGCTTGTCCCAAGTTACATGACGGGTAGGAAGATTTAGACTATAGCGGTATCATATGAGAATGGTATAAATATAATGAAATTTTAAATATCTTTAAGTATATAACTAAAGATAATTTATCAAAACAGTATAATGAGATTGTGATTATGTTCTCTGTGATATTTTTTAATTGTGACATTAAATAAAATACACTGTTACAAGTCTATCCAAGTTTATTTACTTATAATTTTTGGTGTGTTTATTATATACAATAAATAAAAATAACTAAAATAGGTTTATCATACAAACCACTTAAAATGATTAACAGAACTACATTTGACTCATACTAAAGGATAACAATTGAGTTAATTATAATTGCATTTCTTATTATTGATTTTACTATTGTGCCTATAAAAATTTGCTAAAAATTTTACTAACGTTTTCAACATAATATTTGAAGTATAGAAACAAAATCTTAATTTCTTCTGTATTAACACACTGGTGCACTTTAACATCATAGCTTCTTATTTCTAACTTCATAGTTGCAACACCCACAATGCCAAGAAGTGATATTATTTAACATCCAATAGAGATTTCTAAATCACAAGCTTTCTTTTTTGCATCTCTATATACTACTCGCGTTTCTCAATCTATGTTTAGACTCGACATGGAGTTATTTATCTGGAATCATTTAAATGGAATAGTTTAAAAACCTAGGTATTAAATATAAATTATGACTTTGGGCAGTATTTATTGTGAAACTGATATATTTATTATCTTGAACAATTCCCCACAGTACTTAAATGCAATTTGGAAATACTTAGACAATCTTTGTAATTAACAATTACAATATAAACATATCTCAACAATAGTTATTATATAATAAACATTTTGTGCGGATTGTGCAAGTAATACAAGCATTATAATGCCTATTTTTACTACTAAATGCAATTCTTACATGAAGAGAAGTTTGTGCTCGAGTGTTTATAACAATAAAAAATGGTTGTACTCTATATATAAATATATTAAGTAATATATAATAATTTATAACGAGTCACTAATATGTAATATAACGGGAAAATAATTTTGATTGGGCATATGGGATAAAAACATTAATAAAACAGCGACTTGATTAATACTCTGATAGATTATAAAATTGTACATATCAATTATGGATGACCATTCTTAAAAACATTAAAAAAGTCTTACAAAGATGCTTTTTATTGTGAAGGCTTAAAAGTAGACATCATAAAAAATTATAAAGCATTGGAGCGTCGATAATCTATATTTAATTATCATTAATAGAGTATATAGAGCTAGAAGGCTTTTTATTTTCTGCATTACTCTCACCACACAATGAAAAGCATACTTTTGTAATTAAAAAATTTGTCCATTTTACTAAACCTATGTTCCTATGTCTTGGATTTACATTATATTTCTACAAATAACACCATTTTGAAGTGATAATTATAGTATTGCAGTACTAGACAGCGTTTAAATAAGTGACAGAAGGACAAAGTGTCGTCTTTAGTGGCGACTTATAATATATATGTTTGTATATTTGAAGACAATTCCAATACAAATAACGATCCAAACGGTACCTGTAAACGGCTGTAAAAATATAATTACTTAATATCAATGTTAATTTATTTTGCCCTTAGGCTAAATTAATTTATAGCTATATCCTAAATTAATAAATGACTTAAGTATTACTGCTGTATTGTCTATTATGACAAAAAGCAGTAACTCACAAAATTGTAATTTTTAAATGAAAGAGATATGTTTATAGGTAGGTGTGAAAACGTAATTTTATACTTATTTTCATGAGATATTGCTTTTTGACTTAGAAGAATACATTGTATGCCTATTTATCTTACATATCAATTTATACATAATCGTCAATAGAAACACATATAAATTCCATTAAAAATTAGGTAGTTAACATCAAGGCAGTGGTATATCCATAAATTCAACATGGCTAACACGTTACTTTATATAACATTTTACAACTTTACAATATAGGTTGACGTTGTTTTGACAGTTCCGTCATGTTAAAAATGCCTTGGGCTTCATAAGGTAAAACCCCTTATAGATAAACATTTGTAAACCCATAATAAACCTATTTCAACTATTGAAGTGTTTTGTCTTTTTCTTTTGTGCTCATTTGTTTATTTAAAAGAAAATAAAGTGACTTAGGTTTATGTTTTCATGAAAAGATGGTAATTATAAACATACTCGTATCTTTTAATAACAAAATAAGTTAGTATTACATAAAGAGGTAAATATAGTGAAAGTGGAATTTAGCATCTCAAAATTTATCAGTCTTTTTGGTCAAATTCATAATAATTCATCAATGTGAAAACGTGACCAATGGAAAAAATCGGCTTACATGTAAGTCTATCGCTATTATTATTAGCAATAGATATATTTTTGATAGTTGTCTTATTTCAACAACCTTTTTACATTTATAACGGTACAGACTAAGAATTAAAGCTAAAGTACAAATTTTGTATGTAAAAATAGGTTTGACAATAGAGGAATATTGCACACTCGCGTTACGGTAACCAATAGTTTATTATTCCAAGGCAGTTCATAGTTAAATACAACATTCTTATCATTATTGAATGTATCTAATTTAAGCTTTCTCCTAGTACTTTAAGGTATACAAAAGCTAAATTATAATCTTTTTTTTTCTCACTTGAAATAATTCGCTGCCAATCTTGGCATATCTTTTTATTATTGATCACTTTAAAAGAAAATAACAAGAATAACGGTAAACATCTGTGACTTTTTTTTTTTTTTTTTTTTATACAACTTAGAATGGCAAACAAGCTATTCAGAGCTATTCAGTACATGAGCAGTACCATGGACATAAGCAGATTATACTGTTTCGCCCATGATACCCCCCATGCGCTGCCATTTTTTTTACCCAAGCAATCGACTTTTGTACAAAGTCTCCCTCTGGTATAACTGTAGGTGACTATCCCTTCAAGGATTACAGTCTTAATTTTTTTTTATTTTTATTAATAATTATGGTTTAAATCTTGACAGTCGGGGTGTCTTGTTAATTATAATTAATTTTAACGATTTGTTCATATTGTATACTCGTAGCTATTTCAATAAAAAGTTATGTCAAGTTAGTTTATTGTTTATGCCAAGTAAAAAAAAAAACAGAATATACAAACTGCGGTAGACTCAGTGTCGTACAAACCTACATAGTAACCTTGCACACGTGTGGGGTGGGTATGGGGACAGTTTCTCAACCATATTAAAAGTTCGCTTTTAAAGCGTTCACGACAACAATACAAAATAAACAAGTGCGCCTAATGCTTATTTACACAACATTTAAAAATATCTCTTTTAATTTTTAAATAGGATAGATATTATTATTTAGAATTTGCTAAGAAATCGATTAAATTATCCGTTAAAATTACACAGTGAATGAAGCGCACTTATAACAGGAAATTAAACTTACACTTGTAAATTATTAAATTTAAAAGGAAAATAACAACATTCCTATCAATATTTGTTATAACGACTTTCTTTTATGTTATTTATTATGAATTAACAATTTCTATAATTTATTGGGTAATTAATTATAAGTAATTGGATATAATCTATATAAATTTTACAGCATAATTTGAGGCGAAGCCGACCTGCCTTCCAATATAATCTTGTTATTTTTTATCAAAACATAATTGGTAAGCATGTTTCAATTAGCCGAGTATACAGCGGCACTCATTATTAGATGCGCTATTTGGCAAAACCCGTGGCTATTTAATTACGTGTTTTTATACTACCATTCAATATTTTCTTAGAAAATATGTAGTCAATATTTTTTTGGAATTTGTATACATGAGTTCAAAAAAGTTAATATCACGAGATGCGGTTTTATTCAAAGTGGAATTATTTCATTTACTAGTGTCCACGTTTACGTTATCTACCATTGCAAATATCATATAAGCAACTGAAGATAATTATCAAAGTATATACAAACAATTAACGTAATAATTTTCTACTAAAATAACTAATGTTTTGTTAATTCGTAATCTATTAAAACTTGTAACACAAAATAGCCTCATCAAATAATAATTTTGAATGTTTAAAGTATTGATGTTAGAAAAGAAAATTTGAAAAATATTGTTTAGACATTTAACAGTGTATTATTTCTCACTAGTTTAATATCATTTCTTCAATAAAATTGATTTTTATAGTGGATTACACTTTTATATTTAAAGCTTTTTAATAATACAATAGACGCTACTATACCTACTTAAATTAGCACGAGTCGCGACGAATTATGCTGTAATGAAACGAAAGAAACAACTACGAAATAATAACGTGCCGATGAGAAATCCCCACAAATCAATTATTGTCGAATCATTCCCCACAGCAACATGCAAGGCTGGAGTGGTGTCCTCACGCCGCCAACAGTGATTTGATGTTCTTTGGTGTTGATTGGTGGTTTAGATGTTTGGTAGTGTACCGGAGAGCATTCAGCAGTGGTTCCGCTTTAGCCGGCGTCTGTTGTTGGAGGAACTTAACGCAACCCTTGACGTCGACTGATGAGGACCGACAGAAGGCCCCTGAAGGGTGCACCCAGTCGTATAGGATTATGAGACCCACCATCACACGTAGCACCAACAACGATGTCTCTTCACGGCTGAACTGCGCGACCAGTTTTCTGTAAGATTATTATATTTTTATGTTAAGTATGTATGAACATCCAAAGGTTGCCTGGAAGAGATCGCTCTTAGCGATAACATTGTTTTCTCATTGTGATTATTTCTTGTAATTATTTATATTTATAATAAGTTTACTATTGTAATCTTTTGGAGGAAACAATAAAGAGTATCTATCTATCTATCTATCTAACATTTCGTGTACTTACTGATGGAGAAATAAAATGCATCCAGAATCATCATTCATCAACATATCATAGTAATTATATCCCTTTTTAGACACTGGTCTCTATCTATAATAGTTTATTATTTCAACGCTGGTTAGGCGAAATAGTATGGTATATTAAATGCCTTTTACATTATAGAAATGAAAAGGGGTAGCGAGTAGGAATAAAAACAATGCGGGATTTTTTTCTACAGTAAATACTGTTTTGACATTAGATGGAATGAATGAATGAAAACTATTGTTCTCTTTAAAGAATGAAACAGTTTATAAAAATAATATGTACACAAAAAAATTATAAAAATTTATTTATATAAAAGCAAGATAAAGAGTCGACAATGGGCAGTCTTATCGCTAAATAGCGATCTCTACCAGATAACAATAGGATGGTGAGATAGTTAAAATTGTCTGGTCAAGGCGTAACAGAAAAATAATAAAACTAAAAAAAGGTGCTTATGATAAATTTAAATATATGTAGTATAAATAATATAAATGATAATATACTTACATATAATAATAACAAAATAATTATAATATACCTACTTAAATAAATAGATGCAAATAATACACACGTATGAATACATAAGACAAATATACTAATATTCTGTATCAGGTACTACGAGGTCGATGACTTTCTTAAATAGTAATTTTTTACTTGTAACTTAAAATTTTGGCAATGATTTTATTTTTCTCGTGAAGACAGGTAGTTCATTCTAAATGCGAATAGTTAATACAGTGAACGATTTGTCATAAAATCTAGTGCGTATATTGATATGATCCACAAATACATTTATAGTGAGTATATTTATATAAAATTTTATGTAAATATTTATTGATTTTTCATACATCTTATGTTTTGTTTAAGTTTATATTCTGTAATTTACATCTACACTGTTGAAAATACGTCCTTTCTGTATAAAGTGTAAGGATAATGGTTTTACAATATACTCATAGATTGTTGTTATTTAAAGTGGTTGATATAATTTGCTGTCGCAATAAGCACTTATTTATTAGTTTTCCTGTTTGTTAAATTAATTATATGTATTTATAAAGGCAAAACAGAAATTCAATTATTTTTGCAGTTATAGAGACTATTATTATGCTACTATTGGTCGACTGGGTAGTTTAAAAATTAAGTACAATTATGTTTATTATAAGTTATGAAATTAAAAATTACAAGCCACCTGATAGAAAACAGTTGACTATAGAAAACTGTTGTTTATAGACGTAGAGATTACAGGATACACTGTAATCCCCGCCCTTGATAGTTCCTAAATGAAAATCTCATTACAACTTTTAGTTAAGTTGTTTCGTGAAATGGAAACTAAAAAAAATATGTTTCAAGTTCTCACGGGTAAATCTAATGTAATTTGGATGAATTGAGGATCTCCTCTTCTGAAGTCGGATGAAAATAAAATATTTCCTGCGGGTCGCATGTGTGTACTGTTTACACAATCAACGAACTAGATTTATGACACAATAAAACTACGTACGGTTGCTTATTCGGGTCGCCAGACCCTATACGTGGAGTAAATACAGTGGGCATACGTAAATTGTGGAACTAAGTACCTAATGGTACCTATTTATAGTGAATATTATTAGAAACATGTTCTATTTTACGTGCATTGGTACAGCTGTTCTTGTTTAAAAAAGGCTATACCTGTTATGTGATATTATGAAAGTAACCAATGGGTGATACATTATGTAATGGTATAAAATAAAAAAATATATATTAGCAAGGAAAACTCGAAATCAAAATGCTAAATTATTTTTTGAAAATTGAATGGTTAGTACCTTTGTCCGTATTTTACTGATAGGTTAGAGCTCAATGCCGGTTTAGGTTTTTTTGAATGGGTGATAATAGAATACCATTTCATTATCACCCATTAAAATATCCCGCCTGCGCTATTGGCACATACTGGCGGGGCACCTATGGGGAACAATAGATGAGGATGAAAACTGGTCAGTTAGCCCATTGTGATGAACACACATGGAATTCAGCACTATGGTTTCCAGGGGGACCGCTAGGAGGTCGACCTAAGAAGATATATTGTTAGCAATGGAACTAGTAGGTATTATTATTGGGAGGTTTACGAGAGATAATAAAAAACCTTACAAGTTCCCACTTTCTGTTGCCACCATCTATCTAAGGGATAGCCAATTGTATGAGCACATTTCCAGTAGCGGTAATTTGATTATCGTGACCACCGCAATTCAGTACATCCACGCAACAACTAAATATTTCATAAACCCATGTTGTTAGAAAACTAATACTATATGCATAGGTCACAATGTTGCTATATGCTATCAACATTGCAGCTGAATAGGTTTTTGCTATTCGAATGGGACACTTAGTTAAATTTTTAAACATACATTGGACAAAAGTTTATAACTAGCTAACTATAGTTGCGTGGGGGGAAAGGGATTGTTAGCAACGGAGACTGAGAATCCCATTGCTAGCAATATACCCAACCAAGTCGACCTCCTCGCGGTTCCTCCTGGAAACTATCATGGTTAATTCTTGATGAATTCATCATGATGGGCTAACTGGCCTGTTTACATTCTCATCAATCACCCTTCACTGGTGCTCCGCCAGCGTATCCCACTATCGCAGGCGGGGTTACCATACCATATTCACCCATAAAAAAAAAGATGAACGAACCATAAAAACAATGTAGGTATATTAGTTTTGGTGGTTCGTTCATCACTTAGAAATATGAACATTTGGAGATGTATAAACGTAATGTACCATAGTGGGGGGAAGGAATTGTTAGTAATGGAGACTAAGGGATAGTAATATACCTAACCAGGTCCATCACCCCCTGGTCCCCTGGAAATTATCGTGCTGTATTTCAAGTGCAGTTCTAAATTCCAATTCATCACGATGGGCTAATTGACCTGCCTTTTCATTCTCATCTATCATCTCTCACTTGTGCCCCGTCAGCGTATACCATTAGCTCAGACAAGGATACCATTCCATTATAATTCATAAAAAAAAATACAACAGTATATGTGAACACGAAAGAACAATTTATGATGGGACACCAGCTTTCAGTATCTCAGGAAGTGGGTATCGGCGAATTCGTTAAATATAATACACGTTTCCGTTAGTATGAGGAAATAATTTTGTCTCCATACATAATATTACAATGGGATAATAAATAGTATGACACTGTAATGTTTATTTTTAATAATTTTATGTCATCACTCATTACGTTTTGTAGCAGCTTTGTCCGCGTGGATCCTATGCATTTCATATGTGTTAGGACTATATTCCAAATTTAACTTACACGTGTTTGGTACACGTGTAGATTCATAATCATACACATGTAGATAATCTCATTCAAATCCATTTAACCGTTTTAATGTTATTGAGTAACACTATGACTTATATAATCAAAACCCATTGTGTTATATGTGTTTAATTTTTTAAGTTGCTCACAACAAAAGACGTAGCCCCTAAACACAGGTTATTATATTAACCTATTTAGGACCCCAGTTCTTAAACCACAATTACTGTACACTTATAAAACTATAATATTAATATTAGTTAAGAAACTGCAGTTATGTTTTTTACGAATAAATCTCATTTAATTTTGTCTTTGAAATGTTGATTCAATGGTATTTAACTAAATGTTTAGATCAAATAGAGACGAGTGCAAAATATTCATCGTCTGCTGTAGTAATACATTCAAATAGTATATGACAAGTATTTGATGTATTACCAATTAGTAATTAGAATAAACATACGAATACGTAAGGCATACAACTTCATATTAAAACAAAGTCGGTCTATTTTTAGTAACAAACTAACATTAAAATGTGACGCCACTCCTTGTAATTTCAAAAGTCCAAACCAGCAGGAATGAAAAACAAAATTTGAAATTAAACCCTGTATCAAATTATCAGGCCAGACAAACGCGAATTTATTAAATTTAAATCATAAGACAGTTATTGAACATACTCCAAACTACCTATTGTATTCACAATCAAATGTAAAACGACTAATTTATACAGATTTGAGTGACAGTTGATATATCGCAATGTTGCGTTACCGATAGTGAGTGAGCAGAGTATTGATATCGCGGCCCGAATGCCGGCTGACATACGATCCCTCGATGTAATAAATACGCCCTTGTGGCAAGGATACTGAGATACGAGTGTAATGCATGCACCGAGTCCATCACTGCTCATTCAAATCAGTGTACACCCATATTACTCATATCGCAAGCGTTCTGCTTCGAGAGGTTGTTTTAAACCTTTTGTTGCCGGGAACGTCTATATCTTTATAACATGTCTATATAGCTTGAAAAACAGGTTAGAATGAGAAATCGGAGATTTATGCATTTATGCGTTAGCAACTTAGCTATGTTTATATGGACTAAATTCTTAGAGGCTGACTTCAAACGTTCGCCATTGTTTATGAATTCGTATCTCGTTAATGTTTTTCGCAACAGTTGCCCGGTATGGGGTGATTTGTTTAGGTTTCGATATTAAAAGCACTTTTTGGGTAATATACCTTAATTCATGTAAGCAATAGATAGAAATAGCTCTAGTTGTTGCCTAAAAAATAGATTCGATGGTAAATGTAGTCAAGGTGAAGCAAAATATGGTAGATACAATGTACACTAAAATGTAATCATAAGGGGCACAAAAAATTAAACATACTCGAACAAGTAAATTACCATAAGTAAAATGGCTTAACTGATACTTTTTTAAAAGCTTTTAAAATGTTTGTTATGTACTTCATAGTTTTCATAATGTTAATAAAAAACGAAAGTCTAAAAATAACATTTATGTAGATTATTTTGAATTCAATAAGAGAATATACGCTATTTTGTTATTTGATAAATGTAAGCGCCTGCAGAATATATATTTATTGCATAACATACTTTTGATTTTGTTCTTACGGTCTAAACCCATTATGGTTTTCTATTTTTTCCGACCGATAACTAATAGTATAAAGTCGCATATATAAAGTAGATCTTGATTAATACTTCACGATATGATTCCTTATCAAAACACAATTGATATCTTTATCATGTAGATGCATAGATCAAATATTATCATGCTACCTCTTCGGGCTTCATATAAAATAGGTAGTTAGATTCTTACAATTAAGTATATTGCTCCCGAGTTTGCCTAAATATAATTAAATAGCTCGAGAGTCAATCATTAATAAGAATTCCAGGGACTCAAACTTATCTGTGCCCGAGGATACTAAAACATCCGAAACCTTGGATCTCGCATTTCTTAGTATGTAGACCCCTAGAATAATTTGGATAACCGGAATTAATATAATTTCAATGAAATCCGTTATGCTCGATTTGATATTTTAGTAATTAACACATCAGTTTAATCAGATAAAAGCAGTTAAATTTCAAATTTACGGTTAGACGAAATAAAATCAGGAAAAACACAAAATAAGTAAAAAGCTTCAAATATAAAAAAAAAAAAACATTCTTTACATTTCAGTAGCGGTTGTTATAAACATACATAATTTATTTTAAAATGGAATAAACAATCGTCTAAAGTGCCTAGTCTAATCACGAGAACTGTTGGCATTCCTTCGTATTTAGCGTAGTTTCTGGCTTTGCAGTGAGGCCACAATTTATTTAAAAAGAAATCTATATCTGAATAATGGCAAATTTGAAATGTCGGTAGAAATTCCAGTAATTTCTACTACGAACCTCATTGTAGGTAAATATTTTTTGATCTAGTATTATTTTGATCCGAACATTTAGATTTGTAATTTCGGAATAAATGCCAACCTTCTTGATTTTAATATTTCAATCTTCAAATAGGGATATAGTGTAAACATATACTCACGGATTTTCTAACATCCTCAAACAGACTTTAGCCATGGTGCTCAGCGTTTCTGTAGTATTCTCGAGATCCTGTTGATTGTCGTTGACGAACTGGCTCGTTGCCTCTGAGAGGACTTTTAGCATAGGCGTAGCTTGTGCATAAAATAGAGACATTCTGTTGGCAACTTCTGCGCTTATATGGGGCTCCTCCCCTGGGGGCAGATCTGAGTTGATAACGCCACCACGCGATACGCTTCTTCTGTAGTAACTGAAGTCGTTCTGTATGGCCGGTGTTTTCATCTGCAAAAAAGAAATGACATCAAATATCATTTAAATCTGTGCAAGTTAATAATGCAATATCAACATACATACAATGCATATTGATTTTGCGCACTAATTTGCATATATGTAGCAAATTTTAATAATTGAATCACATAATAAAATTATAAAAATAAGTATTATTGAACTGTCAACTCTCATTAGTTTTTTCACCATTGTAACATTTATAGCAGCTATTATTTATTAGAGCAAACAATAATTGTTATAAGCACCTACGGTGACAATGAAAAGCTACCATATCCATACCGATCTAAAGCTTTTCATTAGTAAAAATTTCAGTTGTTCTTTGAAATTCTTGATTAATATTTGCAGACATTCTCAAAGCCCAAAGCAAGCGAAATTACGATTTTAACACAATTTAGGCCGGCCCAATATTTTTTTTATTAGCCTGATAACATTTGATCTAGAAAAACAAAATAAAATTATACCTACTGTTTGTAAATTTATGTCAAATACTGTAAAATTTCATAATCAGAATAGAATTTGTACTACTTAACAAATTAGATACTGATTTACTTGACTATGTAAGATAACTGCATGACAACAACTTAAAATCAGTGAGACGCCCAGTAAATTGACACATTTGATCCCAAAATGTCTAGGGGAAATGTACACGATTTACAACGTCAATATTCGACATAACTAGGTTTTGCTCCGAGAAACATAGCAATAAATCTCATCGATTGCAAAAAGAGTTGCTAAAATAGATTCAGAATTTGCAAAATTGTTCAACACAAAATACAGGCGAATTGTGAAATTTCTTGTTTTGGAAATAGCTAAAAATACCTCTTCCGGTAATCCCACATAATACAATAGTAGACCCTTTTAATTTTTATAAAACCAATGAATTGCATAAAATTTCTTTTTTTTTTATGGTCATCATAAACTTAAAACAGCTTGCCAATTTTTGGTCACTGTTGATGACTTGATCTACTTTTGTCCATATGATTAACTTCGTAAAAACTTCTTTATTATTTATATTTTGTAGATATTTGTATTCATTTCGAGTAATAGAGAGATACACGACACAACATCATGACTCACTAAAGGTCAGCCAAGCCTCGCTTTCTATACGAGGTTTGTCCGGAAAGTACGTATAAAAGTTTTTTAAAAATTTTATTTTACAATTATTCAGGTAAATCAATTTTATCCCCTTCAAAGTACTCCCCCTGTGACATAATGCACTTGTGCCAACGCCGTTTCCACTGTGAGAAGGCTAGTTGAAAGTCCTCTGGTTGTAGGTTTCTCATATGCCCCGTCGTAGCTTTTTTTATCTCATTTATGTCCCCCAAATGCCGCCCCCGAAGTACCAATTTGGTTTTTGGGAACAAGAAGAAGTCACACGGGGCCAAATCCGGCGAATAGGGGGGTGTTCGGTCACCGTAATGGAATTTTTACTCAAAAACTCACGGACAACAAGAGAGGTGTGGGCAGGGGCATTGTCGTGGTGAAGAATCCAACGCCCCTCTCGCGCCAATTCTGGACGAATAGCATGAGCACATCGACGTAGAATTTTCCATCAACTGTCTGGCCTGGAGGGACGAATTCTTGATGGACAATCCCCCGAACATCGAAAAAAACAATCAACATTGTCTTGACATTTGAGCGGGATTTTCTTGATTTTTTTGTTCGTGGTTCCCCGGATGTCTTCCACTCTTTGCTTTCACGGCCATTCTTGCCGATTTTCGAGAGAAACTTGATTACGACGCTCTGCTCTTCAACGGAAGCGGGCTCCATGCCGACGGGGTTTCGTTAAGAGGTAACTTCACAGATGGCGTGACAAGCCAGTTCGCACCGCACGGCGGTCAGACCAGAACTGAAGCATTGTTAGGGACATAAGGAAGGGGTCCTGCGCTTACCTGGCCTCCCCACTCCTCTTTCTCGCATTCCAGAACACTTTTATACGAACTTTCCGGACAGACCTCGTACAATGCCAATTTTGCTGATCGATTCGTTAACCTTATTAGAGTATACAGTGGCTGGTGACTAATATTCTAGGTGGATGCTAAACAATTAAGTACCTAATATTAATATACTATAACGTTGGAATTGTTAATAAAATAGCCATTAGAAATAAGAATACAATGTATCATCACTCCTTTTCATCCTCAGGTTGTCGTAAAAGGCGACTAAGAAAATAAAGCACAATAAACTAGTGGAAGACATGGAAAACTCCAAATAAAACTATAGAAAATCATTCGGTCAATTAGAGAATAGCAGGCTAATATTTTGCTCTTACAGGAAGAAACTAGAGGGCCTATAATGAAATATTTTCCGAAATTTCGGGACGGAATGAAACAAATTTAATGTGAAAATTACATAATAAATAGCTTGCAAAAACATTACAAATGTTGAACTATTATGGTAGGATTTATGATGAACGAAATGTTAAATTCCAATTTTGCTATGAACAAAAACACGAAATTCAATCCGAAAATTCGGAATTTCATTTAACGGTAGATAGATCCCTTGTGAGTTTTAAGTTAACTTTTACTAATGAGATATTAGTAAAAGTTTACTTAAAATAAGAAGAGAACTTTGTCTTTAGTGAAAACAAGTTGTTTCAATTCATTCATTATATCCTCGTATACAATATTGCAAATAATATTTTCTTAAATTTAGTTTCATGAAATGTTAATCGTTTATTATACGCATACAATAAATTACTTCAGATATCTGGATGTTGGGTGACAGTTGTAATAAATATTTTGATATTATACAATAACGTTCACACAATACAATAATAATATTTATAAACAAATCTCTGATTAGAATAATAGATACCTTTCGTATCATTTCTTTTGTCAACAAAAGATTGAATTGAATAAAACCTAACCACAGATCATAAGATGATGAAAATAAAATAATAAAAATTTTAATTTTTACACTCTAGCTTTACGGAAATGGAGTATGTGAGGTCTTCTAAAGTACTGTAAAAAACAGGAGAGACATTCCTAAAGCATAAACATATTAAAATAGAATTGTTTACTTTTCTTCTCCTCTTTTGTTGATAATAGAAAATATAAAGATAAAATTATAAAATATTATTAGTACAGTTGTTACATGCTTGATAAGGCCGTTGTTTAAAGGGAAACTTATCTACGGAATTGTGTTAATAGGCTATAAGCCTCCTGGGCACGCCCAGGTTCAAGATTAGTTTTATTAGATACTGCTGTAATCGGTAGCCTTCATCGTTCAAGGATACTCTTCTAATATTATAGAGAGGCCCTCTGGTTGGCAACATCTAATCCAATCTAATGATAATTATTTCCATATAAAGTTATAGAGGTTATTAAGTTGTGGAGGTGAAAGCGAGTGATTTGCCATTTCAAAAAGACTATCGTTTCTACAAACTCCAAAACTAGGAATAAACCTAATTTATCAATGAAATAGTACTTCAAATTAATAGACTGGTGGTACTATGTTTTGTAAGATTCGAAGTCGGGCGAAAATTGAGGGTTCGCGTAGTGATTTTATTGAAAATTACAGTGGCAGTGGAAATATCCACTTTTGTCAAGAAGCAAGTGCCATGTTCTTTGGCCCTGAAGGGTAAAATACCCAGTGTAATGTTAGCGACTCTGATGTGATAGAATAATTTTCTCAGGAGTGGCATTCGTTAAAGGCGGTGCAGGATTATACGATGTCCATGTTTGTTAACACTTGCCGTTAGAAGGGTCGTCATCTTATTCGTTATTCCCGACTGAATAAAATAAATATGAATAATCATTATAGCCGGAAACGAGTAAGTGATATAACTCCTTTTGTTACCACTCTGCGTTACTGCTCGTAACGGAGCAATGACACGCCAAGGTTGGGGTCAAAAGGGCTCAGAAGCAATTGTCCAGTCATTATTCAATGTTAGATACGCGAGTCCTGACGACATTAATTCTTGTTTACATAATAGTATTTTGCTATATTTACAACCCGCGTATAATATATAAAATTGTTTGTGTCATATGCATTCAGAATGGGATAATCAGAAGAATTTATGTTACCTTTGTCGATCATTTTGTGGGGCGTTATTTGTCATTCGATACTCCATCTAGAGCTTCCCTGATGTATATGGCCAAATAATAATAATAAAACATACGTTGTATTTTGATAGATAGTTCTTTACATTTTGGAGCCATTGTAACGATGACTATTGTCCATTTCAGCTACACGTTTCAAAGACAATAGATTCTTATATTCCAGATTTCAGTTGGGTATCACAATAGAAGGTCGCACGCGTTCAAGACGATTGGAACGGGCATCGAAATGTGGGTCCCAAAATTTATCTCAGGCAATCATCGATATAATTGTTTTTTTTTTTTGGAGATAATAATTTTTATAGAAGAATATTTATAAAGCGATTTTTAAGTATTTTTTTCTTTTTATTTTATTGTCGAAAGTAAAAATATGCAGTTATAAATAGTATTGGCATAGAATGTGTATTGTACCTACCGAAATGTTTTTTTTACTTTTAATATACTTCAATAAAAAATATATATATACAGTAGCACATAGAATCTTCTCTTTTTTGAAGTCGGTTAAATGACAGCTCAAAATACTCCATTAATTATCTAGTATTTTGTAATAAGATAAGGATAAACATTTGATTATAATTAAAAGTACCTATTTAATTATTTTTATACCTACCCGTTCAATATGCGTAATACAACAAACAAAAAAAATATTGGTGGAAAAATATGTGGAGGACCAAATTATACTTACTTTGTACTCGTCAAATTTGAGGACGAATTCTAATATTTCAGCGAATTGTTTCACTAGAGCCTGTTGCTGTTCGAGGTGCTGCGTGGGGCTCATGGAACCACCCACCAAAGATCCCAGTAGTCGAGGAACTACCTGTAAAGAAAAAGGATCTATTATTTTTTTTAATTCAGTAAAGACATTTTATTTATTAATTTATAACAATAACATTTAAGTCGATTGGTACACACGTATACGGACTGTAACTACTAATAAATTGTCAGTTTTTCTCATATTATTTTTGTTTTTTTTCTATTTCAATTACTTTTTGTGTAAAATAAAGAATAAAGAAAGAATAAAAAATAAATTCGACTTGTAATTTGTACATTTTTTATAGATCAAAATGGAATTTGTCCCTATTACTTACGACCCTTTATCCTTTGTAATATGTAGTACTTCTCAGCCGGTTACTTTTAATACTGTAAATAGTACCTAATGTGGTAATCTAATAGTGTGCTAATGTATATATAAAATTATTTATAGTTTATGTAAATATTTATTTTAATTTCTGTTTTGCATTACTACTGCCCATTCACTACTTCCTATGCCACTGCGCTAGGTTGACTGGAAGAAATCTCTTTTAGAGATAAGTTCGCCTTTGCTAACATTGTTATTAACTTATTGTTGTTACTGTATGTTTTAGTGCAATAAAGAATATATATAATCTAGGAGATAGATTCACACAGCTCGAGGTACCGACAATCGATGGAGATAAAATGTATAGAATGGCGACTCCCAAATGGGCGACCTCAAATGTGTTGCAACATATTTGAGGATTTAGTCAATAGATGTGGGTGCCTCAGGACTATTCCTAATAGACTATAGAATCCTATCCCATATACATCACAGTCAGCGGGAAGGACTATTTTTAGCAGTGGACTGTAAATTACTGAAATGATGAAGATTAAAACAGAGTACGATATATTATCTTCATGCCAGTTCAATATTTTTTTTAATTTAGAATATTTATAATTTCAATTAAATTGCCAAATGGTTACTTATAAGGATTATCAAAGGGTAATAGTTACTTTCATATTTTATTATATATGTATAATATATGCCACTTAATAAACTAACACTAACACTGTTAACGAAACCGGAGTCCAATGTGTATACTTTTTAAACAATGTCAGGAAGCCATTGTGATTTAGTCGATTAGCTTACATCGGCCGATTGGGAACAAATATCAATTATTTCGATCGTTCAGTTCCTGTTTATAAAACAGAACGATAGGTTGTAAGTATAGAAATGTTGTAAGTACAACCCAGTGGGGGGAGGGGTTGTTAGTAATGCGGACTACCAGTCGCATTACTAGCAATATAACTTGTCAGGTGGACTTTCACGTGGTTACCTCTGAAAATTATCGTGCTGAATTTCAGGTGAATTCATCACGATGGGCTAACTGACCTGCCTTTTCGTTCTTACCTATTATCCTTCACTGGTGCCCCGCCAGCGTATACCGTTAACGTAGGCAGGGTTACCATTCTATCATCATCCATTAGAAACCCAGTGGCACGTGTATAAACATTTGTATAATAGTATATTTTATACAAATGTTTTTTTATTTATCATTTGTATAATAAATAAATTACTGGTAACAAAATATAAAACCGAATATTTGATCCAGATTTTGACATACAATAAAAACAAAAGTTTAAAAGAATATTGGATATTTAAAATACCTAGAAAGATAACAAAAATAAAACTTTCGCTCAGACGTTCGGACGTCCTTAAAATAAGAACAAATTCGAAGAATCTTCTTTAGACGGCATTTTATGCGCCCTTTACCTAACTGCAAATTCAATATTTTAAACATATTTTTATATAACATTATTAATAATTATTTAGAGTCCCCATTCTTGTTAAATAATATTAATATTAGATATTCACAGAAGGGTTTACGCCTTCAGAACTTTTTCTTTGTACCCAATATAAAAACAAAATATGTTAGAAATACATTTTTGTTCAAATCTTGCAATAATTATAATATTAAATATACTAGTATAGATCTGTTTAACTGTAAAATCCTTGCCTACAAGAAATATCTGAGAGAAGTTATCTACATCTAATTATGTATTTATAATTGCTTCATTCCCTTACCTTTGCCATATTGCATTGCTTTTTATTAAGTGGGTATTTGGTATTTCTGTCTATTCAATGGTAAATATGCTCTATTTTGTGGAAACTTTGATGATTATGTCATTTATATATATATATACTAAGTGTAATAAGAAATTGTTTCCTAAATAAAATTAAAAAAAAAAACGTGATATTAGTTATACAATTATTTACGTTAGGGAAACATTAATAAAAAATAAAAAAAAAAAAAACACTTAATAAACGTTTCGCGTCGACGCTGCGAGTTAACACAATCGATCATAGAAATGAATAGTTAATGAGTGGCCTAAAAAATTGTAAGCAAAACAACACAAATATATTGTCCCCATAACAAATGTGAGGCGATATTATGAAAATGTATTCGGCACGAAAACATTTTATTCACGAATTCAGCGAACCGTCGCCCGCCGTCAGTCACGCAAGATCCGTATGCTTAATCTGAGGATTTATTTTATTCCGATAACACTTTTTTTTATAATAAAATTATAATAGGCATTTTTAATAATGTTAAAGAAGTTTTAGCATAAATCCAAAAGCAGATTCTGTCTTTTATTTAGTATTATTTCAATCTTTGGTACTTTTTCACGCTTGTGATGAGACGTTATAAAAATATCATGTTTAAGAATCTAGAATGGCAATAATGACGGCCCACCTGATGAAAAGTACTTGTACCATGACATGAATATGTTTTGATACCCCCATGCGTTGATCTGAGGACTCAGATATTATTCCTCTGTACCCTGTAAATTCACGCCATATCCCTTCCCTTCAAACTGATACACAGCCACGCAAACACAACTGCTTTACCCAAGCAATCGACTTTTGAACTATTATGTATATTTACTTGTAAGACATGAAATGTTTTGACTGATCTACAAACGCTAATTTTTTCTTAAACTTTTAGAACTATAAAATTTTACAAATACGTTCTAGTTACCAAGGAATGGCAATAACTAAAAAAAAATTAAGAATATTTTTGGTTAAGTATAGAAAGGAGAAAACTATTGATATTATTCGTAAAAATTAAGAACTATTTGTACAGAATTAAGTTAAAACAAGAAAATAACATTAAAACTTCTCATTTAATTGCGTGGTTACGTGATCAATTTAGTATAAAATGATTAAAAAGTGTCCAGCTGACAAGTTTGTATAGGTCTGTATTAGGAATTTTTTGTCGTTTTTCGATCCATGTTCCTTTGGAAATAATGTTCAAATTCACGAGTAGGAAATGTTTTAAAAAAGGTTGCTAATGGTTTTGATTTCAGCCGTATAATTGTATCCTTTTTTAATGGAGAGAGATCCGTGCCCCTGACGTAATAGGTTATTAACGTAAGGTTCAAAATATATTTTCTTTTTTTTTATATATATATATTTGGGGGTCACTTTCATGAACTGAACATCTTTTCCAATGTTTGTTTGAGGAAAATAGTATTTTTTTGTAAATTATTTTAAAATTATGCTAATTAAACACATTGTATGTTATAGTATATATCTTATCTACCTTGATCGTAATTATGTTATGGCATTTAATTTTCATTTCTCAAAGTTTATAATAAAAGTAAGTGTTTTCTATGCATTTATAATTCACAATGAAGTAGGACGAACAGGTGTTAACAGACTTCCATCGAAATGTTTAAGAAGGAACTCGTAATAATCCTACTTTTTCACAAAATATATAGCATTTTAAATAGACTAGGTAATAGATATCCGATTTATGTGCGTTTACCTCGATCATAGAAAAGTATATAAATTATACTTCTGAGAACATTTAAATGAATGAATTTGTAATGAATTTGAATTAACTAATTAAAATATTTTAAATGTGTAACATTTCATTGTTCGTTGACGCGTTTTAATTGTTTTAAAGAAATTATTGTGACGATATATTTCTTTTATGTAACTTAGAATGACAAACAAGCTATATTGCTATATATTGGGCTATGTATTGAGTAATCTGATGGAAAATGGTAAAAACTAATACTAGGGTGGCAGATGAGTCAATCAATAGAGACATCATTGCTACTACGTGTATGAGAGTTCGCTATCAGATCACTTTCCAAAAAATTGTTCATAAATACAGAAAATTGTTGGATTATTTTTGAAAACTGATAGATAATATCCACGTTGTCAGACTTCGATAAGCTTCAATATGAATTCTCTAAATACTTGTTATTTTATTTCCATAACGTATACAATTACTTTGTACATAAATTAACTATTGAAAAAATTAAAATTTAATAATAAAGATTATAAGTACATTTATACCTAATATAAATATAATATACTTTTTAATTTAATCTTAATTTATCGTAGCTGGTAAAAAATTTTATTCAACGTGAGTGAGTCATAGATACTGAATCACGAGGCGAGACGTGGCGAAACAGTTTCAACGTATTTTTATAGTCATCCAGAGCAGTGTAAGTAGATATATTATTACTATGGTTATCGACTGCCATGACGCAATATATAGTATTTTGGAGTCCTTTTAACATAAAGGTATAATTATATTTAAGAACATTTATAATGAATCAACCTGTATACTGGCTGTCAATATTTAAATATCTATTTAAAGTGTTGCTGTTGTGTTGTTGTAAAGCTGTTATATATATATATATATATATATATATATATATATATATATATATATATATATATATATATATATATATATATATATTGTAATTACTACATATCTATTCGTATTCTACTTTGAAATTTCAAAATTTAACATAAAAAAATTGATGATAGTTTAATAATATTGTAATTATTTCATCGGTTTTACTTTCGTATTAAAAATCGGGATTGTTCGAATGGTTTCGAACTCCATAGGAGTTATTTAATAGTAGTTTAACAATATTATTATATCACTATAGTGTGAATTAGGATAAAAAGTATTCTGTTATGTTAAAATTTCATTCAAAAACATGATTGAGAAACATTCCTCTAAATATAATTACAACCTTTTATTTATAAATATC